AAAGGCTGCTGAGAACTTTGCATGGTAACCTCACATCCAAACAAGTCATCCTTTTACGAGGAAATCCAGTTCCTTGGCATGGACGTTGTGTTCTATGTGTACCCTGCAAGCCAGCGATTCCCATTCTTAATACAACTCCCATACACACCAGAGGCCCCAATGTTCTTTCTAAGGAAGTGCATTCTTGTAGAGCTTGTCCCAACCATCTGTCACGGATGTCCCAGAACATCTCCCAACAAAACCAATGGACCCCACCAATACTAGACCAGTGGTCACTGAAAGAGTGAAAAGGTCACATCTGAATGAACAAACAAGATTTGAATTGCATCATTAGTTACAGAAGCACAAGTGTTCACAGTTAGAGATCAGTTGTTACATCAAGGAGGAAAAACATAATTGTGCACAAGAAGGTTTTTTGCAATATTCTGATACATGCATAAAATAAACAGGGGCATGTTTCCTTAACTTTCTCTTGTAGTTTATTGCATTTCATAGCCTTCATTTCCTTACAATTAGATCACTTGTTTTCCATAAACTGTGCTGTCAATGTTCATGAGAACAATATTCACCTGATAATGACTCAATATGGAAGCTAAACATTTCCGCATGTACCCAGGGCGGAGTGCTAAATGTTATGTAAATCCCTTTTACGACCTTTTCAAGCTGCCGACAATCGCCATTCAAAGGTGATTGGCAGCCGACACCAGTGCACATTTATCCTTTTGCCCCTGGCGGTCTCTCTCTGTAGCGCCCCCTACTGTGAGAGGCGTGGGGTAGGGTGCCCAGTGGCACTTGTTGCCAATGGATAAAGCCAGCATGGATCCTCTCATGGCAGCGGTGCCGGGCGTTGTAATAATGTTCGGTTTGTTTTCTGCGTCACACCTCCTTTGGTACGTTGCCCGACCTATAATCCAGAACATGAGTCGCAGAGGGAGGCATCCCATGCCTGTCCATCCGAGTTCCAACACTGCTTAGCCCAACCAGCTTCTTTGTACGACTCACACTACTGGTTGCCTGTGGGCCATTTCATAATGTAAAGCTATTAACATGATTATTATGAGTATGAAACCCCTCCCGACATAAAGTAATTGCACAATAAGTGGAATAGTGAAGGTTCACAAAATAAAATAAAAAACTTTCTTCTTATCCATACACACTTTTGCATTCACACAATTTCTCTTCCTTTAGCCTCGTCACACACACACACACACACACACCAGATCAGCGTTCCCAAGCCCCTTACCGAGTGTTTTTATCCTTGCTAGGCCTTGACTCAGAGGGGAGTAAGGCCCCTACTGAGATCTTAACCCACTTCCTGCAAAGCCTTTTTGGCCCCTTGGCAGCCCTCTTCCATTCACAAACAATCTTCATCAGCCAGACACTTCCTTTGATTAGGGCATGACTGACTCAGCAACTTCTATGAAAATTATCAGGTAATGTACACGTTTCAGGAAATTTCCAAAAGCATATTTCTCCTGCAGCAAAGTGTCGGTTCTTTGAAAATCTCCAGTCCTTTAGCTATCTCTTCGGAGGCCAAGGCCTCCAGGTGAGAATAGGTGTTCTGGGAACACATTTTACACAAATAGAGAGCGGATTAGGAAAGGAGAGACAGTGCAGTCGTGTCTGCGTGTGTGCATGTTTGTGCATGAAGTGTGGGAGAAAGTTGTTAAGCGTGTACACAAGTGGGGTAATCAGAATTTGTTTGTGTTTGTGTGTTCAGGGGGGTTGTGCAGGGTGTGATATATACACCCCCTACTGTCCTTTTTCTCTGTCCACACATCACATCTGACAGTATTTGGGGAGTTATGAAGACGAAAAGGATAGAGGAGGAAGGAGCAGAGCTATTGAAATGGATATATTACTGCTGCCTGTGGAGCAAGGAAAGGAGGATTTCCCCTTGGATCATTATGTGGTACGTTGTTAATATATACAATGTTGTCAACCTTATAATCAGTTCTTTAGGATTTTAGTTTAAACCATTAAGAAATAAAAAGAGACTACTGGGGATGATCTTCAATGCTAGGATTTAGCAGCTGGTCGCTGAGCAAAGTCAAAATATGTGAATAAGCTACAGCAGAAGATACATAAATTAATAAAATGTGCTTTGACAAGTTTCTTTGCAGGTGTTTGCCTTGATCTGTGTTGTTGCACCTCAACACCTGCACCTGTGCTCTGATTGTGTAAAGAGGGAAATTGTGGGTTTGAGGTTTTGAGTTTGTCTTCTTGAGTTTTTCAACAGCTGTATGGATGATTTCTAAACCAGTCATTAGCTCCATTTTCTTCTTGTTGATATAGATTTTTTTTTTTTTTTTAAAGTTGTATGGGGTAGTTGTAGTATTTGGAAATGAGGAATCACAGGACCGGTCAATGATTCAGCAGTTGTTCCACAGTGTGCTGTTTTTTCTTTTTTCCATTGTATATCAACCAGTTCTGTAGTTCATATTAGTCCAAATCATATTGTTAGAACCTAAACGGAATGACAGATTGATTGACAGGTTAATGGTTGGATTTGCTCAAATGTTGTTTAAATGGAAGGTTGTTGGAATGATATTTTAGCTCATTATTTTAGAAAATGTTTTTGCTTTAGATAGTCATAGGGACAGTTCAACAAGGAGAGGGAAAAGCTTTGTGATGAAAATGTGATGTTTTCAACATTTCAGTACTTGGCTAATATTAGCCACACCAATTGTCTAATTTAATGAGTAGTATCCAACAAACAGCCTGTATGTAATTGCTATTACTTTCCAAAAGAAATAGACATAAAAAATGCAAGTGGGATGAACTCAGGTGAGTGTAGAGATTAGTCTCATTGGTCTTTCTATGGTTTTCAAGTAGTTTTTGCAAGGCTTTAAGGTTTGTTTGGGATCCTTGTATACACTTCTCCATAAAGATGCAAAACAGAGGGCATAGCATTTTTCTGAAGAGTGGACTCTTTTCTCCTTAAAAAAGGATGTGGTCAGTTCAGTGCAACTCCAGAGGAGGGAAACTTTCCTGTACTCTACATCTGTGATGTAACACTGGTTGCTTCATATACTGTGGCATCATATTCTCTCTTCCCCTCATTTCATACCCCCTTGTGTTTCTGCTTTCAAACTTAGATTTATCAGTAAATATGATTCTTGATGACTTAAGTCTCATGTTGTTTATTTAGCATATTCTGCGAATGAGATGAGGTATCTTTCTGTCTCTCTTTATAGCTTGATAATATGATCTTCTGATGGTGTGGTCCATTTTGATCTGACTGATTCACTTTAGATACGACTGATTTGCGATTTGCTTTCTGCAGAGTGTGTTTTATACTTCCATGCACTGCACCTTTAGAAGCCTAAAGTCTAGCCATGACTTGACCCCAAGAAGACCCCTCTTTTTTGAAAATTACAATTGGACTCCTTACAAACCTTCTTGAACAAGTTGTGAAATAGCTACATTTTCTCTGGAATTAAAACCATTTGTGGTCCAGATTTAGGCAATACGTTCTAGTATCAGACCTACCATCTTGATTTTAGAAGTCGAAGGAATTCAAACATCTGCAAAAAAAGAAAAGATAAAGTCATTTTTTTTTTTACAAATGTCGTTTATAATCAAAGCTTATTAACACTGATTTATAGTTGATAGTGTGTTGGTAATCCAAACAATTGCTCCTCAGTAAACACCTCCTACACACACACACACACACACACACACACACACACACACACACACACACACACACACACACACACACACACACACACAGAAACAAAGGAAGACTGCAGTTGCTGTGAAAATATGCTAAAAGCGATCTCTCTGGCATTTGGCAGGGCAAAACCACAAATTATTGTTGCAAAGTGAGACAGCATTATGGGCATTCACTGTGTGGTCCATCACCAGCTATAGATTAATCTCCCCTCCTGCTGTTCTTTGCTGCCCTTGTCCCCTCCTGCTGCCCCCTCTGCTGGGGGTAGCAGGCATAGTTGACCCTGGTTAAAATTCAACTGGCCCAACAATAACATGGTTAGACTTTCACTTAATGGCCTTGTCATGGATCAAAAGGAGGTGGAAGTGGCAGAGTTTACAAAAGGAACACCACCATAGATATAGATGAAATTGTACTGTACCTTATTAGAGACTGCAGGTCATCACCAGGATGTACCTGCTTTTCCTCTTCATGAGCATCATCCAGAGAATAGGCAAAGATTAAATAGAGCGCATATGACCATTTCATCCCGGAGTTTTCATACTCTTCCTATTCGGGACCACCTACATTGAGCCAGATTAGTTCCTAGACTCATACTCAGATAAAGTAGGTGAAAAAATATATTTTATTGCACATGTGTTTAGTGTTATTTAAGGGCATGTATTGTGAATAATAAGATAGCTAGGGATCAATGTCATCATGGGCATTACACAGTTATAATTTGCACTTTAAAAAATAATGAAAAAACATCTTTACTTACTATGTATATTAAGCAGGAATACCTAGATTATGCAATTATTAAGTCTCATTTAGGAAGTCATCATTATATTACAAGAGGATCAAGAGGGCCATAGAAAACAGCTGAATGCTCAGGTACAAACCTAATAATTATATCTGAAATGTAAGACTTTAAGGTCCAGCTAAAATCATCATCTTCACACCCTTTGAAATAAGTTGTCCATTTGGGTTAACAATAAATGCTTCATCATTGTAAAGCAATTTTTATGCATGTAAACATACATTACTACATATGACTTCAGCTAGCCTAATTATGTTATTAAGCATTTAATATGATGCTAACAGTAAACCCCCAGTTTTTAATATTGTCATCACTAGATTTTACTCTTAGCAATGGTGTTTGCATGCCAATACATTGTTAATGAACTGTGAATACCTTAATACGTTTTGCATAGAGTTTTCAAATGCTAGATACGATTATTTGAGGAAAAATAAGCAAATTTACCGAAATTAAACAACTTCAAGAGCGCTTGAACGTCGGGTGTAATTCTCCCCTCAGCCACTGGGAACAACAACACCTCTTTGCCGGAAGTGTTGACAGTCCTGGACCCCTGACGTGTCAAATCGCCATTTTTACATCCTGAGGAAGGAAACGCCTTGGAGAAAGAAGGAAAATATCAACTTTGTAAGTTTGAAAGATAGACTAATATTAAGGCAATTGAATGCAGTTTTTGTTTCGCGTAACATGACGGCATAAAAAGTCATTTGTTCACTCGTAAAAGTGTCTTGTTTTCCGCGTTCAAGACGCCAAGAACACCTTAAGAACAGCTGCCATGTTGTGAATTAGAGCTAGTGAGCTAACCTGTTATCCGAGCTACTCTTACAATTTCCGCGTTTCTGTCTCGTTTTCCACACATCTGTAGTTATTACGAAAAACACTCAATCAGGTTTTGGCGTGCTTGAATTAAGTGATTCAAACAAATTGTGATAATTCCGAACCGGTCGTACGACTATTAGCTTTGTACGTGAGATATTTAAGAGCTAAAGTTGTTGCTGTTTTTAGTCAAGTATTTCACATGAGCAGGATTAATGTCAAAGTAACATGTTAAATCCACTTGAGTCGTATTTTACGAAAATACTGGGGTCATGATATTTGACACGGATGTTTCCAAAGACTCCTATCGACTTAATGCTCTTGTAAAGATGTGAAGTGAAGCAAAGGCTGTAAAAAAAAAAAAAGTGGTATAAACTTGCTGTGCAAACATAGTACACATATATTCATAGGTTGCATGGAAAATCCAGTCTGTTGCTGGTTTGCAAAGATTATGTTATGTGATTGGCTGACTTTTTCTTGTTCTGTGCCACTTAGTGTCCCAAAATGCAAAAAAAACAAAAAAAAACAGTAAATCATCACATTTGGAAAGTTAGATTATTATAATATATTACTCAGAATGAACACAACTGTTAATATTCTTTTGTAATGACATGATTAAGTTTCACTCATGACACATTAGTCACCTGCTTCCCTTCCAACCTGATTTTGATTTAATGCTGACTGATGTGTTTTCTCTCCTCAGGGTTTTTTGATTTTTCTAAACCTAAAGTAGGTTACCATCACGAGCTGCCATGGGGAACTTTTTCGCAATGCTCTTCAATATTAAGAAGGACATGAGGATCCTCATGGTGGGTTTGGATGCCGCTGGAAAGACAACAATTTTGTACAAGCTTAAACTAGGAGAGATTGTGACTACGATTCCCACGATAGGTAAGTCTCTTATGTGGCTGTTGCAATTCATTTTTTTACAATCAGATGCAATAATAATCTTCTTAGAAGCCAGATAACATGTGTTGTGTGGCCTTATTAGTGCTAAACTATATATTTCAGATATTGTATTATATTGTGTTTTTCCCTTCAGGTTTTAATGTTGAGACAGTAGAGTACAAGAACATCAGTTTCACTGTATGGGATGTCGGCGGGCAAGACAAAATCCGACCGCTTTGGCGTCACTACTTCCAGAACACACAAGGTTTGTTTTTCAAAACCATCTCCCCGACATGTGTTGGCTGTATGTGTTTTCTATAGTATTCCCTTAATGTACACTAAGAACAATGCATATCAAACACACAAACTCCATTGGCTCTTGTTCCAGGTCTCATCTTTGTTGTGGACAGCAACGACAGAGAGCGAATTGCTGAGGCTCGTGAAGAGCTCATGAGAATGTTGGCAGAGGATGAGCTCCGTGATGCTGTGCTATTAGTATTTGCCAACAAACAGGTAAGTCATACTTCATAGGGATGGGCATTTGGATTCAAGTATTATTGTTACGAAATGTATTGTTATTGCCTACTTCATGACTCACTCTAATGCTGTTGCTCTGAGGTGGCTGCTACGCTATCTATAGTGTGCTGGTTATCACAACCAGGTAGGATAAGGTTCTTACTTACAGATCTTATTGGGGAAAAAAGAGAGAGAGAAATTAAAGCGCAGTCCGTAAGTCTTTTGTGAAAACTACCTTGTCACCTCTTTGCAGATGACCTCTTATTTCACTGTGTTCTTATCAACAAAGCTCAACAGAGCACATCCCAGTCAATATATTCATCATAAACTTGCCAATATTGTTTTCCTAGTAGAATTACCATTTCCTATTCCTGCTAACAAATGACTTGACGAGAGATCGGCCAGTGTTTGTCTGAAGCTGTCTTCTCCTGTTAAGGAAAACGTTTTGGGGGAGAAAACTGTCCTGATACACATGTTTACATTTTATTTAGCTTTCACTGCTTAAGCATTTTGCTAAATTTGTTGAAATACTTCACATACATCACTTTGGGCCTGTAAGTCACCATTCTGCCTGTTAAGTTAGATAAGATGATGTCTGACTGGAAACATTGACATTTTGGAAGGGGGTTGCCTAGATTTATCATTTCTATAGATTCGAGCAGATACTTACAGATTTAAGTTACATTACCAAAACATGGTCATTAATCACATATCTTCATTTATCTGCATATTGAACAAATACTGAAATCGAGGAACCTGAGTATTTATGCCAACCCCTAACACTTAGTCTCGTTATAAGCAGGTGTATATTATAAACCGTTTCCTGAACATGTTCCCTCTCAAGCGGGATGAATTCATAGAGTCGGTCTTAAATGTGTTCTGTGTTTATTGTCTGCAGGACCTTCCGAATGCCATGAATGCAGCAGAACTCACAGACAAGATGGGGCTTCACTCCCTACGTGACAAAAACTGGTACATCCAGGCAACCTGTGCCACCAGCGGGCAGGGCCTCTACGAAGGACTGGACTGGTTGTCTAGTCAGCTCAAGAACCGTTAATATCACCTGCTATCCAAAACTAGTCCACTCCAGACCCTGGTCTGTCCTCTTAGTTGCGTGCTCCAGAGGTACTTCACCAACAAATATGGCAAAGGAGGGGTTGATTTATTCTTGTAAAGATAAAGATTTTTTTTTATTATTATTGAAATGTAAATATAAGTATATTTGGTAATTTAGTAGCTTGTTACACCCTCTCAAATCATACAGTTTATGTCTCTTTCTTCAGCCGTATGTGCTTTGAAAATGAAAATGGAGGACAGGAATTAGAATTTACTAACCATTTTTTATAATGCAGGGCTTATTGGTGTATAAAAAACAAACTTTAGCCGTTTTCACAGATGCACTCCGGATAATATCTAGATAATTACAGGAGGACTTCTCCGGAGATTCTCCCACCCTAGCTGTTCACGCTTCTCACAGCGGGGGACTATCCCTGTCAGAGGGGAGGGGGGATCAGGCGAAAAATGCAGCTGTTTGCATTCACATATAGCCTAAAGCCCCTCCGGGTAGCCTAATCTCCGGAGTTTTTCAGGAGATTTCCATATGTGTGAAAATGGTGAGCACTGATGCACTGCTTGCTTCTACTGTAGTTACTTTAAACAGTGAGTACATTTTCTAGCTCACCAAATTACCATTAAGTAAACACTGGTTTGAACTCTTTTTTTTTTTCTTCCATTCTTAAGTAAATCTGTCTACTGTCCTCGAACACTTACCAGCCTTTGTCGTACAGTATGTTTGCCTTTATGGAGATATGCTGCAATAATCTCATGTCTACCTGCTTTATGGGTGTTTTAAAGGTAGTCTGCTGAGTCAGCATTGGACTTTTATATTTGACAAGACTCAGGATTATCAGATGTTGCCTTTGTAATACACTTGTTGGAATGATGTGGTCTTTAAGGAAATGCATATCAACATGGTGTTTACATCATTAGGCTGCACTGAAACCACTACTCTACTGAGAACTCACTTCAACACTCCCCATTATGTAGCTTGTGTCAGGTTGTTTAGCCTTAACACTACAATGACCATATTGTCTTTGCCAAAGGCTTTAACTAACAGATTATGCATTGTGTCATTGAAAAGTTTAAAGCTGTTTTTTTATTTTTTTTTATCGTAATACAAACAAAATGTCATCTAAGTGTTAAATATGGTGTCAGTTTCTTCCTGTGCCGCTCATGTCCTTTGGGTCAACAGGGGGACACACAGTTGCCTTCTCATACAAACCACGTGATGTCATTTATTTACAAACAAGGTATGGGTGTGTGTGTTTGTTTTTTTTACCGCTCTGAAGATGTCTTGGGGATGCATTTAACAATGTTCTAAACTGCCTTAATATTTGAAAACTATGTTAATCTCAAATGTTTGTTTTCTATTTAAAGTTTTTTTTTCAAGGGAAAATCACTAATTAAAATATCGGGATGAAAAAATGTTTCTTCTGCTGATTTTCATTCTAATTTACACCATGCAGAAAAAATGGTTAATGATGTCTGAACTTGATTAATCACATGTATACTTTATAATTTTTAACTTCTAAATATAATGTATTTTTGAGATTAGTCAATAAGGTTAAGCACTAGGTAACTAATAAAAGATGTAGTAGCTGTTGTCACTCAGACTTCTGTTTTATGCAATTTTATAAATCCAATTCTATTTATTATTAAATTATATTTTATTTTTTTGTATGTTTGGACAAACACTGCCATTAACTGAGATCCATTTGGAACTATTATAGGCAGTTAAACCTATGAGGCTATCTGACATTTAAGACTGGAACTATAACGTCATCGATAAAATACTAAAATTTAACAACAGGCCTAAAAATCGGTGTCATGGCAACCTGTTGTGGCGGTCACCCTTTGACCTCCAGAGTAATGTGGTGTAAACCACCTAATGTTGGGGTTAAAGCAGTAATGTAGAGAATACACCCTGGTTCACATTGTTTAGGGGTGGCAATCTAGGCCGGCATTCCTGCAGGTTGATTAGGCTGCCGTGGTCAATGCAGTCAAGCCTGTAAAACATGGCAGACAGTATGGTGTCGGTGGAAGAGAAGGGAGTTTGAGTCTTAGGTCCCTCATAGGGCTGCTTTGTATGGACTTCTCTCCTGCTGCTCCATCAGCTTGGTTTGTGTGTGGCAGTCTAACGGTACTTGATCATATAAAAGGACCAGCCTGGTGTTTTGCACTCTGCTTTATGAATGCCTTGCTCTTTTTCAGAGCACCCACCAGGTGCCCGCCGGCAGAATACCCTCTTTCAGACCAATTCAAGGCAAATGCAAACACTACAGTCTATTATGACCAGTGGAGAGCATTCCAATGGTGTCACACCAGTCAGGGAGCTAACCCAGAACGGTGAGGGATTAAGAAGCACTGGCACAATTGAGAAAAGAAAAAAGGACCTGAGCTGCTGAGAAGTGCAAGAAGCACAGTGGGATGGAGGAGAGAGGCAAAAAAGACCAAGGCGTCAGGGAGTATCGGGGGAAAGAACATTTTTTAAAAACCCACTTGCTTGACTTTTTTCAAATATAAGATTTCTTTGCAACAGATGGCTGAGCTTTCCAACACTTTATTCATAATTTTCTCCGTAAATCTGAAGATCAATGATACAAAAATAACTGTGACAAAGCCAACTTTACTCAACAGTCTCAACATTAAAACCTGAAGGGAAAACATATGTATTGGTTAAAAGTAAAAGCATGTGTCTTAAAGCGTTGACCTGTCTCCAGTGTGTTTGATCATTCAGGGTAAATGAGGTCCTCAGGGCTAGCCAGGCTGCTGTAGAGCGTTCTGTCCGCATTAAGCGTCTTTGAATTGTGTGGGGGTGTGGGGGGGTGTGGGGGGGGGGTAGGAAGGACATTAGTCGTCCGAGTCTGTGTCGTGGCGCCGCCTGTGGCTTTGTGTGGCACCAGCAGGGGCCGTCTTGTGGCTGACAGGGTTACGGGGGACAGGAGACCCCCCGTCCGAGGAGTCTGTGTCATGCCGTTGCTGCCGATGATGGGGGTAGGCGGGCTGCCGGTCGGCCTTTGCTCCCCCCCTTGAATGGCTGTCATGGGGTTTGGCTCCACTCTGACTATGGTATGATGGATTATGATGATGGTGGTCCTTTCTCTGCCTGAAGAGGAAAAGGAAACCAACAATACATGACTGGGTCGTGGTGGATCAGGTATGTTATGAGGCTAGGGGAGAAGAAGCTGCGAGACAAACTTTATAGTAACATTCACAGAAAATAAGAAGAATAATTCACAGTGAAAATAACTGTTGAGTATTTGTTCTCTTTGTCAAACTATTTATATCAAACATTTTGAACTCTACCATTATATACCTAGTTTAACTGACAAACACCAGCATGATTCTTTTTTTTTTTTTTTTTAAAAGCCTTACATTTCAAAGTGGCATACCCTTCCAAGTGTCTTATTTGACAGATTTACAAGAAATGTATGAGATATTTGACTAAAAAGATAACGCTTCATGATGCTGAGTGTAGGAGTTTGCCTCTAAAAAGTGCCTCAGTGCCCTCTAGTGCCGACAGAGAAAAGCTTTTCAATCTGTAGGCACAATAGAATAAACACATGTACCATAAGTTCCAGTGAAATGCAATATCAACCATTGATGCAATCTAACAATGATATGAATTTTGGTCTTGAGGAGGAGTCAAACTTTTTAGTTTTATAGTCAGTCAACAAACAAAGACAGCTGTGACAGTCATCGGTATGTGCCATATGTAGGTAGATAGGTATGAGCCTAAGCATGCTGATGTGTCCGATGTCTTTCATGTTGTGATGTTATGGTGTAGAATGTATTGTTTTACATTTAACTGAGGCTCCTTACAAACCATGACAATACATTTCCATCATTTGTAAAGTTTTGCTTAGGAGGGGGTTATTCCACATACATGATAACATGTTATTTAAGCCATACTTTGTAGTGTTCCTGTTAGAAAAATAACAAACTTCTTTCTGTTGTCGTCTGACTCCGAGGAGGATGAGTCTCTTCTTTGCCTTTTCTTCTTTTTTTCCTTCTTCTTCTTCTCCTTTTTGCTCTTTTTTTCTTTCTTTTTCTTTTTGCTCTCGTGTCTAGAGAGTGGGATAATTATTACGGAATTTTAAAAAAGCTGAAACTTGATACAGGGTGTGCTTTTTGTGAAACATCATACAGGTTTGGAATATGTTTTTTTTTTTCCTTGGTGGAAACTTTAATTTTAAAAAGCTGACTCACCGTTGTTCTACTTCCCCCTTTTCTTCACTCTGAGATGTTTTTGTTGCGGAGGTTTCCTGACAGTGCTCTGCTTTGTGGTGCTGTAAAGGAAGCATGCGTTCAATCTTCGCATCAGGCCATAGATCCAGAAGGAGAAACTTGCTATTTGCAAAAGAAATTTCCTGGGCCTTTTTTAGTTCATAGAATCTTAATAAACATCTAAACCACAAATCTGTTATTTTTCAAAGCAAAATAAGAAAACTTACAGTGAAAACAGGCAAGCCCATTTTAGCAGCTTCTTTTTCCTTTTGGGAGAGCACCATTTTCTTTGACCCTGTACTGATGGAAACAATCAACAAACACTCAACAATCAGCGCAGTTTGATAAAACACTTTCCTCCGCCTACTTCTCAAGAGGAACAACAAAAATAGAACATGAATAGGGGAAGAGACTGATATTAAAGTTGTTTATATCCTTAGTTGATCGCTGCTCTAGGACAAACCAACACTAATCATTTTGAGATAATCTTACAAACAAGTAAAACAATTACCTGGAGCTTCCCAAGCCTGAGACACGGTCCACATCTCTTTCCTCACCATCAGCTTCTTCTCTCCTGCAAACATCTGCAAGGTCCTGATGACACATTTCAAGGGATTCCAATTATTCAACCTGTTCAATCACGACTTAAGAGTTATTTAAATGTTTACAAGCGTCCAATGGAAAAGACAACCAAACAAAGAGACACACCTCCTTAGTCAAACCAGTTGGTTGCCTCTTTATATTCTTGTGCCCTCTAGATCATGAATGGAGAAGAAAAAATGATATTATATTTGTCAGTTATAGTTGTTGGCTATGTTAAAAAAAACTTTTTTTTATACGATGTTATACATACAGAGCAGCCATCAGTGCTTCATGCTCTGCAGCCTTCACAGCAGCAAGTTCTTCAGCTTTTGACAAAGCAGCGCCGCCTTTTTTGTCTTTTGAATACCATGACAGATCCTTGCCTTTTTGCCACCGTCCTACTGGTGCCATCAAAGAGTTCCCTGTAAAAATGAAGAGAATAGTATAAGAGTGGCTGAGAGAGATATGCTGAAGAAAGTCCATTTTTTAAACTTAAATGTAATGATGAGACAATCTTTAGCTTTCCATACAGACACTGAATTATTGTGCACATTTTCAAATGCCAAAAAACACCAGTGGGAATTATTAAATGGCTTAATGAGGGCAGATTTTCCTTGATGTAACATCTATACATTGACCTTAACAAAAATGTATCATCGCTTAGTCACTCTTATGAGTGCCAATGGAGCTACTCAAAGGATGTTATCCGACAGCCGCTTTGATAAAAGAGCTGCAACAAATTTAAGAAAAAGCTAAAGACCCAGCTCTTTCATGAATACCTACTAACTTAATGATGATGGTTTCGATATCATTGATGATACATGATTGATGACCTCATGCTACACACTGTGTTTTTTTATTTTTATGAACAAGTTACTGTGTAATTTTATATTATTGTATTTTTTTACATTATTGTATTTTTTTTAATTTAAATAATGTAAATATGTTTGATCTGTTTTTAACTTCTATTTTTATTTTTTATAAGTATATTCCCGTCCCCTGTTTTCTGGAGCTGCTGTAATGCACAAATTTCCCCCACGGGGGATCAATAAAGTTTATCTTTATCTTTATGATGATGATGGTTGTGATGATTGTTTTTGTTTGATAACGATGACTTGAAGATGGTTTCTATACTGATTAGAGGTCTCAAGAACTGCCCTCAATGTTGTGCTTTGCCTCTGGTCACTTCCTGTCAGCACCTGTGTGTCCAATCGGACTCAAAGCTGATTGTTTGCTCTTACTGACATTGTCTCCTTTTTTTTTTCTAGATCCTTGCTTGTGTTGTACTTACTCTCTGATGTACGTCGCTTTGGATAAAAGCGTCTGCTCAGTGAATTGTACAATTGTAGAAAACAATGACTTTTACATAATATATTATCTGGGTTCAGTGATTTACAGTTTTGGCAGCAAAACATAAAAAAGTCAATAAAATACACTGAAAAACTAGTGCCCAAAATACAAAGACATGGTTGATGTGTGCTTGACTAAAATCAAGACATTTTCACATCTGTAGGTAATCTTTTATGTACACTGTTCAAACTATTCAAATTGTACCTCCTCTGACGCAACACATGAATAAAAGTGAAACTGAAACGACACACTTGGGGGTCTGATGCTGATGCTGATCTCACAAAACTCAAATAAAACTGCTGCTTAGTGAACAGGACCACATGCCTTAAAATGTGATTAATGTAATTTGTTAACTGGAGCTCATTAGAACAATAAAATCCGCCCCACAGGTGTGTGTGTGTTTTATCTTTTTCATATCACAGCTGTGGTTGGGTAGCTACGGAAGTCTCGTTTGGCATGCTGACAGCCGTGAGGGGTTCAGAGAGCTGTGAGGCTACGTGTGAGGCAGCATTAAAAAAAACAAACTGAGACCTGCAGCTTGAACACTGGAAAAGTGGACTAAAGCCGACCGACTGGACACCGTGTAATGAGGGACTGTACAGCAGGTATGAAAAAAGAAAGCAGTAATTGTAATAACCGATGCAACAGTGTGCGTGTTGTACAACTGTGATGTGATTGTTGCAAGACCTGCGAGTTAGCAGAGAGCTAATCGCGGCACATCTCGGTGGTGAGAGAGGACTTTGGCTACAAGCTTCTTCTTTTTAGACTTACCGAGGTAATTTTCTCTGTGTTTGTCGACTTTCACGTCGTCCCAGTTGAACTGGTCCTGCCCCCCTCGGATGCCTCCAGATCTTGAGGAACCAAACATGGTTTCTGGGCTACTTTGGAAAAAACAGTTAGTGCAGTTAGCGTCACTCCTCGACTTTTAGCCACACGTAGCTGCGCGAATGGTCAGGCCTTCAGGATTCACTTCATCCGGGTAGTTCAACCTCCCTGTGTGGGAACAAAGTGTTACGTTGTGTTTAGTATGACGACGGAAACTCAACCAGGTAACCAATTCAGCTGGGGTTTTTTTATTTGTATTTAGATACATCTACAAAGCGTAAGATGAATATTTTTAGTAAAAATCTTTGAGTTGTACAAACTTTGAGTTGTTGTTCTTCTATTCTCTTTGGCTAATGATGCTAAACGTTTCGCTGTGGTGTTGCGCGCATTCTCGCTACTCGCCAACGTGACGTGTTGATGTTTTGGCCCGCAGTGATGACGTAGGAAGCGCAGCTCCATAATGGCTCTAACTGCAAAGAAACAGAACAGAGGAGGGAGAAAAATCTCCGGAGACGGACCCAAAATCTCGGACTAAACTTAGCTCCCGATGTACATGAGATATTTTTCCAGGGTATTGTCAGGTATGGAGGAGGTATTTGTTTTTCTATTGTGTATAAATGATCTGCTGTATCACTGTAGCTTCACTGCCAGTCACATCCCTAAGTGTAAAAGGTCATAAATTGTGTCTGCTATAGCTGTTTAATCTCGCATTGGGCAGACTTATTTAGTATGTGCAACATAAAACATAGTCTAAGATTGTAAAGAAATAAAAACTCCCTAACACAAGGTGCACTTTAGTCTAACAGTGGATTTGTTTTTATCTGTAAGATCATTCTGGCATAAGATAGTAAACACTTGACTATAATAATAAAACATGAGAAGTGCAACTCTGCATTTTCTGTATGATTTATCTGGAGTGGCTCAATGTCTAAGAAGTTGAAATAAGGAGATCACAAGGTAAGATGAGTCAGTGATTAGAAGTGGTTGAAGAAGTGCCCACATTGCAGAAGTCACCTGTACTTTGGATTAAACTCAGGTCTAATTACAGATTTATCCCTCAACTGTTTATAGGTTCTTGCTTTAAATTTCACAACCCTGCACTGGTTATGTACATTTGTTTTGTATAAATCTGTTTTTAACTGCACAGTTTAAGTTTGTTTCATCTAGGGGTATTCTTTAAATCTTTTTTCAGGTTAATATATATGTATGGGAAGGGGGCGTCGGCTTTGTGGTTTAATTTGTAACAAATGTTTCATGTCATGTACGTCTTTGTAACCTGCTACTGGATGCTTTGAATTTCCCTCGGGATCAGTAAAGTATCTATCTATCTATCTGTCTATCTAACTACAACTAGCTGCTACACTGCTCTTAAGATGTGATTAAATGCAGCACTTTCTAGGGTTGTTAAAAGAGACGTTATTTGGTTACTGATTATGATTACATATTTTTAATTTGTGTAACAAAAGAGCGCAAAGTGACATGTTCAGATTGCTGCTTCAATCCAACCAACAGGTAAAAACCCAACATATACAGACATATAAGACAAAGACAGGCATAAAATGACCACATTTGAGAAACCATAAAATGTCCATCATATTTTTATTAAAAGACAGCTAGATTATGTTGATGGATTCATATATTATAATCAACATAAAGTTTTTGTCCTAAAACTGAAAAGCAGACTGGATTGGATTCTTCAGACCTGATAGATTTCACATGATTTGAATTTAGCTACAGGAAATATAAATCACATGGTGTCTAGTGCGCATGGATGAAGTCAAGGACAGTGCAGCTTCCAATTAGTTTAGTGTAAACCTATACGTCTTTCATTTCCTGTCACGCGGCTCTACAAAAGGACAAAAGGATGATTTTACTGTTGGTATTGGATTGGATTGGGTGTGGCAGTAGCTCAGTCTTGGGAACCTGAGGGTTACCGGTTCAAGTCCCAGTGCGGACCAGAAATACGGAAGTTGTTCTGGTAGCTCTCAAGTACTGCCGAGCAAGGCACCGAACCCTCAACCGCTCTGGTGCGCTCCCTGTGTCGCAGCCCCACTCTGACATCTCTCCACTAATGCATGTCCACCGGTCCTGTTTGTGCATGTGTGTAATGCAGGCCTGTGTGTGTGAGAAGCATGCCCCTAGAACAACAGTGTAAACCTGAATTTCCACCAGGGATTAATAGGGTATTTCAAAATTAAATTGTTAGAGCTGCAAGAATCCGAGGCTTAGCATGGAACATCATATTAGCTCCTGTTGAACAATCACATCTGTGTACAACAAGTGATTTCTGATTCAACTAAGACCAAGATCACTTGCTTATTTATTGACTTCTGCTGTGGAATTGATTGGGGTTTCATTATAATTGAATCAATGTAAAGGTTTTATGTTTTAAATTGGTAACTTTTGTTGTTTTTATAAAGTAAAAATTGTAATGAATCTTAACTTATTGCTCAAGGTGATTACACAAAATAGCATAAAGTCCAACTGGCAGCTGCAGAGCTCTTAAAAAAAACAACTTGTTATTCTTCTCCCCCTGGCTCGTGAAAAAGATCTCCAGCTCCTTTAATTTGCCATGTTGACGTTTGTGTGAAGCATTCAAGAGGCAACAGAGAATGACTCTTGTCATCTGCACCTGCAAAGAGAACCCTGCTGCATATTGTCTGCCCAGAGTCAAGAAGGCTCATAACGCTGTGATTTGATTCGTGGTTAAAAACAGTCACTTTCAAAAAAGATGATCTTTTAAATACTTAATTTTTTTAATTTGATACATCTCATAATGTCATGTATGTTTCTGGACTACTTTCTATCCTGTCTGATACCTGACATTGATGTTAGTAACAAGAATTTGTCCAATAATTATTATGGTTAAAGTTACAGTTTTTTTTTTAATATAATTGCTCAATAGCAAAACTTCACATTCTGTAGTTTTCAGTAACACTTTCCAGGATGCTCACAGATCACAAATCAGCTGACTCCCCGTTATCCAGCATTTTGTTTCAACTATAGAGAACACCACCCAGTTTGTAACTACTGGCTTAATGGAGGGTTTCCTCAGTTTACACTAAAAAAGATTGTTATTGTGATATCCTATCATTTTGCAAACATGTACACATCAATCGTAGAGAGCAGAATCTATTATGTGAAAACTCGGCCCTGCCCTCTTTTTTCCCCCCCCTCCCTCCTGCATTAAGCAAACAACCTATTCTCACACACCCTCACTTGAATTTCCTTGTCTGCTCGAGCTCTGTGTGCACTGAGGAAACGGTAAGGAGAAACTCTACAGGCATTATTTGTTTAACAATTCCACGTATTTCTTAGAAATAGTTGGAAATGAAAAGAGAAAGACTGTTTGGAATCTATCACGGTACAGAGGAAGTTGAGATGTTGATGGAGCAGTTGTACAAAGATTCATTCTAAAAGTACTGTGTTTATAAGCTTGTGAGTGTTTGACGGCTGCATAGTAAAGTCAGCAGGTTTTTAAAGTTGTTTTTAAACTTAAAATGAGAGTTTTAAAAGCAGCATTTCCTCTCAGTCTGTTATATTTATTTGCGCCTGTCCCTTTCACCACAAGCAGAGTAAGGGCTCTCCAATTAGTGGGTCATTTTTCCTCGGGTGTCACTATGGTAACCTCACAGCTTGCAGCTCTGTTGATTGCCTCTCCTCGGAGATGTTATCCACTCGTCATGATTAGAGAAACGCTGGCTTATCATTTTATGGTGCTCATCACACCAGAGCGTGAGTTGTGTAAACATGTTATAGCCGGCTGTGAAAGCTGGTTTCTTTTTAAAGCTGACTCATGCCGGAAGACTCTGGTGGATAATATGTGTCACCCCTCCATACGACCTCACCCACCTTCTTTTCCTTTCCTCTCTGCTCCTCCTCCCCTTCAGCTATGGCTGGACCCAGGCCTGTGGTGCTGAGCGGGCCGTCCGGGGCGGGGAAGAGCACGCTGCTGAAGAAGCTCATGAAAGAATACGACAGTGTGTTTGGCTTCAGCGTCTCCCGTAAGTGTGCCGCACCATGTCAGAGCATTTCACATTCATCCTTTTTCAATCTGAGGATCATAAAGAAGATGTAGCTGTATACATTTTACATTTCATATAGAGCTGCAACTACTGGTGTCCTATTGTTTTATTATTCTCTTTGGTAAGCAGTCAAACTGTAAAATGTCCAGAAGTAAAAAGTAAAATACCTTAAAACTAAAAAAAACTAAAAAAACAATTTGAAATCTTCATGAAAACCTTTAACTACATCACAATGATATGAAACAAGAAAAACACCAACCATAGAGACATAATTGCTTCTCTTCGAGCCATTTGTTTCTGACATTTATGACACAGATGTCTTTTTTTTTTTACTCCTCAGACACAACAAGAAATCCTCGTCCTGGAGAAGTGAATGGCAAAGGTACAACATTCTCCTCTTTTTCAACCACTGTAACCCTTAATCAAATTATATTTGTCCGTGGCACCACAGCTTTCTTAATCCTTATGCTGATGTTTTTCAGATTATCATTTTGTCACACGAGAGGCGATGCAGACGGGGATAGAAAACGGAGACTTCATTGAGCACGCAGAGTTTTCAGGGAACATGTACGGGACGAGTAAAGCGGCTGTGCAAGACGTCCAGGCCAAGAACCTCATCTGTATACTTGACATTGACATGCAGGGTGTGAGGAGCATTAAAAGGGCCGACCTCAATCCCATCTACATCTCTATCCAGCCGCCATCCATGGAGGTCCTGGTAAGCACAGCCAGATATACACTGCATTACATCACCAAACCGCACTGCACTCCTGTGTCACTGCCAGAGAGGAGTTCCTGGGTGTCACCTCAACTTTTCTTTGATCCACAGGCACCTGGTAATACAGGTTTTAATTGTTGCTTTAAATATCCAAGTAGGCAGCCCAGGTTCAAGTCTTACCTGTCGCTCCTTTATCACATGTCATTCCCCACTCTATCCACTGTCCTATCAAATAAGGCAAAAATCCCCACAAATAAATCTTAAAAAATATATATGTGTATACATTTCTGAACGCCCTCCGTTAAATGAGCACTTTGTCGATTTGTGTCGTTTCAGGAACACCGTTTAAGAGACAGAAAAACGGAGTCAGAGGAGAGCCTCCAGAAGCGTTTACATGCAGCCAGAGTGGATATGGAGATTAGTAAGTATCTATTCTTTGTCTGCATAAAATGTAATAAAAACGAGCTTTTTAAAAACATAAATCTAAACATAATTCTATCTTCTCTCTCCTTCTAGGTAAAGAGCAAGGATTATTTGATACAGTAATTGTCAATGATAGTTTGGAGGAAGCTCATGGGCAGTTAAAGGCAGTTCTTCTTGAGGTGAGTTACTGGTGCAGCACTCACACCTTAACTTGAAATGATCAAAACAAAACAAATGCTACAAGTTGAGCATCAACAAACAGGCTTTATAACATTTGCACAGAAGGCTTCACAGGCTTTTGATTTATGGGAAATTTAAACGAGCCAGTTTAAAGCTAAAACCAAATACTAAACTCAAAGATGAATTAAATCATTTTAAGTGTTAGCATGCCAGGCTAATCAGCTTGATAGCTATGTTAGTAACCCAGCCTTTCTTCTAAGATATTTGAAGTCAGCTTTTAGCTTGAGTATTAGGAGTTACAAGTCCAACATTAAAAAGCCATCTCGCCAAACTTGCTCTTCTTGCACGGTGGAGGCATTCAAGCCAGAGACAGTATTGAACCTGTGCACACTGCTATCTCTTCAGCAAGAGTTGCATGGTCTTGTTCCACATTTTTTTTTATAAATTGTTGTAGATTTGTCTGTTTTTCAAACATTACCTGTGTAGTCATACATTTTTTCTTCTTCTAGGAAATACAAAAGGTCAAGAAAACCAACATGTCTTCGTAGGATACCGCAGCATCCTTGCACCTTTTTAGTCCAGTCGATCCACTCCTCACAAAATCACAGACCTCCTCTCAAGTCGAGAACATTCCCTCCGCTGGTCTGTGAAGCTCAGATGTCCCTTTGACATGGTATTCAGGAAAAGTTATTACCAAATGATATGTAAAGTGGAACATTTTTTTTTTTATTATCAACAGGAAGCATTTCCATGTTTTTGTTTTTATTTGTATGACGAAAATATACTCCAACAATGCTTACTTGTAAAGTGTGGGGCTTTGTTTTCAGTGTGTTTGAGGGCAGAGTCGACCGATAAACAACACAAGCGGAGAAACAAAACTCATTCCATTATGTGGACAAACCGGTCTTATCAAGGGTGGGGCAAAGTACAATTCTGGATATCTTGATTAGAGAGAGTTAGTTATGCTACCTCTCATTTGAGGTCTTTCTTTTTCTACAACCCGTCACATCATGGTGATACAGATGTGCAGTGTGATGAATAAATCACAGACTCAGTCAGGGTTTGATCTCAGGCCCCTGCACATGATTAGTTCAGGGGGGGAAACTCCAGCTCTACAACTGATTTCTGAAAATATGGTGGCTGTTTTACTTTCATAAGGTTCATGTAGTATAACTTTACTGATTAAATCAACTATTCCAGTATATCTTCTTACAGGTTGTTGTACATTTTTAGGGTTTGTGCTTGCTAAACTCCATGTAAGTGTTTAAAGTTGTGCTTCAGTAGGATTAAATCCCAGGGTAGAGGTCGAAACAGTTGCTTCAAACAAACCAAGGACACCATATGTCATGAGGATAACCGCTCTAAAATAACAGATGAAATGTTTACTTGGAAGTTGTACATTTTTTTTTATTGTCACTCTATCATGTTGTTGCTTCACCTGTACAGTAAAATGACACTTTTTTGACTTTGAAGGAAAATTAAACACTTTTTATTCTCAGAATGAAACACACCCACGTGTCCTTTAAGATGTCTGAGTAAGTTCTCAGTCATCCAGGTCATGGTCATTTGAAAGCTTGATCCAAAGGAAACTGGACTTGTTAAAGATCTTGACCAGCCCAGTTGCCTTTGGATCAAGCTTCGAAGTCCTTTAGACTTTCTGTAATTTGTTATGTTTTGCCATTAACAACTTTCTCTCAAACACAGTGAAAGCATACTTAATTATTTTTAGACACTTTTGTAGTACCAGTCCTTTGCAGAACGGTTTCTGTTATTTAAATTGTCAACCTAAATACATTTATAATGTGTAACTGTTACATTATAGACATTTAGATGCATGAAGTCATCTGATTTGATTTGTACCATGTAACCGGCCCTTACTAGAACGTGTTTTGTGAAAAAATGTCATTGTGTATGTCTAATCCATAAAACCTCCAACAGTACCACCGTTATTTCTGTTAACATTGAAATACATTTGTCACAGTACAATAGTGGAAGAAGACTGTGCCGTATGTGTTCTATAAATAAGAAGTGGTGAAAGAAACTGGCTCCACTTATTTTTTGCAGTACATTTATTTGATTCAGATTTAACACTGAGTACTTATACACATTTCCAAAAACAACACATGTACAGTAAAAGCAGTTACAATGTGTTAGTGCTTACATGTTTCATACTTGATATGATTCTTGTAACTAACAGACTCTGTAAAACAACACAAACTCCAACAAAGGGCACTTATTCATACGCTTCTTATTCAACTGCATTGAAAAGGTAGTACGGTACATTGTGTCAGCTCGAGTACAGTCACACGCACAAATATTTATTTGCGGTTAAATACGATATAAATCTGGTTACTCTGGATAAACAATCTGCTTTGGAGAAGCAAACACATGCAATCACTCATCTAAACATCTATCACTTACATGTAAATCTATCTGTGAGATTCTGTAAATTCACTGCATAAGCAGACAGTAACGTCAAAGACAAGCAAACATTCACTTCACAATCGATGGAGGATATTTTGCTTCACAACAATAAATCATGTTAATGCATCGCGTAGCGTTATTTGATGTGAAAATGGTTTCCATTTCTACTACTACTACTTTTTTTTCACAAGCTGCTCAAACCATCTTTCACAACAAACCAAGTGACACCAGAAGTAGAGTCTTATTTTGTGGAAGGTACTCTAATTACACCATACACCTTGAATAAACTTGTAACAGTCCAAGGACCACAGTGGTCTCCAAAGGTCTGCTGTGAATGTGACATTATCAGTGTTGCACACTTCATTTAACTCTTAACAAGTAGACATGATTTCTTTAACTGCATTGATGCTCCTGTTAACCAAGGCACTGCATCAGTGTCGTAGGCAACATTTTTTGAAAGGTATAAAAGTAAAAGCATTAAATGTATGTACCTTAATACAGTACATGACCAATGCTGAACGATTCATCACTAAATCTAACACCTGGATCAATTCATATCCTCAGATCACGGTGTATGCTTTGGTAGAGTATGTAAAAAAAAAAAAAACTCTTGAAATTGAATTCAAAATCATAAGTAGAGATTGTCGATCAGTACGACAGACTGCATATGTCATAAACCTGTTACTTGTTGGGGCTTAATTTGCCTACAGTGAGAAAGTTTAAACTACATTACCTACTAGCCTTGTTTGCAAAGACCACCTGACTGATCAAGAAAAGACTCAGAGGAAGTTCTCTGATGTGCAGCTTCAAAAGGGAATGGTCTGTCAGATGTAGTAACTACACGTCAGGTTAGGATATGTGTTATTCTTCTAAGCAGAGACGTCCCTATTTAAGACTAAAAGGGTTTGTGGTGTCAAACTGAAATATTTAGCTACTATTTCTTTTGACCTATCTGAATATTGACAGAGTTTCCCACCGATGTGTAGCCGTAGGTCTGAGTCGACACTTTGGTTTTAAAGCTTTGCTTCCCCCCTTCGACTCTCTGCACCTCTGAGCAATATGAAGGCTTCACCTCCATCTTGGCGTGGCTCACCTGGATGGGGACATGCCTTTCCACCCTGGACTGGACTCCGCTGGCTTGTGGGGCTGCAGCTGAGAAGAGGCTGCTGGAGAGATGCTCCCTGAAGCGGCCAAAGAAGCCGCTCCTCTGCCTCTGGACTGAGACGGGGCTCCCGACATTAAGGAGCACCGGCTGTCCCACCGTGGAGCCGCCGATCTCCCTCTGCAGCACGGAGATCTCACAGGGCTTTTCAGCAGGAGGGAGGTGGGTGCTGGAGGAGCCATAGGTCTCTCCTTCCTCTGGAACATAATCCTCCAAGTCTTCAAGGGTCAGAACGTGTCCTCCTTGTGTCAGCATCTTAGACTCCTGCTTTCTGGTTGAGCATTGATCATCATCGTCTTCATCTGGAACAAAGATGACAGTCTCTTGATCATCCTGGTCTTCGCTGTCATCTCCATCAGCAGCGAGGACTGAGGAGAGCTCATGTGGCTCTTCAGGGACAGGGTCAGAGGTCACATGACCCTCCTCGTCTTCCCAGGAGAGCTGGTGGCTGCTGACGTCTCCCTGCAGCTGGGTCTGCACCTGCTCTACCAGCTTGTTGTTTGAGTTGTTGGCATTCGGGTTTTCAGGGGGATACCGTTTTGTTCTGGACAGAGTGGCTGAACGATCGGACCCTGCAGGTGAGATGTTTCTCCTCCTTGGCAGCCTAGGGGACTTATTGACTTTATATTCGATGACCTCCTCGACCTCCACCCACCGGGGCTTGCTCTCCATGACTCTGGCTTCAGCACCCTGTGCTTCAGTAACATATACGGTCGGGATGGTGGTCTTTCTGGTGGTGGGCATCCTCCTCTGCCTGGATGCAGGGGGCTCTGGGGTGGATGTCTCTGAGCGATGGGCACCAGCAAGAGTCAAGCCAGGAGACCTGTGCCTCCTCATCCGCGGGTTCTTCACCACAGTGGTTATAGTCTCCTCACTGAAGACACGGACAAAGAAAGTTATAAAGCTATAAGAAAACTCCAGGCTGCATCTGAATATTGATAGCTTTCACTTTGACTCAAAAAAAAAAACTAGAAAGAAGAGTCAGTAACTCCAGCACTCTTTCTGTCGGGATGCAAATAAGAAGCCTGTGAGAGGAGCTGTAGTAATAAAGTCACTGCTTAAAGAAGACAGCACCCTGGTGAAGACAGCCCATCCTTTCATCATCCTTGTGATAGAATTCTCTGCACTTGGGCTTTAAATACTACACAACAAAGCATCCATGGGGCCCCAAAAAGGAAACAAACACACACTTGCACACAGACAATCAGAGGAAATTGCTGAAAAGTGACTTTATGAAGCCTTGTACCATAAATAAAGTTGCCTTGCCTTGCATTTATATTTATTTATCTTTTACTGAGCAATATCATTCAACCAACCAATCAATCTTTATTTGTATAGCATCATTTCATAACAAATGTTATCTCAAGACCCTTTACAAAAGAGCAGTTAAAAGACCTTACTTTCATCCATTGATGAACTATGTCTCAAGTTAGACATGACACTTTGTTCAGTCACAATTACATTTCTTTCAGGAAGTAATGAGATGATCACATGCTGTTCAACAAGGAGACACACTTACATTATGATGGTTTTCTTTGGTATTCTCGTCTCCTGCTCAGTAACTATACAGGGTGAAGAAACAAAAATAGTAGGAGGATTAAAGCTTAAGCCTTTGTTTAGGGACACTGTTCTAAAGATCCTGAAAATGTTTGAATGTAATCAAAAGTTGCAGTTTTCTAAAGATAAGATCATTGTTCCTACCTTCGATAGTGATGGCCTGCTCACCGGTCCGAGCCACAGCAGAGGGGAGAAGTAAATCAGCTGCACACTTGGCACTTCCGAGGCGGTTGGACAACTGGAAAAAGCAGGCAAGATATTTTACAGAGACATTTTACAAGATGATTTATTGTTGACAAAGATCAAGTTATTAAGAGTTGTATAGCCCACACAGAATAAACCTCCACCCTATGAATATTCATGTAAATAACCCTTATAGAAGTTTGTGATTGAAGTTGGATTTTTTTTTTTATGTGGACCAACCTCACACTCATAGTGTCCCAGGTCTCTTTCTGTCAGGTTTTTTATCACCAAGACCAGAACCCCACTCCGGAGTTCGCTGTAGGTCTGATACTTTTCCTGGTCAGTCAGCAGCCTGCTGTCCTTGAACCACCTGGAAAAGGATACATAGAAGCAGAAAAGAGAAGAAGAATTAAACAACAGAGCAGAGGACGTTTTAAAGGAACTCCCTAACTGAAGTAAAATATTTTGTAAATTTCACTGATGTGTCCCCCTACAAACCTGATCTTGGGGCTTGGGGCGCTTTGTATGACGCAGGTAAACTGGGCGTCCTCGCCAGCAACGAATGTAGCATTCCTCATTTTATTCACAAAACGAGGAGGCACTGAAAAATAAAACAAGTCAAAACATTAATACCTGATTAAATAGGTAGGGTTTATATTTTTTGACCTCCTGGAGCGTTCTCCCGCTTACCCTGAACTGTGATCTTGCCAAGAGTGCTTGCATTGCCGGCTGAGCTTGAGGCAAAGCACATGTACTGGCCAGAATCATCTGCTGTCATGTTATCCAGGATCAGTGTGCAGGAACCATCAGGGTCCTCGATGATAATGTGATGAGGATCCGCCTCCACAGCTCGTCCGTCTGCATCCAACAAGTAAAACAATGTACTGATGAATCACAAAAAGCTTAAGATGCTGTTTGTATACAGAGATTAGGCTTTGTCTAAGAACATGTGTCAACACTTTTTATTGTTTATTGTTTATAAAATTACTAAACATTTTCTTCATAAGCATATGATCTTAAAAACATGGATCCAATTGCATACCCTTGTACCACGTGATTGTAGGTTTTGGTACTCCAGTGGCTTTGCAGGCCAGCTTAACAGTCTGCCCCAGCTCAGCTGTGCAGTTTGCCAGAATTTCATCAAAGTCAGGAGGACCTGTAAAGGAGGTTCATCACCAAATGTTATGTTCAGAAAATCAAATACATTCTAACTGATAGAAGTGTGCATAAGATACATGGGGGAAAAAAAGAGTGTGTTCCCCTCACTCCATGCAGGCATGCTGTATCGCTGCTGCAGCTCTCTGAAGTCCCTCAGCCACGAGTTCTTGATGGTAACAGTCCGGGCCTGCAGGGTATATTTCCTCACAGAGTCCTCACGTTCATGCCAGATCTCAAAGGCTCGGTCGTCACCCTCCACCGTCTCATTCACATCAATGTTATTTAACTATGAGAGGATGGGGAATACAGAAAGCACAGTTCAAGCGGCTGCTAAGAAGAGATGCCAGAAGAAAATCTTAATGTGAAAGGAGCTACATTAAAGATCTCACCTTCATCATGTTCTTAAAGACGTATGCTTGTGTGTCAGTGTTGCTGTCTCTCTTTGGTTTGCAGATGATGCAGTAGTTCTTAAATAGGAATAGGTGGCGGTGGTGACCTCTAGAGGATGACCTGATTCCTGGAGCCCCTTCCCACACTTGGAAGGGTCCCTGGTTTCCAAAGGTGAAATAAATCAACACACTTAATCAAACAAACAACAATGCTGCAGTAATAGTGAGTGCCACAGTAACTCCATGTACCTGTCTAATTGGCTCTCCCAATACTTCCAGTGTGGCAGGGTAGTTTTCGATCATGGTCACATGGTGTGTATTCTCAGAGCGCTGAGGGAGTGAAGACACCATGGCATATGCTTCTTCCAATAGGCAGCAGTTCTGGCCATTTTTTGCCTTGTTTCGAATGAGCTCCTGCACATGTCAAAGAATACATTTCAATTAAGCTGCAGCAACAGTGATACAGGTCTAAATCCTTCACATGCAAGAGATGTGTTTCCTATGAGAAATGCAAAGAATTGAACCACACAAAAGTGAATGCATATTGTTTGTCAAAGCTGTCACCTTGAGGATTGCCTTGTACTTCTGAATCCTGTCCAGTGGTTGTTGGAGGCCGGCGTTGATGCTGCGTACAGGGGGATCTGCAGGGTCTGCATTGGCTTGGACTTTATCAGTGTACTCCTACAATGGAATGAAGGTATTTATACTTACATAATTTATAGTGGTTTAGGGTCACAACACATCTTAAAGTAGGCTGGAAAAATAATTTACGAGCAAACCAGAGTTCAGCAGTTACAGTTGTGGTGTTACCTTGAAGAAGCGGTGGACAGTTTTATCACTGACAGAAGATTCAGCCAGACTCTGACCAACAAGATACTGGAGGTACTTCTCAAAGCCCTCCTTGTTCTTTAGGAAGCACATGGCCACATCATCGTCAGTGTCACAGTCGGATAGCTTTGGAAGGAATGCCCTTAAAACGATAATTGTGGGGATATTAATGCACTGAAAATCTAACAATGAATGTCACTGGTCTTTAGCATATTTAACAGAAAGGAGAGTATTCTCCAGATTTGGAAAACTGATGCCTTTACTTCCTTTTTAAAATATCTGACTAAAAGGAGAACTCACTTGCTATGGAAGGACTTGATATCATCAATGTTCCTGAATATGGTGTCCTTCTGGCTGCTGACATCAGGAGGAGCATCGGGGCTCTCTGCATGCTTCAGGTGATGGGAGGTGAAGAAGTCTATCTCTTTCACAAACTCTGATTCACTGTTTATCAGGTCTTGGATCAGTTGGCTAGGAAAAGGGACATCATAGTTGGTTATGACATGCCCCGTAGTTCTCGTAATGCTTAGTCAAAATCAGAATTGGGCTTTATTGCCAAGTACATTTACACATACAAGGAATTTGACTTGGTGTTCTGATGCAAAGACAGTTAACAAGGAAATATAAAAACAGCAGAGCTCCTGCTGACAGCTTAAATAGGAATAAGGTACAAATATTAAGGCTATTAGAAAATAATAATACAATATAAAATATAAAAACACAAAACGTACAAAATGTGCAATGGACGAGCTGTGCAGGTTTGTTCAAGATTGCGTGCAGTGTAAACAGAAAATATTAAGTCCAGTGTGCGTTAATGTAACGCATAGATTCAGCCTTAACATTACAGTAATGTTCTCTGGCTGATGAGAGTCTTTGTTATGTGGGGGGGGGATCTACTTACAATAGTTTCCTCTTGTATTCTCCCTCAGTAACTTCCTCTACACTCGTCTCTGGAAGGTCACTTGTATCAGCTGAGAGCTGGAGGAAAACACATTTGGACAATTTCTTATTAAAAAAAAGTAAAAAAAAAAAAAAAAGTTATGTTATGTTTGCCATCTTTGGCTTTAAGACCTACTTTGAGCTTCTTGTCCAGGTAGGCAGGTGAGACCCAGCCTTGGCGGGATGGTGTAGTTTTGGTAGGTTTTGTCCGAACTAACCATTTGAGTGGATGAGCTGAGTCCAGAACCTCCACATACTGTCCCTCCTTTAGAGAAATGGATTCTTTGCTTGCTATGGTTGGGTTGTAGTCTGCTGTCGCCACATAGATGTCGAACATCTGTAAAAGTACAAAAAAAAAAAATGAATGTTAATGGCAGCACAAATGAACAAAATGTGGAGATCACACTAAACATTTAGGGTAATGTACAGCTGCTAACTCTTGATTTTTTTTCTTTTTTGTGAATGTAAAGTTATTGCAGATGAGATTGTAATTGTAACATTGCTGTATGTATCTCATTTGAAGTCCAACATTTTAACCAATTATCTTTCAGGAGTATTGAACATGTTTTATTTTCAGAAGTTTTAATGTAAAGACATGTTAAGCCCACTTTAAGTTGCTTTTTGGAAATTAGTTTGTAGTTCATGTTGTAGTGTAACATTAAGGTAGATGAAGACATATAACTGCACAGATATCATATTGTTTTATATGGAGCTGACCTGTCTCGTTCAGACTTTATCAGAATACTGTTTAAATGATAACTGGTGGAGGGTGATAATAAGAAGCCAATAAAAGTTTAAAGCAATCGAAATCTGGACAGCAAAAAATCGAACAGCGAATGTGTACATCTCACCTCTCCCCGTGCATCTCCTTCATCAGACTCAGAGGACGAGTCAGCGATGAGGGAGGGAGGACGAGAGCGGCCGTGATGAGGTGAAGCAGTTGGGGTCTTGGTCTCATCATCACTGTCAGCGCCTGGCACACGTAAGGAAGCTAAGGAAGCAAGGATGCAAAGAGGCAAGGTCAAAACTCCAGTATGTACCCTTAAAATCATCTTTTTTTTAATTCACTTAGTTTGTTACTTACTGTTATGTTCCACAAAAGCTTTGTTTTACAGCAAATTTTAAAAAAGACAGTTGTCTCTGCAATGTGTTTTTCTATTTGATACATTTGACATTTAACATGTCATTTGATACGGTTATTAGTACCCACTTCATGCAGCTTGCCAGAGCTCGGTTGAGGACCATAACCAGTCAGCCAAAGTAAAAACCGACTCTCTGCTGCCATCTACTGGCGCTTTATTTACATGGGTTAAGATCCTTCAAACATGCAAATGATAAACAATTAATATCATTCTAGATTAAAGAGTTGCACGACTTTAGGATGTAAAGAAAACACATTTTAAAACACAAACCACAACAACATGGAAAAGCTTTTTATAAGGCAGGGTTAGTCTGTTACAACATGCAAAAAGATCTACAGAACAGTTATTATCTGAGCTCTTCACATACATGTCTGTGAACATGTAGAACAGCTGCAGGTTTGTCAGAATTCATAGTCATTTCAAAATCATTCAAATCTAGATTAAAAAGACCGGACTGGCTGCATTAGATGTTATAAAGAAGCATAGGCAGCATGTAAAGGGAAAAAGTACATTTTTTTGTTATAACAGTAGAAAAGAAAAAAAAAAATTAAGCTATAATGAGATAACTTTGTTTCATCCTGTTATGAAAGGTAACTTAAAGTTATCTGCTTAGTCATTAAACCCAACAAGAATATGGAGATGGAGAAATGTAGATTACATTGAGGCACTGAGGATACATACTGGTAGTTTTGGGCCAAGATTTCATCCACTGGAGCACTTCATGATTCTGTAAGCTGTCTGAATAACAAATTCATGATTGGATGAGTTTAATTTGTTGGGCTGTTTAACTGAAGGATGGATGGATGTATGGGAAATAAATGATTTCTCTTAGCGATGAGAGGTTTATGTATGTGCATAAACTGATGATTGAAGCAAAACATGCTAAAAAAATCAAGCACTGAAAGAGCACTATATGGACACACGTGACAAGGTGGGTGTCAGACTCAGATCTAAAGGCAAGTCAATTCTAATTCAAGAGTTGAATTGTTAACAATTCCACATTTAACAACCCTGTTTACAATTCTTGAATCATCAGAGGAAATTCACTGAATTCAACCAAACCACACAGACGTGTTACAAAACTCTTAAAAATAGAAACGTGGATACCACAATGTGAGGATTGTTTACTTTCTGCATTTTTATCAGCTTGCATGATATTTATTGCAGCTTTCATTTCTTTAAATGCAGAAATATCTGTGAATGGATATTTGCATAGAAATGCAGAACCTAAAGGTGTAGGACAGAACTTTGGTATCGTTAGCTATTTCTCTTTCAGAGAGCTTTGGTTGCATGCACTAGACACTAAATCAAAACAATGAAAACAATATATTAACAAAAACATATCTAACAACTATCAACATGAGCATGCAGACATAAGCCTGAAAGCAGCTGCAGTCATTGTCATTGCTTGATTTTGGTCTAAACAGAATTCAAACAAGCCCGGTTACATAAAGTGAGACTCAGTTTAGTTTTTAGAACAACTTAAAACTGTTTCATCTGTTTAAGGTTAACTTAGCTTAGCCCCCCTGAAATTCAGCTTTTTGGTGAACAATACTGCTTCTTTCACATTCAAATGAAATAATGGAATTGATTTGTGCATGGACAGAGTTCTCCAGATCATATAGGTTTACCTTGGGTAATCTTCGCTGATACCATCTCAGTGATCTGGGAGGTGAGTTTCATGAGGAATTCCTCTGTACCTACTTCACCTAAGAAGGGTATTTTACCCTCTTAAAGCACACACAGAGAGGAACGAATAGCATGAATTATGTAGTAATTTAAATAATTCATGTTACCATAAGGAAAACAATGTTACCATCAATATTAAATTCACAGTTATACGCTGATGACTCACCTTTTCCTCTGCTAGTCTCCTCTTCTGGAGGACTAACTGTGATCCCAAGAATCCTGGGGAGAATTAGATATGAAATTTTTAACGTAAATAACCTACAGGCACTTTGTCAAATGTTTGTGTTCATGTAAATCTAATTCTCAAACAGCGTTAAAAACATACTCTGAGGGTTTGGTCTCTTTCTTTGGTTGTTGTGCTAGAGGAAAGGGGGTGAATAAATACATGTCATTAAAATAAATTAAAAAAGATCTGCATTCACTAGTGTCTCCTAGTTTAAGAATATACTACAGAGGTCAATATGATGTTTGTATCAAGTCTTTAGATAACTTTGGTTTCCTTACTGTCCTCAACCTCAGGTGGGCAGTGAAGATGGACTGTCCTGCCCTGTTTGTGGCGATACAGGTGTAGGCACCGGTGTATTCTATGCCCACATCCATCAGGATGAGGCTATGCTGGCGCCCTGAGCTTGCTATCTTGTATCCCTTTGTCTCAGGTTTGATCCACAGAACATCTTCCATTGATTCCTCCTTTAGCCAGGACACCATAGGAGTGGGAGACCCTGAAACACGTAAAGAGGAGTACTGTAAATGTATAATACAAAATGAAACACAATTTCAGACGACCCCAGATTACAGTTAGAGTAATTACAGTAAGGGGAGTTAATAAAGTAACACTAAAAAGGCTAACTCACCTTCTACTTTGACAGAGAGGGTAATGCTAGCCCCTTGTTTCACCTTCCTGTTGCTGAACCTTTCAACAAAGCGGGGTGGCACCAAGGGCTCCTTGGGGTCTGTGAAGATATGATATAACCCCACAGTGACTTATAGTATATCTACTGAAGTGCTTGTACCTAAGTCTGTAAAACAATCATCAAATTACCTCTTTTATCTTGAGGCATGATCTCTCCAGGACCTGATGCAGAATTCAGCAGTTAATTCATCTGTAAATATCTGAAGTGCAATTTAAAACACCTTATCTATTGATAATTTTGGTGTACACACATATTCAATCATTTGCATACATACGCAGAACCATGAGCCGGGCCGAGGAGTAAGCTGAACCAGCTGCATTGCTGATGTAAGCAGAATACTCCCCCATATCATCTTTCTTCACCTCCAGGATCTCTACACCGTGAACATCTCTCTCTGCCAGCAACATAATCCTTTTAGAAGGTCGCAGAGGGTGGCTATCTTTGAACCAGTATACTCTGGGTTTGGGGAAGCCTGGAATGAAAACATATTTAAAAACATTACTCGATGAGTTAAACTAATTTATAAGGCAGTTACAATCTGCTGTATTTAACTTCCACTGATGAATCAACCTTTCATGCTGGCTGATAAACGTACCCTTTACTTTTAGCTGCATCTTAGCAATAGGTGAACCGGGACACACATGAACATCATGAAGCTCTTCCACTATTTGAGGTAGCTGATCGTCTTCAGCGACAGACTCAAATGTCTCAGTTTCCCTGTGTGAGGAGTGTAAAGAGTGCATGTGAGGAAATCGGTATGTGTGTTTCATCAATTTTTCTAAGCAGCATAAAACTTAATTCATAGTAAATTCACCTGGACATGTAGCCCTTGGCACTGACATAGGAAGATGTCTCAGTGGCATCAGCAGCAGTGTCATAATCAGAGCTGCAAGACACTGATGGAGAAGATTGATGGACAGGGTTATTGGGTGACAAAAAAAATAAAAATAAGTATCAGTAATAAATGTCCCAATTTCCCAATACACTTCATAAATACTGAGTCTCAACTTTACATCCTGCATCCAGATAATGGTTACATTTAAAGTCTGATAGATAAGAGCTCTCAAAACACAACCTCTATATTTCTCCTTATACGCAAAAGCAGTACTCAAATGTCTCTTTGTTCCTATTTGGTCAGTTTCCAGTTTTACTCACTGTCAACCCTGAGTTCAGCCTTTGTGGCTGCGATGCCGCTGCTGTTTTCCGCAGTGCAGCGATAGACGCCCATATCAGTGGGCAGCACAGTGGTAATGATAAGTTGGTGGCAGCCCTCCTGATCTTCGTTGATCATGTAATGGTCATTCTCCTCCAGCAATTTGCCATCCTTGTACCAGCGGACAGTTGGAGGGGGCTTTCCAATCACAACGCAGTCAAAGCTAACGGGATACCCGTCTGGAACATCCTGACTTTGTAACTCTGTTAAGAAGACTGGGGCGGCTAAGTAAAAAGGAGAATGACTTTAGTGATAAGCACAGTGAGCTAAGACATCACCTTATTTACACCAGTGTTATAATGAAGATAAGCATTAGCAGCATTGCAACTAAAGAGTTTAGAGTACAAAAATGTGGGTATCAGAAGTGTATTCCAAATTGTAATAATCCAAAGGGCAACTCTGTCATGTTTCTTACCTGCACCTCCAGTAAGCAATGCAGGGGGCTGTCTGTCTTGTGTGGGGGTCTGCGTGCCATCTTGTGTGTAGCCCATCTTTCTGATTCTCAGCTCCACTTTGAGAGGCCCCGCCTCAAGGAAGGTGGTCTCCACAGGAACCCCATGGATTGTAAACATCTCCTTAAACCTCTTTGAGGCAACCTCAGCATCTCCCCACGAGTCAAAGCGAATGTAGATGTAAGTGTCATCCTCTCTATAAGAGTGAGGGTCTGGTGTACGCAAGTCTCCTTCATCTGCACTGACAAATGGTTCCTCCTCAACATCTGGTGGGAGACGTGTGCGCAGCAGGCGCCGGAGACGTCTGCTTGCCTGCCTCAGAGACTCATCCATCTCACTACCTGAGGAGCTCTCGGCCTCGCTGTCTGCACTGTAGCCCACTGTCAGTGGCCGGCGCCCAGATGATTCTCTCGCTGTTCCCACGGTGACCTTACCACTGTGAGAAGTGACTCCAAACTTGTTGGTGACCTCACAAGTATAAACCCCGGTATCCTTTGTAGTGATAGCAGTGATAACAAGCGAGCAAGTGCCATCATTGTAGATATCAATGTGGTGGTGCTTTCCATCAGTCAGTGGTTCTCCATCCTTCAGCCACTGCACCGTATCAGGTTTCCCTTCTGCCATACATTCTAGATGGATGGTGCCACCAGGTTCTTTGGTCTGGTCTTTGAAGACATCTTTAAAAACAGGGCGCATTTCTCTGCGGGTTTTGTAGCCCTTGAATGCAGCTTGAATCTTAATGGCAGCCTCTCTAAGCTCAGGCTCATCCTCTTTACTGATCTCTATGATGTTAGTCTCCTCTGAAGACACCTGTTTAATATCTGTCTCCTGAACTGCGGTTGCTTTAATCTCAGTCTGCTGAACTGTTCTCTGCTCCGCCATCTGGAAGTGTGCAAAGAACCTCTCAGTGGTCATAGTCTCTGACTCATTGACTGCTGTGACAGATGTCTTGCTGCTTTTCTTGAGGTAGGACACAAGTGTTGAACCCCCTGAAACAGACTCATCCTCAGAGCTGGTGATCAAGGTGGACTCTGTCTGCTTCTTAGGCACACTGGCCTGCACCTTTTCGACTGACTTTACTTCCACTTTCTCGGGCTCCTTCAAATCCTTCTGTTCTGATTTCTTTCGACCACCTTTACCGTCCTCCTCAGGTTGTTCTGAGATAGAGTCCAGGGTAGGCTCTCTGCTCATGCGTCGTTTCTTGGCAGATTCCTCCCACAGCTCATGGAGATCCCCTTCATCTGCAGCTTCTGGAGGCAGATTTGGCTGCCCCAGTATTTCAGTCTCAATACCTATGACATCAAGGAAATTTACAAGTGACTATGTTGTTTTAAAAAGTTGGAGTCTGTACAAAAAAGCTCAAATACTAATGGACGGTTGTTAGACCATTTGAATTTAAAACTATACCAATCCCAGCCTCAGTAGGATGGAGATTCCTTAAATCTATACATTTAGTTTGGGAAGTGCGCATTTGCTTAGGTGTATAAAAACAGGAAAACTTGCAAGGTGAATAAAATAACCCAACAATAAACAAACAATGTCTTACCTGGGCTGATGATCGGCGGTGTGGCTGGCTCTGTGTAACAATGACAAAACAAACACATATTATACATGAACATGTATGACAACAAAATAAAGGCTAATGTTTAATTTCAGATAAATGTCACACGTCAACTCACCAAGCTGCACAGTCTGAGGCAACTCAACAGGCTCTCCAGTCCCGCCTCTGTTGATTGCCGCCACTCTAAACCTGTAGCCACTCCCTGGGGTTAGATTTTCAACCACAAACTCTGTGTTGCACACAGGTTCAGAATGACATGGCAGCCAAAGGGCACTGTCAACTAGCCGCATCTCAACCCTGTAGCCCAGAATGGGACTGCCTCCATCATGCAGAGGTGTGAACCAAGACAGAGTAACTGACTGTTTGGTCTTACTGAGGACCTCTGGGTCCTCGGGAGGGTCGGGTATAGCTGGTGGGAAAGGAAAGAAGCAAAAGTTGAATGCTTCTTGTACATTAATACGGTACTAAGATGACCTTTTATAGAAGAAACACTACGTATCTCCTCATCCTGTTACTTCTACAGTAAAGTGATAAAACTTCAACTCTAAAAATAGAATTTATTTAAGAAAAGCATTTTAGACAATGATACTGATGCGTTCTAGCAGTGGTGTTTGTCAAACACTTACTGATGATAGTGAGCTTAGCCAAAGAGAGAGCATCTCTAGCAGCAAATGTGATTTCCTGTTGTGGCAAAAGAGGTGCCTTTCTCAGGACAAGGCGGTATGAACAGCCGTCAGCCCTCATAGCCCAGAGGTCACTGGGCTTAAGCTCAACTCCATTAGTGTACCAGGCTACTTCGGCCACAGGGATCGGCTCGTTGAGCTCAACACAAAACTCAACCTTCTCTCCCACTGCAGCCACCTTGTCCTCCAGACCCTTCACAACATCCAGCTGCCAGCCTTAAAAGACAAATCCACAGAATGAAAACTGTTTCATTGAAAGTGTTTTTACCTTACAATGCAGGCAAAATGATTCTATGAATACAACTGTCGTGACACATCCATTCAGGTGACTCACCTTTTACAGAGAGCTGAGCAGATGTGGATGCTGAACCAGCTTTGAAGGTCACCGTACAACTATCTTTAATTCGCAATTCTTTAAGCAGAAGCAGATGACGGCGGCCACTCTCAAATGTAACAATCTCTGCATTAGGGGATTCCTTCACTGGTTTCCCATCAAGCATCCAGCGACAATCTTTGCTCTCAGGACGAGAGAGGGCACACTCAAACAACGCTTCACCTCCATCAAAGGTCTCTGCATTCTCCAGGCCCTGCACAATGTCAATGGGTTTGGCTGTAGAAAAAAAGAAGAAGGGAGAAAGGAAGCACAATTAAACAATGTGTAGGGAGGAGTCACTTCAATGATTTTTCAACAAGGGTGATAAAGACTGAGATGATCAGTGTATATGAACACAAAACTCAAAGATAACGAGGAACCAGAGGAGGATCATGTAAGGTAGATGCTCTTTCCATGTGGAAAGAAGCTCACCTTCCACATGAAGTGAAGCGACCACACAGGTCCCCTGTGCCTCACAGGAGTATGTGCCCCTGTCCTCAGCTGACACGAGGCTAATGTACAAGCGAGCCACACTCCAGTCCTGCTCCACTATCACCCTTCGGCCGTCAGGCTGCAATGGCTGCCCGTCTTTCTTCCACTGAGCCTTGACCGGCCTTGAGAACTGGCAGATGAACTCAGCCGGTTGGTTTTCGACCACCCAAAGGTCCTCCATCTCGTTCACCACTTCAACTGTGGGATCTGAGGTTGGGATCAGGGGTCATAAAGTCAAGTCAGGGCTTGGCTATAAAATATAAGGACAAATGATGGACATGCCGAATGACATGTTGGCTTTATAACCCCCAAGAGCCAAAATGATGATTGTTTTTATACAACAATGGGTCTTTGTGGAGTGTGAAGGACAAATTGTATGTGCCATGGTAAAATATCTTCAAATATATATTCTAATGTTCACTGTGATCACCTGATTGTCTATATGCTACTGTAATGGAGGTCAAAAAGCCGAACTGTCAAGGTTCAGGGTAATGGTGAGAATCAAGGGCTGAGGGCATATGCCAAAGCCACAGATTGGCATATGGGGGATTAGTGCTTGGGGGTTAGGAGCAGGACTTAGTAGGATGGGGTGAATACAAAATAAAAGTAAACAGCAGCCTGCCTGAATGGATGGGTGGGTGGAGCAGCACTTTCCTTACACAACATTTGTGTTGCTATTATTCATTGGTTAACTCGTTCTGCACAACCAAACCTGGATCATACATTTACATCACCAGGTTGAACTAAATCACCGAATGTGTTATTCATCTTTACATTTAAAATGGACAATTTAACTTGGGGCTGCACATTTAATCATAAAATCACAATCATGCTTGTGCTTTGATGATTGGAGTCGGATGAGAATTTTTTACAATGACTCAGGGATACAAAATCAACATTAAATGCCTCCAGAGTTATGATTAACTTATCTTTTCTTCTTAGACAATGTCTTACGTTTAGGGTACTTACACTGTAAAGATAGAGGGGATTCCCTACAAACCTTTCTATTATGTCAAGCATTTGGAATAGTCGCTTGTCAACAGATGCTTGCAAAAGCAATTGCAACATTAAAGCAGTATGTTGAAATGATGTAAACCTCCCATGGATGGTGATGCGCCAGACGCAACCATTCAAACGCAGAGTCATAAACAATCAAAGAATGGACCAGTCTGTATCTGTACATGTACAAAAATTACAGTTGTGTTTTTTGAGTGGTTGATGTGTTTTTTGGAATATTTTGAAATACACTAATTGCTTACAAGCTTATCCTCTACTTTCACAGGTAGGCTGGACCCAATCCAAGCTGACATGGAGCAAGGGGGTCCAGTTGTCAACAGGACATGTGGGGGCCAACAGGATAAAATCCAGAACTTTCTTGCTGAAGAGGTTAAAGTGCTAAACACTGTGGTGGTCTGTAGACATCTCTGATTACATATCAAACTTCATCCATCAATTCCATTTCTCCCCCACCTTTTAGAATCAGGTTGAGGTAAAAGCCTGCTGAGCAAGATTTTCTAGCCATCCCATTACAATTCAATGTTTTCCACAGAAGACCACTCCAGAGTCTGCCTCTGATTGGCTGTGCCCAGAAAACCTCCAAGGGGAGCCACTCAGGTCGCATCCTGATAAGTTGACCTAACCACCTTATCTGGCTCCTTTTAACACACAAATGCAGCCTCCTTACTCCATGCTACTGCTGGTGCTCCTTACACTTGAATCTACATTACAATGCAACATTATTGCAGGTAGCTTTAAAAGTGCTAACAACTAATTTCCCCCCTCCCCAAAGATGGATGTATTGTGACGAATAATGGTGATCCCAAAATTGAGATATAATTGTGATTATTGATTCATCATTCCTACAGCCTAAAGTACTGTATGAAGAAAGGTCTGAGAGGGAATCCAGAAAGGAGCCAAACAAAATTACTATCAATACAATATTTTCATTTAAATTAACTGCTGTCGTTGAACATCTTTTTTTCCCAACCAATTTGCTTGTTTAGATTTTGGAATTTAAATGCAACTCTGCCATACATTAATACATCTCTGATGTGGTGCTGCACCCAAATGTATGTTTTGGTGGTATGAAAACATACAGCATGAATCTCTTTACTGCCAGAATTAACATGGATGATGGAATTAGAAACAATGATGCTCATGCAGGATAAAGCGGTAAAAAGTCAAAATCTATCCACTCTTAATCTAATCACAAACTTCAAACTTTTAACAGAAACCCTGCAGAAAATATCAAAATTCATGGTACCTTATTTGAAAAGATTTTCACACATTTTGTGATTCAACTTATTTGGCCAATTATTAAGTGCAAAGAATTTGGAGCACTTTATTCTCCTGTGCCTGTTATTCAATTTACAGTTTAGCTAAAAATTACAACAATAAACATATTGTCACTGCAATAAACATAGTAAATTGCAGTGACAACAATTTAACAAAAGACATATAACACCAGAAACGTCATGTTTCTAGATTGAATATTTATTTCTGCAGGGTCTGAATAGAAGAAAACGGCTTATCTCAGTGCTACCTTTGACTAACAGCTTGGCTGTTGATGTTAAACTGCCAGCTTTGAACATGACAGTGCCAGAGTCATCTGTGGCCAGGTTCTTTAATATGAGGTTGTGGATGTGGCCCTGGCTCAGCCCTATCTCACAAGAGGGGCCGTTTTTCATCAAGGTGCCATCAAGCCACCACTGCACTTTGCCAGGTGCCCTACCAGACAGCTGGCATGAGAAGGTGGCCCATTCCCCAACAAAGACATCGGTGGTCTTTAGACCACACACAATGACGACTTCTTTAACTGTTGAGCAGAAATACACATTCACTCAGCCACTTACTTACTCATTATCAGCATTACATCAACTTGACCAAACAACATGTCATACAAGACATACAGAAAAAAAAGAACATGCAATTTCGTAGTTTACAAAGACTATGTAAAGTCATATAATTAGCTTATCAGCTGTAGTAAACTTGAGGACGGATACAACATTAATGAGATGGCTACCTTGCACTGCCAAAGAAGCTGTAGTAAGCTGGTCTCCTGCATCGCAGGTATAGTAGCCACTGTCTTCGGGCTCCAGATTCCGTATACAAAGCTCTTCAACGCACCCTTCCTGCTTCATCTCATACTTCTTACTGGGCTGGAGGACCATGCCTCCTTTTCTCCACTCAACCCGAACACCAGGCTTAGACAGCTCGCAGTGCAGGGTAACAGCATCACCCTCTACCGCATCCTGGTTCTTAAGCTCTTTATGGAAAAATGCTGGGGCACCTGGTGAGAATTTAAAACGGGAAAACTTGGCATCAGATGCAAAGCTAAAAAGTTTTTAGAGGCTTTAGAGATACTATGAAAAACATCCCAGAGGCTGAAAGTTTTGCTGCTGCACAGTGATGCCAAAGTGGGATTGGAAAGTGGAAGGTCAAGCATCTTGGTCCACTATCTTGAATCTGTTTTTTTTTGTTTTAGAGGCATCTTTCTTTACCTTCCACAGTCAAGGTGACATCACACTGTGCATCTCCTGTGTCACAGGTGTACGTCCCTGAGTCCTCAGGCTGCAGGTTGTGGATACGGAGTTGGTGGAATGCTCCATTGTTCTTCAGGTCGTACTTGAGACCTGCTTGGATGGCCGTGTTGTTTCTCATCCAGGTGACAGTGGCCTTTGCGTCGGAGATGGTGCAGGCCAGAGTGACAGTTTCCCCCTCTAATGCCACAGTGTTGTGTGGCTTCTCTAGTATTAGCACTGTGAATATGGAAACCCGAAACTATATTTAACATGGGTAGCAATTATATGAAGCCTTTTCTTTTCTCTTACTTTAGGGCCATAATTAATTTTTAAATAATAGACATTAACACATGCATGCATGCATTGATTATTATATGCTATCTCAGATATTACAGTAATACAAAAAAATCTAAAATCTGTTCAGTATATTAGCAAGTGTTTTTTTTTTCAATTTTGTTTATAAGTTAATATCAATTTATGGCCCGAAGTACAGTAGCTTATCTCTTTAGTAAAAACATTTGTGTTAGCATTATGATAGCATTCCTTAATGAACCAAATGGAGTGGAATGGAAACAAGTCTACAAGTTAGGATGTTGACGATGTAGATGCCAGCTGATTTCCATTTGCCAAGACAAAGCTGTTTGGTGGTTGATGGAGATGGAATGAATAACCTCTAGGGACCTTGTCATCTGCTTTACCTTTGGGTTTCTCCTCCACCAGCAGACAGGCCACACTCTTTTCTTCTCCCATTACGAAGGCAACATCGCCTGATTCATCCGTGGTTACCATCTTCAGTGCCAAACGCTGCACTGTGCCATGGCTGCTCATTTGATTCAGGTCATTATTTTGGAGGAGGTTGTCTCCAAGCCACCACTCCCAGTTTGTCACGCCTGAGTGTGACAACTCAACCTCAAAGACAGCATCCTGCCCTGAGGCCACAGTAATGTCCCGGAGTTCTTTGATGATGCGCACATGTTCTGAGGGTGAATGGGATGAGGGGGAGGGGGTCAGTGATAAGAGCTCAGCAGAACTTCCAGCAGGCATCAATTAGATCCGTAAGCTCATTTTATACCTTTCTAAATACTACATGCCATGAGCATGATCCCATAAAACTGAATGCAGTGCTCGGGCATGCAATATTCTAATAACAACTAGTTGGCAAACTTTTATAAACAAAATTTTACTGTAAATATCACACTTTAGAAAATCAAATCACACAAATAGACCAAATAGTTAGGAAAAAAACATTCACCATATCTGTAACAAAGTGCCAACAAAGATTTCAGACATAAAACTCAAGGACTGTAAAGTTGATGCTGAGGAGACGATATGATCCAGGACTTGTTAACAGGCTTGACGAATATTAAATGAACTTCAGGAAGGACGCAGACGAGACGAGGAAACGACACAGAGATGAAATGAATCGATGCTTTGTTACCTTTCACAGTCAGGGACGCAGTACTTCTCTTGTCCCCCGTGTCACAGGTATATTCTCCACTATCCTTCACATCCAGCTTGTGTATGACCAGTGTGTGCGTGGTATCCTTCTGCTCTATGTTGTACTTCTCCCCATGGGTGAGCACAGTAGAGCCCTTGAGCCATGTCACCTTGCAGTCAGGTTTGGATGTTTCACAGGACAGCACGGCCTTGTCTCCATCAGTGGCCTCTTGACTTTCCAGCTCCTTCTTGAACAATACAGGTGCGGCTGCCGGGGAGACCATTGTTAATTAGGATGAATGATTTTAAATGTTCCATAGGTCAAAATGCCCCCATTGCAAAACCTACTGAACTCCCTTTGTTTATACTCACAGTTATAAATATTCCAAACCAACAAGCAGCTTAAAACAGAACATGAAAAGATCTGTCACTTACGTATGTCACTGGTTAACTAACCTTTGGTAAAATAGTCGAAGAGTGAATCTGCAATCAGTTCAATTAACTCACATGTGCAAAGACAAAGTAAAAATGAACTCGTGCAGGAAATTATGTTTATTATTGTTTATGGGCACAACAAACATCTACGGGGATTTCTACACCTCGAAGATAAAACATAATTACACTCTTGTCAATTAGAAGTACAAAACAAATTCTGCTACTTGTGTTGTTTTAACACCTACTGTATATTTCAGAGAGGACAACCATGACAGGAAAGACAGGTGAAAGAAAATGACAGACATGCACTGAAGGTTATCCGTCATGACTCCAGTAAGAACAGTGCAGTGTTTACAGTGCAGTGAGGAAACATATTGACCAACATGGCAAATGTTTAGCTTGAATTATACATTGAAACGTAAAAGGGTAATGTTTTCAGTGAGTCCAACAGCAAAGGAAATAAAACATGCAGTGACATTAGAGATGTGGCTTAATATGCAATAAAGTGCAGAATTAGAATACGACAAAATTAAGATGAATGGATAACAAGTCAGTATAAAGTGCAGAAGAAGTTTAAAAAATAAATAAAAAGGGAGCAACAGGAAATCGCAATGCATCCATTTTTTCAGGGAAGCTTTAAAAGGTGTTTAAAAGTGTTTTAATGATGGAGGGTGTCCAACAAGGAAGACGGTAATGACTGAAGAAAGGATGAGGAGGTCCAAATGTTACTTTAGGAAAAAACCGCTAGTTTTCATTCTCATCCAAAGAGATTCAACGCATATTTCCCTTACCTCTGATTGTCAGAGACGCAGTGGAAGTATTGTTACCCACTGTGAAAGTCACTGTTCCTGAATCGGCTGTAGTGACACCTCGGAGTGTGAGGCTGTGCACACAGCCCTTGGTCTTGATCAGGTTCATTTCATTATTCTGTAGCGGGACATCCTGGAGTTTCCACTGGGCCATGGGCGCCTCTTCATGAGAGACCACACATTGGAAGTGGACATCTTCACCCTCGTACACAACGCAGCTCTCCAAGAATTTTTCAATGGAAACCTCCACCTCTGTTTGACAAATACATTTCAGCAGAATGGTTACGCATTTGTTTTCTTAGGCGAGAATGCACTTGTCAAAGCTATAATCTTTAAGATGTGCAGATGTGACCAAGTGTGATCAAGTGTGATTAAAGCTATAAAGATTTTTGTTAGTGATCACCTAGTTGTAAGTCTGAACATCATGGCAGTACCAAAGAGCACCATAAGGTGGTGCCAAAGTGAATAAAGAACAGTGCAAGGTGAATTATTGTTTGTAAAGAGAGAAGAAAACAGGCGCAACTATGAGATGAGCTAAGTGACCAAGAACAGCAGAAAATTGATTGTGTGAATAAGTATGAGTGTTGTGAAGAGAGTGAACCGCAAAGCAAGAAAGTATGTGGAGGAGAAGTATCACTCGAACATGGAAATGTGGTCAAGAAGTGATTCTCCAAAGGAAGGGTCCTTGCTTGTCATGCCCAAGTGTTGAGTGATGTAGGACACACAGAAAGACGTGATTCCAAAGGGGGAAGGAAAGGACCATCTTTAAGAGACATCTCCTACCCTGTACAGTGAGGACAGCAGAGGTCCTCTGGCTGCCTGTATCACAGGAGTATTCTCCTGAGTCCGTTCCCTTCAGATTATAGATTACAAGCTTGACTACGGTTCCTTCCTGTTTGAGATGATATTTGCTGCTCGATACCAGCACCCTGTCACTGCGCCTCCAGACCACACGGGCTCCCGGCTTTGTGGTCTCACAGCGAAGACTAACACTCTCTCCTGCCTGTCTTTTTAGGTTCTGCAGCTGAGCTTTGAAAAAGGCTGGCTGGGCTGCAGAGGAGGAAATGAGGAGAAATCATTTAGTATAACGAAGAGAAGAGAGCCTGTTCCACATTTAAAACTGCTGTGTTCAGTCAGTTCATCAGAAGCAGAGGTTGAAGTGAGTCATCCATAGGAATCTTTGTTTCATATCTCACATCTATTGTCAAATCAATTCACAAGAGGTTACATGTTTATCGAGCCTACCATTAACAGCTAGTTGTCAGGTGCCTTGACAGTAACCAGTGTTACATGTGTAATTCAACTTCATGGACAACTAGTGTATACAGGCAACCTGTTTGTCTAATTCCATACTTAGTACAAAGAGATAGTTCTCCTTGCCTCCAATCTACAGAAGCATCAGGTTTGAAATGTTCACAGTTTACACTGAACCGCTCAGCGACTGTGTGGCTCTTTGGTGAAAGTAACCGGGGCAGCTGATGAGCGCAAAGAAATAACCTGATGTTTATTTGCAGTACAAGGTCAAGAATGTTGTTTAAAAACGACTGTGAGAAGAAGAAATTAGTAAAAAAATATATTATTAAAATTAAAGACTTGATGAAAAAAGACGAGATAATAATAATCTCCATTATACCATATAGATCAAGAAAGAGCAACATGATAGCTTCCTGTGTTTCCATTCTGATGGATGATGATGGATCTGTAACTCTAAACTGAATCCTCTCTGTTTCACCAGTACTTTTCTCCACAATTCAGGAGCTTCATTACCACCTTCATCAGCCTTCTGGCTTTCCAGCTCTTGAATGACTAAGACTGGAAGAACTGGGGTTTGTATCAGTTCCATATGATGATGTGTAGTGTTGTTACTTGCAGCCTTTCACAGTAGAAACCAAAGAAAAGTATGGTTTGATGTGTGAACTAATGTGCATGTTTCTAGAATACACATACTGTACATACACAATAACACTCATACACAACAAATGATCCACACTCTCATTCAACACAGTTGGGGCAGCTCAACATTAATCAAGCCCTTCAACATAGCTCTTGGTTATTCTTATCTGAAACCACAACACAGCAAATCTCACAAAGGAAACAAAGGATGTGACTGAAAATTGATCAAGTCCACATAAAATGCCAATATGCAACCTCTAACTCGTCAAAAACCAAGAAGAAAAAAATGTCTAGACTTCTGACAGAACCCTCACAACACAAGTACAGTACGAACAGTGGATCATGACATATGCTGTCACAGAATGTGCTTTGGCAAAACGCAATCCAGGCAACCAAGTGAATACAAACAACATCCAGTTTTCTCTGTAGAATCAGAGTTATTTGAGTTTCTCAATAATGCTATCACCTACCTTCAACTCTCTTCTTGGATTCCTGCTTCTCAGGTTCAGCTTTGGAGGACACTGCTGAAGCAGGTGACTTCTGTGCTGTAACTTAGGTTATTTGTAGAAACATAATGTAGGTTTTAAATTAAACTCAAATGAACTGGATCTCTTCACCAACAGACCAAACAAGACAATGAATCATAAGCAAGTGGCCACAAAAGTTTTACAGCCGCAATGTCCAGGACAGCACAATAGCATGAACACTGGATTTTAACATGTCTGAAACTGAGATTGTTAGAACACCTTTTTTTTTGTTTTTGAATGAAACATACATTCTTGAAGTGTGCAGGGACCTAAGCAGAGTTTAAAAACAACATACAAAGCGAGCCATGGCTGGGAGCTTGTCATACAAACACTTAAGTAGAATCACAAAGACAAATGGCAACTGACACCGTCGCATGGCTGAATACAATTCGAACAAAAATCAGGTCCATACCTTCCTCCACTTTCATGGAATCTTTAGAGTGTACGGTCACAGTTGCTGGAGCATTTGGCATCTTTCCTGCTGTGATAAAACAATAATGTCTGATTGTGACTAACACATGGCACCTCCAGAGCCAGAAGTCCAAGAACTATGGTTTAAGTCTATTAATTCGGTAAGCAGTTGCTGAGTACATATGCTATATTTCTACCAGGTCTTTTGTACTACAGAATTAATATTCATGAAGCACACAAGTTAACATATGTACAGACTAAAGCCAAAGTACAAGGTGCTTCTTGCAAATCTCCTATTTGTTGCAATTTTCAATCATGTCACTTCCACCAAAACCAACACAAAGTTAATGCATTCAGCGAACACCAGACACTACTCCTTGTTTTTGAACAGAAAATTATAAAACATCATGTTACAGCTATGATCCAATATTTTAGAATTTAAATCATCTTTGTCAACCATTCATCCCCTTACAGCTACACAACCAACCACAGCCAAACATTAAACATATTTTGTGCAGCTTAGAAAGTAATGCAACATCCACAGAGGTAGAACTCCTTCAATAAGCAATGCAAAGACTCAGTGTGGTGTGGCAGGACACTTAAAAGACGCACAAGTCCAACACAGAGTTCAAATCTTCTCATACCTTCTTCTGGCTTCCTGGTCCCCTGCCTCTGTGTGTTTTGTTTTACATCTAATCCAGCGCTAGTATTTTCAACTGGGATAAAGCACAAATTCAACCTTTAAATCTTACAGAGGTGAATTCTATAAGACAACAGACGATGAGAAAGGATAAATCAACAACACATACATGAACCCAGTACATTCAGTGTAGCTGTTGCCTGATTACAACTTGACACACTGACAAATGTTTAAATGCTCTGTCTGTTCAACAAGCTTGAAATTGCTTCCAAATAAAATATATGAAGATCATGCTCAGAGTTCTGACCGATGAAGCCATGAACAGAAGTGTCTCATTACCTTCAGTTCTGACTTTGAGCTCCTGTGAGTCCCTCTCAACCTCCTGTTTGAGGAGCTGCTGTTTATGGCTCTGTCCAGTAGTTTGAAGCTCAACAGCTATGACATTAAAAACAACATTGGACCAACACTGTAGACGTGCTTAAGGACCTATCTAAGCTGTTTTAACTCCAGGTAAAAACCAAAACAAATTGTTTCTCCATACCAACAAGCCAGCCTCCATGCCTCAAAGTAATCCAAAGACTTTAGAAATCCACAGATGTCAAGATGAAAACAATGCATTTTAAAACAATAGTAGCTTTAAACTTAAAAATGACAGAGTTCTAAAAAAAATGTATGCAAGAATAAAACAGGCTCATTTAGCAGCAGGCAGATGATAATGCACAGGTCAGCATTATTAACAGTAAAAGCATGTACAGCCTTTAGAGCATTTCCTTAAGCCAACAAGACAAAACATGAGCCAATCCAGAGCATGAGTGTCTGTCTGATTCACTTTAATCTCTACATTATATCACCAGTTGCTTCAAATGCTGACTTCCCCATGTAGCTAGAGAAGTAAAAATGGATGCAGCACACAGCCAACTAACATACAGACTAAAGCTTAAGGACAAAACAATATAAAATCAACAATATAACAATATGCCTCATAGTCACAAACCAACTTGTCTTGGGTAACATGACCACCTTTGACACTAGAGCATACACTTTTGAGGAATACGGCGGCTTGCAAATCTCTCCTTTTCAGCATTCTTTCAATAATAGTGTTATTTTCACCAAAACCTAAAAGGTACAAACTTTTAACAGAGAACAGAAACTGCAGAGCGAGAAAGGCATGAAAAACATGACAAAACAGCCACTGCCAGACATTCATACAACACCCAAACACAGAATTCAATATTTCAGCCTTTTCTTCAACCATTCATCCCCTTACAGCTACACAACCAACCACAGCCAAACATTAAACATATTTTGCGCAGCTTAGAAAGTAATGCAACATCCACAGAGGTAGAACTCCTTCAATAAGCAATGCAAAGACTCAGTGTGGTGTGGCAGGACACTTAAAAGATGCACAAGTCCAACACAGAGTTCAAATCTTCTCATACCTTCTTCTGGCTTCCCGGTCCCCTGCCTCTGTGTGTTTTGTTTTACATCTAATCCAGCGCTAGTATTTTCAACTGGGATAAAGCACAAATGCAACCTTTAAATCTTACAGAGGTGAATTCTATAACCTGAAGACAACAGACGATGAGAAAGGATAAATCAACAACACATACATGAACCCAGTACATTCAGTGTAGCTGTTGCCTGATTACAACTTGGCACACTGACAAATGTTTAAATGCTCTGTCTGTTCAACAAGCTTGAAATTGCATCCAAAATAAAATATATGAAGATCATGCTCAGAGTTCTGACCGATGAAGCCATGAACAGAAGTGTCTCATTACCTTCAGTTCTGACTTTGAGCTCCTGTGAGTCCCTCTCAACCTCCTGTTTGAGGAGCTGCTGTTTATGGCTCTGTCCAGTAGTTTGAAGCTCAACAGCTATGACATTAAAAACAACATTGGACCAACACTGTAGACGTGCTTAAGGACCTATCTAAGCTGTTTTAACTCCAGGTAAAAACCAAAACAAATTGTTTCTCCATACCAACAAGCCAGCCTCCATGCCTCAAAGTAATCCAAAGACTTTAGAAATCCACAGATGTCAAGATGAAAACAATGCATTTTATAACAATAGTAGCTTTAAACTTAAAAATGACAGAGTTCTAAAAAAAATGTATGCAAGAATAAAACAGGCTCATTTAGCAGCAGGCAGATGATAATGCACAGGTCAGCATTATTAACAGTAAAAGCATGTACAGCCTTTAGAGCATTTCCTTAAGCCAACAAGACAAAACATGAGCCAATCCAGAGCATGAGTGTCTGTCTGATTCACTTTAATCTCTACATTATATCACCAGTTGCTTCAAATGCTGACTTCCCCATGTAGCTAGAGAAGTAAAAATGGATGCAGCACACAGCCAACTAACATACAGACTAAAGCTTAAGGACAAAACAATATAAAAGCAACAATATAACAATATGCCTCATAGTCACAAACCAACTTGTCTTGGGTAACATGACCACCTTTGACACTAGAGCATACACTTTTGAGGAATACGGCGGCTCGCAAATCTCTTGTTGATGGCATTCTTTCAATAATAGTGTTATTTTCACCAAAACCTAAAAGGTACAAACTTTTAACAGAGAACAGAAACTGCAGAGCGAGAAAGGCATGAAAAACATGACAAAACAGCCACTGCCAGACATTCATACAACACCCAAACACAGAATTCAATATTTCAGCCTTTTCTTCAACCATTCATCCCCTTACAGCTACACAACCAACCACAGCCAAACATTAAACATATTTTGTGCAGCTTAGAAAGTAATGCAACATCCACAGAGGTAGAACTCCTTCAATAAGCAATGCAAAGACTCAGTGTGGTGTGGCAGGACACTTAAAAGATGCACAAGTCCAACACAGAGTTCAAATCTTCTCATACCTTCTTCTGGCTTCCTGGTCCCCTGCCTCTGTGTGTCTTGTTTTACATCTAATCCAGCACTAGTATTTTCAACTGGGATAAAGCACAAATTCAACCTTTAAATCTTACAGAGGTGAATTCTATAACCTGAAGACAACAGACGATGAGAAAGGATAAATCAACAACATATACATGAACCCAGTACATTCAGTGTAGCTGTTGCCTGATTACAACTTGACACACTGACAAATGTTTAAATGCTGTCTGTTCAACAAGCTTGAAATTGCTTCCAAATAAAATATATGAAGATCATGCTCAGAGTTCTGACCGATGAAGCCATGAACAGAAGTGTCTCATTACCTTCAGTTCTGACTTTGAGCTCCTGTGAGTCCCTCTCAACCTCCTGTTTGAGGAGCTGCTGTTTATGGCTCTGTCCAGTAGTTTGAAGCTCAACAGCTATGACATTAAAAACAACATTGGACCAACAATTTAGACATGCATCAGGATGTTGCCTGTATTAACACAATGTGGAAAAAAATCTCCTTACTGATAGGACAGCCTCCATGCAACAAAATAAGCCAAAGACCACGGAGACCACAGATGTTGTTGCGACAATAAAGCAGGCTGATTTACCAGCAGGCAGATGGTCATGTCAGCAATATAACAGAACGGTAAAAACATGTACAAGCCTTAGAGCATTTCTTTAAGCCAACAAGACGTAAACTGAGCTGATTCATAAAATACTGTGTTTCTGACTCATAGCACCAGCCATTAGCCAAGGCATTGAGGGAAAGTCCAGTTTGGTGTGTGTTTTTCATTTCTTGTCCATACAAGCAATGCAGTGCCCAGGCTGATAACTGCAAATGCAAAAAGACAAAATAACCAAGCGAAGCTAAGAAACTTTGGAGAATACCTTTGACGGTCTCATTTATCTCTTGCTTCTTGTGCTTGTCTTTAGCAGCTAGGGGCGGAGCTTCAGGTGTCTTGGCTGCCTTTGTAACTGCAAATGCAAAAACCTTTAATCTTCTCAAACTAGTCCATTATCATCTTAAGGAGAAATAATCATGCCAAACATAAGTAAATATTCACATATACACTTAAGCCAACAACAGCTATCCTCTGACTATTACTGGCTACTAACATGCATAAATACAAGGGTTCTTTTTTTCTTCTTTCTGTGTTTAAATTGAGCCAGGTATTTCACATAACATTGCAACCCAATCCAGTGATGATAAGAAGTATAGGCACACACAACTGCAACCTTAACATCTGGTAACAAGAATGCAGGTGTCAATGCTTTACTGGCCCCAAAACATCCTATTTAAAGGTCGGCTGCACAAGACGAAGGCTCATTCTCAAGATGGACAGAGCACATAAAGCTGAGAGTCAAGCCAGCACATTGCCCTACAGCTTTCATACCTCCCATTGTCTCTTTGGTTTCCTGCCTTTTCGATTCCAGTTTAGCACTCGACGGAGTAGCAGAGGACTTCACAGCTGAGAGGAAAAAATTAACATTGAACCATCATAACTAAAACCTAGATATGATTGCCCAAAATGCTGACACCCTGTAAATTACAACAATTTCAGGAATCAGCAAACACCATGAAACACACTAACCAAAATACAACATGAACTTACATGAAGTGACTAGGTTTAGGACCCCGCATAGATACATTTTCATTTGACAACAACATCCCAAATTAAATGATAAAAGAGGTAAAGAAAATGTACAACATATCAGAGCTCGCAGAAGACTCTCAGACTTAAACATCCAACATGTTGATCCAACACATACAATGTAAAAGAAGTGACTGACAGAGCTGATGTTGGACATACTACTAGAAAGCTGACATGTTATGAGGCAGCAGAAAAGAATCATAAAAGCAAGGAGACGGAGACGGTCAGAATATGAGAAACAGCGAGAGAATCAATGCAAGTTCTTCAGTTCAGAAAATCAGATGAAACCTATCATTAATGTGATCAAATGGAAGAGATAGATCTCCTGCAGTTACCAAGATAAAAAAATAATTAAACAAGTTGAATTTTATAAATAACAATGAACCATTTTAATATACTGTAGAGGTTTAAAACAACAATCCTCCTACCCTTGACTTTAAGGCTAGCTGTAGTCTTCTGGTCTCCACACAGACAGCTGTAGTCTCCACTGTCATCTGGCACCACTTTGCTGATCAGGAGTTCATTCACAGAGGCCTGTTGCTTCATTTGATATTTTTCTCCAGACTTCAGGACCTGTGTCCCCTTCTTCCACTCCACGGAGACTCCAGGTTTAGAGAGCTCACAACGCAGAGTAATGCTGGCTCCCTCTTCAGCCTCCTGACTCTCCAGCTTCTGTTTGAAGGTCACTGGTTGGGCTGAGGATTTGCATTTTGTTTAGCATACAGTAACATGCCATACCATACAACACACACAAAAAAACAGCACTGAACTCAGAAGACATTCTCTGATCATTTGCTTTAAGACATGCAGACATTAAAACAAACGTGTCTCGATTTTGTACAAACAAAAAGCGGCTTTACGATTTCTCAAATGGACTCTGTAATTCCTCCTACCCTTGACTTTAAGGCTAGATGTAGTCTTCTGGTCTCCATAAACACAGCTGTAGTCTCCACTGTCGTCTGGCACCGCTTTGCTGATCAGGAGTTCATTCACAGAGGCCTGTTGCTTCATCTGATATTTTTCTCCAGACTTCAGGACCTGTGTCCCCTTCTTCCACTCCACAGAGACTCCAGGTTTAGAGAGCTCACAACGCAGAGTAATGCTGGCTCCCTCCTCAGCCTCCTGACTCTCCAGCTTCTGTTTGAAGGTCACTGGTTGGGCTGAGCATTTAGTGTATGGTCAGTAACCAGTTGCAAGACATGTAAAAACAAGGACACATTGATTTCTTTGGGTCACAGCACTAGATAAGAGACCTTGCCAAAATGACCTGATGCACGGCTTACAAGCCAGCAGTTTATAAGTGTAAATGTTTCAGATTTATGAGTTTAAGCAAGCCAGTCTCAACAATTGCTTTGCATAAAAAAATAAGAAAAGAGGAAAAAGAAAGTGAGCAAGCCTGCAATCTAGATTCACTTCAACAGTTGGCACATGTGTGCTTTTGTCAATTAAACACCCTCTGTTCTATAACTAAACAAACACTGATAGGTGTTGTCCAGACAAGATAAATAACTGAATGATGACATCCTGCCTCCAAAAAAACATAGTGTAATTATGTATATGAAAATCCTTTAAAAAAAAATCTTCAAATAACAAAATCTTCAAATAATTCTTCTTCCTACCCTTGACTTTAAGGCTAGCTGTAGTCTTCTGGTCTCCAAATACACAGCTGTAGTCTCCACTGTCGTCTGGCAACACTTTGTTGATCAGGAGTTCATTCACAGAGGCCTGTTGCTTCATTTGATATTTTTCTCCAGACTTCAGGACCTGTGTCCCCTTCTTCCACTCCACGGAGACTCCAGGTTTAGAGAGCTCACAACGCAGAGTAATGCTGGCTCCCTCCTCAGCCTCCTGACTCTCCAGCTTCTGTTTGAAGGTCACTGGTTGGGCTGAGGATTTGCATTTTGTTTAGCATACAGTAACATGCCATACCATACAACACACAAAAAAACAGCACTGAACTCAGAAGACATTCTCTGATCATTTGCTTTAAGACATGCAGACATTAAAACAAACGCGTCCTCGATTTTGTACAAACAAAAAGGCTTTACAATTTCTCAAATGACTCTGTAATTCCTCCTACCCTTGACTTTAAGGCTAGATGTAGTCTTCTGGTCTCCATAAACACAGCTGTAGTCTCCACTGTCGTCTGGCACCGCTTTGCTGATCAGGAGTTCATTCACAGAGGCCTGTTGCTTCATCTGATATTTTTCTCCAGACTTCAGGACCTGTGTCCCCTTCTTCCACTCCACAGAGACTCCAGGTTTAGAGAGCTCACAACGCAGAGTAATGCTGGCTCCCTCCTCAGCCTCCTGACTCTCCAGCTTCTGTTTGAAGGTCACTGGTTGGGCTGAGCATTTAGTGTATGGTCAGTAACCAGTTGCAAGACATGTAAAAACAAGGACACATTGATTTCTTTGGGTCACAGCACTAGATAAGAGACCTTGCCAAAATGACCTGATGCACGGCTTACAAGCCAGCAGTTTATAAGTGTAAATGTTTCAGATTTATGAGTTTAAGCAAGCCAGTCTCAACAATTGCTTTGCATAAAAAAATAAGAAAAGAGGAAAAAGAAAGTGAGCAAGCCTGCAATCTAGATTCACTTCAACAGTTGGCACATGTGTGCTTTTGTCAATTAAACACCCTCTGTTCTATAACTAAACAAACACTGATAGGTTGTTGTCCAGACAAGATAAATAACTGAATGATGACATCCTGCCTCCTAAAAAAAACATAGTGTAATTATGTATATGAAAATCCTTTAAAAAAAAATCTTCAAATAACAAAATCTTCAAATAATTCTTCTTCCTACCCTTGACTTTAAGGCTAGCTGTAGTCTTCTGGTCTCCAAAAACACAGCTGTAGTCTCCACTGTCATCTGGCACCACTTTGCTGATCAGGAGTTCATTCACAGAGGCCTGTTGCTTAATTTGATATTTCCCTCCAGCTTTCAGGACCTGTGTGCCCTTCTTCCACTCCACAGAGACTCCAGGTTTAGAGAGCTCACAACACAGAGTAATGCTGGCTCCCTCCTCAGCCTCCTGACTCTCCAGCTTCTGTTTGAAGGTCACTGGTTGGGCTGAGGATTTGCATTTTGTTTAGCATACAGTAACATGCCATACCATACAACACACAAAAAAAGCACTGAACTCAGAAGACATTCTCTGATCATTTGCTTTAAGACATGCAGACATTAAAACAAACGTGTCTCGATTTTGTACAAACAAAAAGCGGCTTTACAATTTCTCAAATGGACTCTGTAATTCCTCCTACCCTTGACTTTAAGGCTAGCTGTAGTCTTCTGGTCTCCATAAACACAGCTGTAGTCTCCACTGTCGTCTGGCACCACTTTGCTGATCAGGAGTTCATTCATAGAGGCCTGTTGCTTCATCTGATATTTTTCTCCAGACTTCAGGACCTGTGTCCCCTTCTTCCACTCCACGGAGACTCCAGGTTTAGAGAGCTCACAACGCAGAGTAATGCTGGCTCCCTCCTCAGCCTCCTGACTCTCCAGCTTCTGTTTGAAGTCACTGGTTGGGCTGAGCATTTAGTGTATGGTCAGTAACCAGTTGCAAGACATGTAAAAACAAGGACACATTGATTTCTTTGGGTCACAGCACTAGATAAGAGACCTTGCCAAAATGACCTGATGCACGGCTTACAAGCCAGCAGTTTATAAGTGTAAATGTTTCAGTTTTATGAGTTTAAGCAAGCCAGTCTCAACAATTGCTTTGCATAAAAAAATAAGAAAAGAGGAAAAAGAAAGTGAGCAAGCCTGTAATCTAGATTCACTTCAACAGTTGGCACATGTGTGCTTTTGTCAATTAAACACCCTCTGTTCTATAACTAAACAAACACTGATAGGTTGTTGTCCAGACAAGATAAATAACTGAATGATGACATCCTGCCTCCTAAAAAAAACATAGTGTAATTATGTATATGAAAATCCTTTAAAAAAAAATCTTCAAATAACAAAATCTTCAAATAATTCTTCTTCCTACCCTTGACTTTAAGGCTAGCTGTAGTCTTCTGGTCTCCACACAGACAGCTGTAGTCTCCACTGTCGTCTGGCACCACTTTGCTGATCAGGAGTTCATTCACAGAGGCCTGTTGCTTCATCTGATATTTCCCTCCAGCTTTCAGGACCTGTGTCCCCTTCTTCCACTCCACAGAGACTCCAGGTTTAGAGAGCTCACAACGCAGAGTAATGCTGGCTCCCTCCTCAGCCTCCTGACTCTCCAGCTTCTGTTTGAAGGTCACTGGTTGGGCTGAGGATTTGCATTTTGTTTAGCATACAGTAACATGCCATACCATACAACACACAAAAAAAACAGCACTGAACTCAGAAGACATTCTCTGATCATTTGCTTTAAGACATGCAGACATTAAAACAAACGCGTCCCGATTTTGTACAAACAAAAAGTGGCTTTACAATTTCTCAAATTGACTCTTTGTAATTCCTCCTACCCTTGACTTTAAGGCTAGCTGTAGTCTTCTGGTCTCCATAAACACAGCTGTAGTCTCCACTGTCGTCTGGCACCGCTTTGTTGATCAGGAGTTCATTCATAGAGGCCTGTTGCTTCATCTGATATTTTTCTCCAGACTTCAGGACCTGTGTCCCCTTCTTCCACTCCACGGAGACTCCAGGTTTAGAGAGCTCACAACGCAGAGTAATGCTGGCTCCCTCCTCAGCCTCCTGACTCTCCAGCTTCTGTTTGAAGGTCACTGGTTGGGCTGAGCATTTATTGGTTGGTTAGCATTCAGGGGCGTGCATTAACAAATACAAAAACTTTTTAACATTCAATACTGTAAGCAGAAGACAAACACTGATGTTTGGAAATCTATGACATGCAAACTCCAAAACAAACGTGTCTAGGTTCGAGTAAACAAAATGCTGCTTAACAAATCCTCAGACTCTGAAAATCTTCCTCCTACCCTTGACTTTAAGGCTAGCTGTGGTCTCTTGGTCTCCACACACACAGCTGTAGTCTCCACTGTCTTCTGGCACCACTTTGCTGATCAGGAGTTCATTCACAGATTCCTTCTGCTTTATCTGGTGTTTTTCTCCAGACCTCAGTACCTCTGTTCCCTTCTTCCACTCCACAGGGACACCGGGTTTAGAGATGTCACAACGCAGAGTAATGCTGGCTCCCTCTTCAGCGTCCTGGCTCTCCAGTTTCCGTATGAAAGTTGGCGGTAGCGCTGTACAACCAAGTTGTCATTACTTGCAAATTTCAAGTGTGGTTAAGAGTTTTACAAAAGTTAAAATAAAACAAATTTAAAGCAAAAATAGTGAAACTCCTCTAGGGAAATGTGACATTTAGAATTAAAACTTTGCTGAAAAAAAATCCATACCATTGACTTTCAAAGTTGCAGATGTTTTCTGGTCGCCACAAATGCAAAAATATTCCCCACCATCGTCGACCTTCAAGTTCTTCATCTGAAGCTCACAGGAGGACTCTCTCTGCTTTATCCTATACTTCTCTCCAGCTGTAAGAATTTCAGAGCCTTTCTTCCACTGAATGTTGGAGGACGGTTTAGATATCTTGCAGCAAAGAGTCAGAGACTCCCCTTCTTTTTTCTCCTGGTTCTTGAGGTTTTCAATAAAACTGGCCGGCAGGGCTAAAATTAAAATAACAATGTCTTGATTATACAAAACAGAAAGTTGTATTTTCTGGGTAGTGATGGAGAATGAAAAGTGAGTAGTGACGAGGATGATAAATGAGTTGTAGTTCTTCCATCAGCCACAGTAACTTTTGAAAGGCAGTAGCAGTGGTGCTTCAATTCATAATTGGACCGATGTTGCTTTTGATACAGAATTTTCTACAACAGTGCAGTTTATCAAACAACAAAACATTGGCATTACAATAATGTAAAATGCAATCATTTTCCAAATGCACAAAGGATAAGTTCCAACAACACAAAAGTCTTAATGCAGCACACTGATCTTGTCAAAACAATACATTTGGACAGTTAAAGAGATACTAGCACATGCTGACAGAGGCTGTTCACATGTGTGGCTGTGCAGACAGTTTCTCAATCACACAACACAAACCTGTGACAGAGGATAAAAAATGGCTCAAACTGGCAAAGTACATTTTAGAGTCACTCACAAAACAAACTAGCAAAAACTAATTTTAACTTGGAAAATGCAGGAGATTAGATTAGAATTACGTAAATATCCATAATTGATGCAGCAGGGTTTGATCTAAGCACCACAGCACATAGGCTCCAGAGGACTAACAGCAAAACCTCAAAAACTATACAGATTCACCTTCAAACAATTCATACAAACTTTGTTCCTCCCTAAAAACCAAGAACTCACGAAGAAAGCAAAACCAAGCCAATCTATGATGGAGATCAACACAACATTCATCTCATATAATTCAAAAACCTTGCAAAGAGTGTCCTGTTAGTCCTTCAAAATATTCAATTAAATGCATCATGTCAACTAAGTCTCATGTATACAATTATTTAAATGAGAAAATTCAGCACAAGGTGATTAAGAATTACTTACCATGGTACCTTAAGACTTTTGGAACATTTCATTTTCAAAAATGTTTAATATAATGCATAGGGTCTAAGTCTCTGCAACACAAATACTTACCCTACACTTGAACACATGCTTACTTCAGTTCTTACCATTGACTGTCAGCTTTGCCATGCTCTTGGCAGTGCCCACGTCACATGTGTAGATATCAGTGTCTTTCTCCTCCAGATGTTTGATGGTGAGTGTTAAGACGCCCTCTTTCTGGGACATCTCATATCGACCTCCAGCCTTGAGCTCTGTGTGACCTTTCAGCCATACCACAGTGGATGGAGTTTGTGCAGTTTCGCATTGCAAGGTCACACAGCTCTTCTCCTCTGCTTGGCTGTCCTTCAGCACCTTAGTGAACTTGTGGCTTGGCTCTGTAAAAGGAAAATGACCAGTAGCTTTTAGTATTGGATGAAACTGTAAGATTAATGGATTGTTTGTTTCATACATAGTTCACTGTCAATATATTTAATTAAAATACACTAAAGGCTTGTAGGCTCAGACACAGTCAATGATTAAAGTCTAATTAAATGGAATAAGGTAAATACAGTCTTACCCTTGATTTCAAGTTTGGCTTTAGTGGTTGCCCCTCCAACTACTTCACAACTGTACTCTCCAGAGTCTTGAGCAGAGACACTATGGATGATCAGTTTCATGACCTTGTCCTCTTGGCTTATCTCATACTTCTGGCTCTTTTTGATGGCTTTGCCTTCCTTGGACCACTTTACAGTGGAACTAGCCTGTGTTACCTCACAGACAAACACTGCATCCTCCTCTTGAACAGCACTCACATTTTGCAGTGCTCTGGACACCGATGAGGCTTTGCCTGCAACAAAGAAAGACACCTTATTTAAGTACAGTAATATCTTTGTGACTTTGTTTAGCCTTCTTAAAAAATATACATTTAACTGACTTTCAACTGTTAATGTTGTTTTGGAGCTCAGGTCTTTAAGGTTGAAGGCCACCTCTCCGGCGTCAGCAGCAGTAACATCCTTTATGGTCAGCATGTACTTGCGTCCTTTGCTTGTGATTTTGAAGCGATCGCCATTTTTAATAGTTTTGCCATTAAGAGTCCAGGAACACTCATCAGTGCTTTCACGAGATAAGATGCACTCGAAGCTACAGGCCTCTCCCTCATTCACCTCAGCAGACTTCAGCCATTTGGTTATTCCAATGCCAATCTCTAAATGTGGGATAGAGAGTAAAAGTTGGTGATGCCACACAATATCATTGTTGTGAGGCGAAAATCATTTAGAAGTTTGTGTTTTAGACAACAGTACCAACCTCTAACAGTGACCTTTGATTTAGAAACCTCAGTTCCAAGATCACAGGTATACTCCCCAGCGTCTTCTTTGGTGACATCCTTGATGATCAGTCCCAAAGACTTGCCTGTGTGAAGCAGCTCATATTTTGGTCCAGCCTTCAAGACTTTACCTTCTTTTCTCCATGTGGGTGAGACCCTGGGCTTGGACGCCTCACATGCCAGAGTTATCATGCCTTTCTCCTCTCCAATGACATCATCTAGAGACTTGAGGAACACGGCACGCTTCTCTGGAGGGGAAAATACGGTAAAGAAACGCTGAAGGATATTTCCTCTTGTCACTGTAAGGATCGGATTTTCACAGCCAGTGCCAATATTGTAAAAGTAGTGCATCAAAGTCCTTACCTTTAACTTTAAGTGTCACTGATTCTTTAACCTTACGGACTTGGAAGGTGATTGTTCCACCGTCCTGAGGCGCCAAGTTCTTCAGGGTGAGTTTGTGAACCTTCCCATCATGACTGATAGTGTTCACTTCATTAGTAAAGAGCACCTTGTCATTCAGAAGCCACTGTACCTCTTCGTCTGCATAGTTTATCTCACATGTGAACACTGCATCACTGTCTTCATCAACCTCTGTGTCAGCCAAGTGTTTGCTGATCTTGATTTCACGCACTGCACAAAAGAAACAAGAACATTCTAGTCTGAAGACCACTTTTGCTTTCTTTCTTTTTTTTTTACAGCCTCTCAATGTTATTTTCATTTTTTTTTATAAAATCTGCACTTGCTGTTTTTGTATGTTATTTAAAGGTCCACATTGTACCTTCCACAGTGAGTGTGCCTTTGCTCTCAGCAGGTCCAGACTGACAGCTGTACTGTCCACTGTCTTCCTCAGTCAGCCTTTGAATGGTAAGTTGGGCCCTTGTAGCATCTTGCTTCATGTTATACTTATCTGATGATGCCAGAGGTACCTGGTCTTTGAACCACCTAACCTCTTTGGGTGAGGCAGAGAACTTGCAGGAGAGTATGGCTGAACTTTTCTCCTTCGCCTTCACATCCTTGATGGGCTCTGCAATCTCCAATGGACGCTCTAAATGTGTCAAAGTGTGTGATTAGACTCACTCAATAGAATGCAGATGCTAACACATCATCACGGTAGAATCATTATTGTAGACAACTGTTGTATTAATGCGGTTAAACACTTGTACCTTTGACCGTGAGCTGGGCTGAGGATTTGCTCTTCCCAGCTGTAAACTGCACCGTTCCTGTCATTGATGCTTTGGTCTTTTTCAAAGTGAGACGATGCAAAGTCCCCTCCTTCTCCATTTCAACATCAACGCTCTCCTTTAAGGGGACTCCGTTCAGAGTCCATATTGGAGGTTTTACCAGTTCCATACTGATCTCAACTTCGAAAACAGCTGCAAATGGTTCTGTCACTTCTACAGAACTAAGCTCCCTTATAATGCTGATGGACTGCTCTGGAAGGGTTATGAAGAGGGAATGGGTTAGTGAGAAGTCACTGATGTGATTCCATAAAATAATGAAAACGTTGTTTTTCAATAAAAGACCTTTAAAATGTTGACCTCTAATATTTTCTGATCTTTCTGAATATGAATAAGACCTAATTAAGCCCCTTTGAATTGTGTCATTAAAAGCAATTGGAAACTTATTTTAGAAAACTACATTATTCTTTAGAAATGTTCATGCGTAAAAGTATGCCCATTTGAGCCTGGGTATCTAATTACCGATAATGATCACCTAATATGAACATCTATATACAGATCACCTAGATTTGTTATTTGGGATATTTAAACTAACCAACATATTGACTGCCTGGTCCGGACATATTACAATTGAAAGACAAAATTGTAAGCACTCTGATGCAGTCATGGTTGAGCCAGTTTTCTATATAATGAACTTACTACATTGTTTTTGACTTATCAGCCAGACAAACAGCAACACAGATAATTCAGGAGTTACTTCGCAATGTTGGGTGCTACTAATACCATTGCCCACTATAATGAAAAATGTAGTTTAACATTATAGAACTGTTTTAAATAGGTAAAAAGAAACACATCACACAAATCATAAAGACAAATATAACACAATTGCTGTACATGCAGAGCACATTAAAGACATGTAAATCCATTGCAACAACAATTATGTTATTGTGCTATCCTAAAGCCTTTGTATTATAATCTGCTTTGGCTGAATGGAAATGTTCGGGAAGGAATACATAACTCACTTTGACTTGTCAAAGTCATAAAATCACACTTGTCACAAATAAAATAAACACTGACAATGTGACAGTGAAAGCTAGCTTACACAATGTCTGGACTGTGAAACCAGAGCAGTTTAATACATTTCAGCTATTACTACTTTTATTATGTACGTCTGTACTTTTCTAGTGTGACAAGTCCAAATGTCTTTAGTAAAAAGGCCAAATCACTGTGTTGACTAAAACACACTTTTCTTTAATAATCTGACATATCAATTAGTAAATTAATTGAAAGGCCAAATATGGCCCAAAAATAGGTCAACGTAATTTCCTTTACTTCCCATTAGTATACTACTTAATTAGTTCAGACAGATAGAAAGATGTCATCAGGTAAATAGATAAAGTAGACAGACAGACATATATAGATTCATAGACAGATACCTCATTGACTATGAGTCTGATGGCTTGTTTTGTGTACATTTTGGAGAATGCAATCTACTCGGTCATATCAGTGAACCATCCTACAATGCTAAACCTCACACTATTTTTGAACTCAACCTTTGTCATCTTTCATGATGTTACCTTCCACAAGTAGTTTACAGGATGTCTTGTCATCAGTGGCGTCACAGGTATACGTATCTTCATCCCCGGAATCCACATCGTTAATGGTGAGTTTTCGGTACACATCTTCACTCTTGATCTCGTACTTCTTGCCGTGTTTGATCTCAGTCTTGTTCTTGTACCACTTCACCTTTGCATTGGCTCGTGACACTTGGCATTCAAGATGACCACGATGCTTAAACATCGCTATCTTATCCCTGAGTTTCTTCACAAACTTGACAGGCAGCTCTACAGTGACAATAACACCGAATCAATGAAAACTAGCATGTATCAGGTAACACTGAGGCCTTGCCAAAGCCCTTGCCTCAATGCAATAATAATAGACAATGTCTGTAATAAAAAAATATATGGCCAAAGTAAATAGTAGAAATATGCAACAGAGAATAACTGCTTTTGATGCAGCATAAATTAGAGCATTTTTTTTTTTTTTGCAAAAGCTACAGCAGATAGCAATTATTTTGAAAAGAAACGTATTTAAATAGGAGTAACTGTCATGCCTGTTAGAATATGAGTTGCCGTCTGATTGCAAACAGCTAGGCATTGACACAGGAACAAGAAAAAACAAGAGCATGTTGGCGCAACTTAGAGCAGCTAATGGTCAACTGATAGCAAAGTAATCTGTCACAGAGATTGTACCTAGAACAAAATTTAGACTTTTGTTTTTACCCATTCTGAAATAGCTTTGACCTCCTGTAATAATTCTTAACCCAGGCTTGTGGTGTTCCCTTTGCCATCAGGCCTCAATGAGGCACAACAATGCAGATGCAAGTTGCAACTGGATTTCCCATCACATCAAAAGTGTCAGAATGATCTCATTCAGCTCTTTATATATATAGAGCTATATACTCATTTTGATTCCTCTGACAGCTTTTGTCACAGCAGTTGGAAATAATCCATTTGCAACCACATCTTAACATTGTAACATAAAGGTTAGCTTATGCATGCAACAATATATGCACAGTAGCAGCATGTCATTGTTTACCTTTCACTTTTAGTTTAGCTGTTGAAGAGGTCTTTTCAGCTGTGAACTTTATCTCACCAATATCTTCTGGGGTTACGGACCTAAACAGCAGTACATAGGTTCTGCCTATTGGGAATGAAATACAGCTTTTAGTGACAAAATTAGGACCCGACCAATTTGTTATTTTATGGGCTGATATCGATATTATAAAGAAAAAAATCAGATACCGATAAATTAGCCGATATCTTTCTTTGGTCTATGTTCGATCTTTAGAGATAGATAAATATAGCTATACACATTTATTGTGTTTATCCTTCAAATGCAGTTGTCAAACACTTGTGGAAAAGATATACAGTAAAAGAAAGACAAGATGGTCACTCAACTGGAAAGTAACTGCACATGTACTTACATCACCGCTTAACATTCTGGAGGGTGGTTATGCTTATTGTAATCCAAATAGCACCCTCTGCTAGTTTAATACAATAAAACTCAAACAAAATGCTATTTGACTGGTAAATAAATCTAGTAATATCGGCCCATGTCTGCTATAAAATTAGCTGACACGATAGTCCCTTGATACGCTAATATCGGCCGATATTATCGGCTGGCCAATTAGTTGGTCGAGCTCCAGACAAAATGTCATTATTCAGGTGAATCCTGAAACATTTCATGGAAATAAAGTAAGTAAATCACACAGGTTTTATTATTTCTCAAGACTTTACCCTCTTGTCTCATCTTGATGTTGTCGCCAACTTTGAGTTTAGCACTTCCTTTGTACCACTGGCATTCTACTTCATCATGTGAGATTTCACAGACAAAAGCAGCACTCTCCTTCTCCATCACCTCCACATCCTCCAGCTTCTTAACAATCTTAACATCTCTAGCTGCAGGGGGAAAGATATTTAAAGATGTTTGTATTTAATTGAATTTGGTATACTTTACAGTAAATAATACATGATTGATTTTTGGGCTTCATGATTTAACTTAGCACTACCATGAACGGTGAGTTTGGCAGAGGTGTTGTCATCACTGGTGCGACAGATGTAGGTGCCTGCATCTTCAGGGGTGCATTTGTTAATGACCAGAGAACGCTTTCGGCCCAAGGAATGGATGCCAATGTTTTTCCCTAGTTTGAGTTCCACATCGTTCTGCATATCAAGAATTTTTCAAAATATTATATTCAGTAACATTAGCATAGCTATTATTTAGTTATAAAATGAGTTCTTACCTTGAACCATTTAACATCTGCATTTGTTCTAGACACTTCACATTCAAAAGTAACCTTCTCCTTCTCAGGAACACTGACGTCGGTTATGGGGTTTGAAATCATAGCCGGGGGTTCTGGAGAAATAGCACATGTTGGTTCAAATTGTACTAAACTGAATCTTCTTGTTATGTTGCTGTACAAAAATATAGGTGAGGTCTGCCTAATGCCTAACAAGGTGCCTAATTTACAAACAAGACACAGCCCTTACCTGTGACCAACAATTTGCTTGAAATATGCACTCCTTCAGCTTGGAAGACAATAGTTCCTGCATCCTCCTTCTTGAGACTGGAAAATGTCAAGGCATGCTTCTTTCCTAGAGCTGTGATTCGGCAGTTTCCCCCTGACTTTAACTTGGCCCCATCCCTAGTCCAGGAGCCTTCAACATTGGCCTGGTTGAGTTCTACCTCCAGAGTTACAGTCTCTGTTTCATGTGCCTTGGTGTCTGTTAGGCCTTTGATGACCTTGATCTTCTTCACTAGATAAGGAGAAATAAATATTTGTGTTGCAATGGTTCCCAACCTTTAACTTGCAATGTATACCCAATACAATTTTGGAAAATGCTGTGGATTGTATCTTTTATAAAAAAAATGAAATTGTGGATTACTTACTTTCCACACTGAGTTTGGCCTGGGTTTTGTCATCCAGGGTTTCACAGGAGTAGATGCCTCGGTCAGCATGAGCCACACTCTTAAAGACCAGAGCCTGCTTAGCTCCATTCACGCGAATCTCCATGTTTCCTGCAGGCTGCACTACTACGCTATTCTTCATCCACCTCACTTCATCTGACGGCTTACTGAGCTCCACCTCCAATTTGACTTCACTCTGCTCCTCCACTGTCAGGTTTTCTAGCTTTTTCTTAAAGGTCACAGGCTCATCTAATTTTGACACAAGAAATACAAAAAAGGTCATGACAAAATTCAATTCAACAAAATTAAGACAAAAGTTTCAAGAGAAAATCAATTCTTACGTTGCACTTGTAGAGTAGCTTGGCAGATTTTGCCCTCTGCATCGACGCTTATCTCTCCAGCATCTTTTGGGGTAACAGAGGTGACGGTGAGTGAGTGACTGCCCCCACCTTGCTCAATCTTATACTTTGGCCCAGCAGTGACAGGTAAACTGTTGTGGAACCATTTAACGTTGACATCAGCCGGGTTGACTGCACACTTGAAGATGGCATCCTTTCCCTCCATTGCAGCCACATTGTTCAATTTGTTGGTGAGCCTCACAACTCTGGGTGCTGGAAGAAAAAAGTCACACCAAATTGAAGTAGGCTAAATGAAAAGGATTTTACCCTAAGTTTTATACCCTAAAACTTTGATTTCTTTAGTTACATTAAATGATCAATTACCCTTTGAGGTGATTTTTGCGGAGGTTTTGTCACTTCTGCATTCACAGCAATATTCTCCTTCATCTTCTTTGGTCATGCCAGTCACAGTGAGAACCCTCTTAACGCCATCTGTCCTGATACAGTGCCTGCCTCCAGGTTTAATCTCACGACCATCACACCGCCAGACAACATCCCCCGACGCTTGATTCAGTTCACACACAAGGCTAAGTGTACCGCCCAACTCCACTGCAGCAGGTTTCATTTGGACGACAAACTTCAAAGCTGCATTTGAAATGAAAACATGGCAGATCAAAACAAAATCTGGCATCTGATAGGGTGTACAAAGCATTTAGAAATGTTAGAGTCATTTCTATGACTTGCCTTTAACTTGAACTTTAAACTCCAGTTTGTCATCAGCAGTTTGACAGGAATATGATCCACTGTCCCTGGATTCTGTGGATTTCACTACCAGGGTACGAGAAAGGCCTTCTTTTTTCATTTCATACTTGCTGTCCTCCTTGAGCTCTACACCATCTCTAAACCACTTCACACTGCCACTCTCTGACGTCAGCTCAGTGGTCAAAACTATGTTCTCACATGCTTGGACAACACATGTGTCCTTGACATGTTTCTTCTGGAACTTGACAGCTGCATCTGAAATGATATAAAAGCTTTCCAGTATGTTGTGCAGATAATTCTCAATTTAAAGCAATTATAAATACGTTGAAAACATGCTTTACCTGTTATCTGCAGCTTGAATGCAAGCTTCTCAGAGCCAGCCTCACATGTGTACTCTCCAGTATCTTTTTTCTCCACTTTTTCTATGATCAGTTCACGAGTCTTGCCCTTTGATTCCATGTGGACCGCTTTGCTAGAAGTCAGCAGTTTGCCATCCTTGAACCACTTCACCTCCATCTTGGAATCAGAAACCTCACAGCTCAGAGTGGCTTTCTGGGAGAGAGTGGCTTTCACTTCCTTCTGGACGGACTCTTTGTTGGAGAAGCCTGCTGGGGCTTCTGCGTAGGAAATTATATTATTATATATTATTATTTGATATAAACAAATGAAAGCATATCAGTCAACCAAAAACATCTCAGCCTGATTAAAGAGACTAAATGTTTGAATGAAAACAACAGAAACACCATAGGAAGAAACACATAATGCTAAAAATAACATAAAACAGAATCTGTTATACATTAGAGAAAAACAAGCTAAAATCCTTTCCCTCCTACCTGCCACCTGAATCTTAAAAGCCAACTGCTCGACCCCAGCCTCACAGATGTACTCTCCAGCATCATTCTTCTCTACGCTGTCAATAACCAGCTCACGACTCTTGCCTTTCGCCTCTGCATGGACTGTCTTACTAGTCGTGAGAAGCTTTCCATCCTTGTACCATTTCACCTCTGCTTTGGAATCAGAGACCTCCCAGCTAAGAGTGGCTTTCTTTGAGAGTGTGGCTTCCACCTCCTTCTGTACCGATTCCTTGTTAGATAGGGCTGACTTGGCTTGGCTTTCTGCAAAAGTGATCATGGAGAACCTTATGGCGTTGACCACCTTCATATTAATACAACTCATTAAAACATTGATCAGCTCTTGTTTTAATGAGACACGTGCCAAAATATAAACAGGAAGTATAGCTAATAGAATTAAAACATCAACATTGTTTAAATAGATTGGACAAATGTGCAGCCAGGACCAGTAAACTACAACTGTATATTCTGTAGCCACATTAAAGAGCAACTGCACAACACCCAACAAAATACAAATACCAAAATAAAAATCCTCAACTGAAGCTGTCGTTGTTATTTCGCTTCAGCTGTAATTCAGTGACAAGCAGACAGACATTTAAACTTCAGAAAAATAATTACAAATACCACAATCTTCCATTTGACTCCTCATACCTGTCACCTGTACTTTAAATGACATTTTTTCAGATCCAACTTCACAGAAGTATTCTCCAGCATCTTTCTTCTCGACACTGTCAATCACCAGCTGACGTATCTTGCCCTTCGATTCCATGCGAACTGCTCTGCTAGGATTCAGCAGTTTGCCATCCTTGTACCATTTTACATCTGCCCTGATATCAGCTACCTCACAGCTTATTGTGGCTTTCTGGGAGAGGGTTGCTTTCACTTCCTTTTGGACAGTCTCTTTGTCGAGGAAAGTGGATTTAGCCTGGATGTCTGTAGAAGGTGCTGTAAAGAATTACATCCAGACAAAAAATGACCCCATAGCTCAAACAAGCCTTTGGACAAATGCAACCAAAGAAGCTCTAACAGAGCAGGTCAAATTTAGGACATTTCTCTTTGAATTTGCAAAGAAAAAGCTATTTGGAAATTGGATGTTGCCAAAGAGTCCCCTTACACATTAAAAATAATTCAGTCAGCAAAAAAAAGACAAAACCCTGACCAGAAACTGACCAACAACAGAACCACAAGACACCAGAGCTGCCTCAGCTAACAACTGCAACAAGTAATCAATCCACAAAGTGCAGAAGTCCATACTATAAAAGAAACAAATTATTTTTACAATTTTAATTATCATCCTACGGCATCAAGGGAATCTAAACCAACGTTGGACCAGAGGTGTTAAAGAATTATATGCTAAATTTTCATATCTGGAGCAACCAACACTGCAGTCACAAATTAGAGGTAAATAAATACAAGCACAAAACACAAAGTATCAACCAGTTTCATAATACTCTTTCATATCTCATTATAGAAAAGTAATTGAAATACATTGTTGTATAATGACATGGAAGTTAAATACAGTTTTTACCTTAATTGACAGGCTTCATGTTAAAGATTGAAATTTAATTAAACACGAACTTTACATAAAAATCATCAAGGCTTTATTTTGTACAAAATACTCCCTAAAAAATTATAAGTTTGAATGTTTTTAATTTTTCTGACCTTCCACTTGAATTTTAAAGACCAGCTTCTCAGTCCCGGTTTCACAGATGTACTCTCCAGCATCCTTCTTCTCCACACTGTCGATCACCAGCTCACGACTCTTGCCTTTGGACTCAGTATGGATTGTCTTACTGGTGGTCAGCAGCTTGCCGTCCTTGTACCATTTCACCTCTGTCTTGGTATTAGCTACCTCACAGCTCAGAGAGGCTTTCTGGAACAGGGTGGCTTTCACATCCCTCCGTACTGATTCCTTGTTGAAGAAGGCTGACTGGATTTCTGATGGATCAGACATGACATGGATTACATCAGATGCTATTTTAACTCTTATTAGCAAGCACCTAACAAGTCAAGTGATATCATTTTAAAGAAATCCCTTCCATTTTACCTGTCAAATTCATCTTGAAAGCAAGCTTCTCGGTCCCAGCCTCACAGATGTACTCTCCAGCATCTTTCTTCTCCACGCTGTCAAACACCAGTTGGCGACTCTTGCCTTTGGTCTCAGTATGGATTGTCTTACTGGTAGTGAGCAGTTTGCCATCCTTGTACCATTTCACCTCTGTCTTGGTATCAGCTACCTCACAGCTCAGGGTGGCATTCTTGGAGAGAGTGGCTTTCACCTCCTTCTGTACTGATTCCTTGTTAGAGAAGGCAGACTGGGCCTCTAATGGAGCAGGCATGACAGGGAAAAAATCAGTTTATATTTTTTCAGAGCACATAACTGAAAAAGTAAAAAAAAAAAAAAAAATCCCTCTCTCTTACCCGTAACATTCATCCTAAAAGCGAGCTTCTCAGTTCCCGCCTCACAGATGTACTCTCCAGCATCTTTCTTCTCTACGCTGCCAATCACAAGTTGGCGACTCTTGCCTTGAGACTCAGTATGGATGGTCTTACTTGAAGTAAGCAGCTTGCCGTCCTTGTACCATTTTACCTCTGTCTTCGCATCAGCTACCTCACAGCTCATCATGGCTTTCTGGGAGAGGGTGGCTTTCACCTCTTTCTGGACAGACTCCTTGTTAGAGAAAGCTGACTGGGCCTCTGTAGGTAACATTCATAGGAAATACAGTGCTTTTATGAGATCTATAGATAAAGACTGATCGCTGAAACTTGTTGGAGACATCTAATGTACACATTCTTCAGGGTAACTTTATCAAAAAAAGCGATTATTTACTCTCCCGGACAAACTTTATCCTGAGATTTAGAATTTAATATTGAAACTTCATGGTGGAACTCAAAAGATCCTTTTGTGGCTAAATGCTAAGAAACCATAGACTGTATAAGAAGATGGACAACACACAACTACCTCAAAGTGAAGCCCAAAGATAAACTCCACCTCCTCCATGTGAACAGATGGGACGTGGGGCAAACACAAACATTAAAATACCCTGCATTCTGCAGTTTCAGCTTGTTATTATCATGCTGATATGTGTTCAAGAAAATGTGATGATTGACTGCTGTGATGATAAATGCAGCCCCTCCCCTGTGGCATTATGCATCGGATTTGCAGAGCATAAGACACACAGTGAGCACAAACGTAACTCTCGCCAACACAAGAGTCATTGAACTGTCTGCTTCAAATGCCAAAAGAATCAGTCTACTGTGGACTGTAATGACCTGATGGATATTTGCTGTTTTATTGTTGAATTAAATGTGCATTTTGGTTAGAGGAAGCAGCGTAGTGTCAATACAGCAGCTACACCATCAGAACTCTGAAGTTTTCGTGCAGCATGTTTGGTTAAGTATGCAACAGCCTTGGTTGATAAGCCAGATAACCTAAAAAGCTTAATTATATCCACTTACTGCACACATGGAACAGAAATTCCGGAGCCCAAGTTTTATGCAGAAAAGGTTTGGTAGAGCACCAGTTTTTCTTTCAGCTGTGCTAGCTAGTTTATACATTTTATACATTTATGATCGCATCCCCCTAATGTGTCAAAAAGCAGCGTCAAACAGACAGTGCTAAATCCTTAACTCTTGTTAAATGCATTTCACACTGTTGGACACAATCTTTTTAAAACTGATTTTAAAATCCATGATTAGTAATTAATCCTGCGGTCCTACCTGACACGACTATCTTGAAGACCAGCTTATCCCCTCCAGCTTCACATGTATACTCTCCAGCATCGCTCTTGTCCACCTTTTCAATCACCAGCTGACGAGTATTGCCTTTTGTTTCTGAGTACATCACCTTGCTGGATATCAACAACTTGCCGTCTTTATACCATTTCACCTCTGTCTTACTATCCGAAACGTTGCAGCTCAGAGTGGCTTTCTGGGAGAGAGTTGCTTTCACCTCCTTCTGGACAGACTCTTTGTTTGAGAAGGCAGCTACAGCTTGAGTTTCTGGAAAAAGCAAGATGAAGAAGTTTAGTCGTGGGTCAAGTTTTGAACAAAAGCATCAGTGAGTCTCACCTTTTATCTTGACCTGGAATGTGACTTTATCGGCTGCTGTCTCACAGGAGTAATGTCCCTCATCACTTTTCTTGGCTGCCTTGATGATGAGTTTCCTTTGCGTCCCTTTGGAGACGATGCAAGTTCTTTGGTCCTCAGTGATCTCCACCTGATCCTTTCTCCACACAACAGCAGCACTGGCTGGAGAAACCTCACAGCTCAGCTCCAGATCTCCTTTAAGGGAAGATGTCAATCCCATGGGACCTCGGGCTTTGTTCAGAAATTTGGCAGGTTCGTCTTAGAGAAAAAGAGAAGTCCTTGAGTGAAGACTTTTTCAGGATTTGTCAATTGACATTTATGTTTTCGTGAAGAAAATATATATGTGCCTTTTCTTTGCTACAGCAACACAATGAAATTGGTGACGTTAACTTAAATTCCTCTGAAGGGGTTTATATTTAAGTTTGGTCTGTTTGATGGCTCACATTCACATGCTAGAAGCTATCAGAGCATGTAACATAACAAATGCTCTGAGTTAAACTGTCTGTATTACATGTGCTTGGGGCAGTACTTCTTCCACTCAGCAAGGCAAATTAATATCACTGAAAAAAAGTGTTACTATCCAACTGTGTGTACCTTTAAGAGCAAGTTGCAGGGACATTTTGTCATCAGCTAAAACACACTCGTAGATGCCCACGTCTTCCTCTGTAACATTGTGCACCATCAGAGTCCTCTTACGGTCTACAATCAGATATTCATACTTCTTTCCCATTTTCAGCTCTCGCCCATTCTTCATCCAAACCACCTGGAGAAAAAACATAAACATGATGGATTAAAAGCTAGAGGTAAAAATCTGTCTTATATAATAACTTCTCCGATTGATGATTACATGGATTGGAAAATTTGGAAAATACTGAGCGCCTGATTCCCAGAAAGATTGCATGGCTTTTGTGCCCACTAAACCTGTGCAAGTGAATCATGCTGCTATAACAATATAATTCACAAACACCGGCGCTAACAGCCACGCACAGTTAAGAGTGAAACATTTACAGGCTGCTGAAAGCAGGTAGTAAATGCAGTATTTATAATGGATGTCATGCACAACTTTCCAGTAATCAGGACATCAATTTCAGCTCTTATTACCTAAAAAATATCATCTGTAAATTAAGTCTGTAAATATTACTATGGCATAAATTGTTTTTTAGAAACAGGAGTGAAATCACTCAGGACTGCCAGAGGCTCACCCAAGCACATATTCACACACTTTATATACATGTGTGGAGTCTGTCACAGACTTTTAGTTAAAGGTACATTAAAACTATCTGTGGGAAATTGGCACACAGTAGGATTATGTATGTTCCCTTTACAAACCTGTGTATCATAATCCGACACCTCAGCAGTCAGTTGAGCAGTTTCTTGGGCACTGCAGGTTACCATCCCGAGCTGAGCTAACTTGTTAGTGAACCTAACAGAAGGAGCTAAAAGAAATGTCAGGTAAGAAGGCATTACTGATTTGTTTCTCACACAAAAACACAGTCAATACCAACAGACCTCAATTAATTACTGGCCTTAAATTTGAATAAAGAAAAGCAAATGTGCTACAATAGTGCCATTGATTAGAGAGTGTTTTGTGTTGAGATTTTAACTGACTACAAGTGCATACCTTTCACAGACAGGATGCAACTGCTTTGCGAGCCTCCACCCACAAACTTGACTTCAGCTCCATTCATTTCCATGGTCACGACACGGATGAGCAGAGTGTGTGTGTTTTTGGACCTGGTGATGAGGTAGTCGCCTCCGCTGCGCAGGAGACGGCCGTTTAGAGACCAGAATCCAGAACAAACAGCGGACAGCTCCACAGAGATGGAGAACTCCTCTGCATTGATTGCAGTGCTGTTCATCAAGCCTTTCCTGACTTCAGCACTGGGTTCTGGAGGTGATGAGGAAAACCGGACATGAGAAAAAGACCACTTGGGTGTTACAGCAACATCACATGAGTGCAAAGAAAAAAGTCTTACCCAAGTAGAAGCTTCCAGGCACCTCCAGGTAAGCACTCTGGCCAAAGTCATTCATAGCAGAGATACGGAATTGGTAGCTTGCTTCTTCTGTGAACTTGCTGATGGTGATCTCCGTTGAAACAAGGCTTTCTCCAACACTGCATCTCTGCCATGTCTGAGTGCCAACCTTCCTCCTCTCCACAATATAGCCCTTGATGGGTACAGGGCGGTCACTGTCAGGAGGAGACCACTGAAGAGTGATGGATGAGTCAGTCTTGTTCTGCACCACGGCATCGACTGGGGGATCGGGAGGATGCTTTCTTGCAGCTTGAGCAATCAGAGTGATAATCATGTGATGAGTATTGATTGATTGTAGTGAACAAAAAGACAGTTGAGTTTTTCTATCTGTTTTTTACTTAAATGATAGTTGGTGATCATTCTTTTCAGTTGTGAACATATAATGAATACCATCATTCTGTGAAACTCTGAGGTAAAAGCAACTCACATATAAGTGATCAGATCAGGTACGAAATAAGTCCACTTTGACACTTTTTCTTCTTTAGACATAATGACAATCAACAGATTTCAATTTGTATATTTTATCCTCACCAGTGACAGAGAATCGAGTGGAAGTCTTGCAGTCTCCAGCCACAAAAGCCACTTCTCCTGAGTCATCTGCCTGGCAATCTCTAATGGTTAGTGTGTACTGTCTGAGCACACAGGCAATGGAAATTCGTGAATCTTCCTTGAGCTTTTCGCCATTGCGGGTCCAGTAGGCGTCCTTGCAGGGATGCTCAAGCTCCACACAGAAGATGACTGTATCACTGACGGGAACCACTGTCCTTCGGGGAAGCTTCTTCGTGATGTTGCCTGGAATAATAAGAGTATGAGTAAATACTCTTAAATATGGTATTGTAATGATAGCGAAGCAATAATTGCACATATTAATAATCAGGCAAGAAAGAAAATAAAACATTTAAGCCATACCCAGGACAGTTAGCTCAGCCACAGTGCGACTGCCCTCCTTCATCTCGCAGATATAAACACCGTCATCATTTGTGGTGACGTTGTGTATGGTGAGACGACGCAGAGTGCCTTCCTGCGCCATGTTATATTTGATACTCTGCTCCAGCCGCGTTTCCTCCATGAACCAGTTGGCCTGGGTGGAACTAACAGGTACCTCACACAGCAGTGTAGCTGAAGCTTTCTCTTGTACCTCCACATCCTGCAGCTTCCTTCTGAAAGGAACCTTCGGCTCTGACAGAATAAAAAGAAAAGCCAGTTATTTGGGTTCAAATTTTAGTGAAGATTTTCCATACAGTAGTCGTTCTATCAACTCCAAATAACAGCATATAATTGATCCTTTTCCGAAATATCAACATCAATAGCTGAGCTTTTAGCTTAGATTTTAAAATCCAGTCAAAGATATAACTTATAATATTAGACATTTGATCTCATCTTTATGTGTGGTGCATTTAAAGTCACATTAATAGAAGAGCTGAATGCTTGGCTATTCAGCAATGTTTTCAACAGTCCCAGGCTCTAAATGCTCTAGGCTTTACATAAAGTGTATGCATAAACTTATGATTCAATATTAACAATATGCCAAGTGAAATACATGTTTCTCATTGTCAGTTGTCAAATCTCAGGTTTTTTTGTTTCCTTTTTTTAAGATTTAGGTTTTGGGCTTTTATCCTGTATTTGATAGGGAAGTGGATAGAGTGGGAAATCAAGGATAAGTTTAGAACGACATGCAGGAAAGGAGATGAAGGTTGGACTTGAACCCTGGACGTCTGCTTGGAGGACTATAACCTCTACATTAAGAGCAGGACCTAACTGCTCAGCACCCTCTGAAGTCTTGTTTTTGATGCCATTGTATTATAAATAAGCAATCAATAAATGGAAATGCTTTAGGAAATGCCTGTAGGTAAACATAATAATATTCTAGAGTTAATGAGCTATGACGTGCAAAATACAATAATATTGTATCCAGTGTTGCTGAAAATGTTCATATATACATGTGTTAATGTAAAATTAAGTTCATAATTTGATTTCAATTCTTTCAATTCATATTCTTTGCATTGGACATTATTGGAGATGGAAGACTGAATCTTGTAATTTTTCTAACTTTGCTCTGCACAAACAACTGTTACAGTTTCAAACTACGTACATCTCCATACCTTGGATCTGAGCCAACAGTGTTAAACATAGGAATGACGTGCATGCTCGACGGCAAAGTCACAGTCTATAAAATCTACATGTGCTGAAACGTAAGGAATTCCATTTTGAGTTATGAGGACGCCCACTAGGTTCAATAAATCACTCATTGTCAATTTATTGATGTATTTTTATGTATTTTTATTCTGTTTATTTCATCCATGTACCTGGTATAAACAAAAAAAAGTACATCAGTGTCTCAGCACTCATTATAGGACTGAAGGAAGATTAACAACCAAACGAAACCTTGAACACTTCAATTCCTTCCCAAGGGAAGTCACACAAGCCAAAGTGTCTATGTAGTCCAGTAAGTGAGGGACCATCTTAGCAACTGTGAACTTCTCATCACCAGCAGAAAATAGATGCAACACAACACCCCCCTGCAGATGGTGAGCTCAAATCAACCTTGTTGTGAATAGCCGCACACATTTTAAGAGGTTTAAATGGGGCTCTGTTTAGTGGTTTGGACAACACTTACAAAAGTGCAGTAGCCAACAATGAGAGTATGCTACTAGCTTCTACCTATGTGCCATATGCCACCACTTTTATTGCTGTTGAACATATGAATAAGTCACACTGTGGCACTGACATGTTCCTCTGGATGAACATAGGCACTGTAGTTATTTTTGAAAAGATTAGACATACAAATTATCTATAACTTACTGGTGTTGAAAATGTTTAGTTCATCGCAAAGTGTGTAGTAATTATACACTCAAAAAGGTCCCACACAATGACAAATTGTGTCCCTTTTTGAGAAGTGTTTGCTAAAGAAAACATCAGTGCCCAGATGTGTGTCCACATATTAATATGTCTGCATAGTAGCTAAAGTTTTAAAGACTTTTTCTTTTCTTCTCTCTTTATAGTTTTAAAAATGTATGTTTTGGTGGTGCAGTGGTTAGTGTGCACGCCCCATGTATGGAGTCTTTGGTCCTCCTAGCGGGCGGCCCAGAATCAAATCCCACCTGTGGCTCCTTTCCCGCATGTTCTTCCCCATTCTCTCTTGCCCTGATTTCTGTCCTATATCTCCATTAAAGGCACAAAAAGCCCAAAAATAAATCTTGAAAAAAAAAAAATGTTTTCAGAGAGAATTGGTTTGGGGGAAGTGTGGAAGATATAGAATAGGCTGGAAAGTTTTAGACGCAAACTAATATATTTTTGGTTTCTAAGGGATTTCACAATATTAAGAAAATAGTTCTTTAAACTGGTGTAGACTGACCCCTGCTATGAGTTTGTATATGGTGCATGTACATATATAACATATGTTTAATGTTGACTTCTGGAGAGTTCTCTTTAATGTGTAACTTAGATGTATCAATTTAATACATGTAGCATTCTTGCAGAAACTGACCGCCTTACCTTTGACTGTTACCAACACAGCACTGTAGGTCTGCCCAGCCATATTGGTGGCATTGCAGGTGTAGAGACCATTATCAGTCTGCTTGCAGTACAGGATCTTGAGGATGAAGTTCTCAGCTTGGTCCTCATAAATGACATGCCTGCGGCCCTCACTGATGTTTGATCCATCCTTTCTCCAGATAATGTGGGGTTTAGGGTGACCTGTCACAAAGCAGCTAAGTTTGGCATGCTTGCCCTCAGTCACTGTGCAGGTACGAGTAAACACACCTTTGGGCAGCTTTGCCAGTGCGGATGCCCTCAGCTCATGTTCCATACTCAAACCATCTCTGATGCTTGTTGAGGAGGATGAAGAAACTGTGGAGCTGCTTTCCTCTGTGCGATAGATTGAGATGTCCTTCTTCATCTCCTCTTTGCGCTTTTGTAGGTGAGAAAGAAGGGACGTGTTTTTATCTGCAGCCAGGTGGCGGGAATCCTGAGCATCCACAGCAAGAGCTGCTGAAACATGTGCACGACCAACAGTGTTCTGGGCCCTGCAGGTGTAGGTGCCGCCGTCTAGGTTACGTACACTTTGGATCCTTAGGGTGCTGCTGTCGTTGTCAGAAACAATCTTGATACGGTTACTCTCCCCTATGTAGCGCCCATCTTTCTCCCAATCAAAGTTGACTTCAGGGTGAGCTGAAACCCGGCAGAGGAAAACAACATCATCTCCCAAGACTACACGTGCAGAGGTCGGCTTAACTAGAAAACCAGGAGCCCTCTGGGTCATCTCTGTTGGCAGAGCCACTTTAAGGGTTACGGCGGCATAAGCTTCCCCAACATTGTTTTTGGCCCGGCACATGTACTGGCCACTGTCCTCCAGTGTTAAGTCATAGATGGTTAGGCGGTACACATTTCCATCCTCCACAGTCTTAAAGCGTCCCCCAGATGTCAGCTTCAGCTTCTCCTTTTCCCAGGTGATCAGCGGGGTTGGGCTGCCCACGATGGTGCAGCTCAGCGTGGCATCCTTGCCTACACACACTGAGAACGACGCCTTTGGACGGGTGAGAAACCTGGGGACTCCTCCAAATAAGTTTGGATCCATTGTTTGTACCTGAAATCAACAAAACGTTTAATTCAGTACCAGGGAGGGTCTTCAAAGAAATTATAATGCAACATTAAGATGTTGTGTCACACTATGTCAGCGTCTTCTTCTTATTTTTTATAACTATCAGTCGGCCTATAGCATACATTGTAAGTTTAAATATGCTTGAAATGGACGTTTGGTTTTAAACAAATTACATTTCTGCTGAGCAGTGGAAAAATAAGGCAAAATATATTATGTTCAAACAAATGTCAGGTATTTTACATTTTGATTATACATTAAATCACAAAGAAAAAATGATTATAACCACTGTAAGATGTTACAGTTTGTTAAATGTACTCTATAAATATGCTCAGCTATGAAAATAGACATAAACCCTGAGTTGAGATGAGCATATTTATGGCTTGCAGTTACAGTAAGTGTCAGTAGACATACCCCTGTCCCTGCCCCGCACACACCAATCAATACGACTCCTTAACTTTCACCCATAAAGCTTTTTAAACGGGAAGGCAGATTAATAAACAACAACAAATGTTTTCTCATGTAACAAGGTCAAATAGCAGCAGATATGTGCCTTTCAAAGAGTGACATTTACCAGCTTTGTCACCTTTGTCGCTCGAACTGCCTGTCCCAAAAATAACCTCAGCTGTCAGACTCCGTCTCTGTCCATTGCCATTTGTAGAAGCGAAAGGGTCATCAGCTGTTTGATAAAGCTCCCACTTCAGAAACTCCTGCAGTTACTCAAAGTGTTTCTCAGTTTCTCTCAGTGTTCATTGTACACATGGTTACTTATATGTCTCTTTAAATATGTTGGAATTTATTTCTATTTCATTGTTTTTAAAAGAGAAAAAAAAAATGTCAAACACATTATTATATTAAAATACAATAATATTAACAGACTACAAGTTGAACCAAAGGTAAGATAATGATATAGCTTGCTTAGCTCACCTTAATTGACCACATCGATTGTAATTGTTAAGGTTACAGGTGTTACACTTTGTACATAGTTTCCAATGAAGCCTATATGTGAATAAATAACAAAGTAACTGTTTCTTCTCTGAAGTTTTCGATACAGTTATTAATGTAATACTTAGGTTACTTTAAGTTATGAACAATAACATAGCTCATTCACCTTGAGTCGTCAGCCACTCAGGTAACAGTTAAAGCAGGCGATGAAATCATGTGGTCCTCAAGCTTTCCGGATGATAGTCGACTCCGATTTTAATGTGTAGAAATCACACAAAAATGTCCCGTTTGTGCTAAAATATCCTTGAAATGGTTGTAAATCCAGGGTGTTGGAACATCCCCCCAGTCTCCTGCGGTGGGCGGTGGACTAGACTTTTTTCTTCTCCACTACCTCATGATGCCAAATAACTGACGTGCCTACTTTGGCACAGCCTCCTTTCTAAAATAGACCTGTCATTGAACTACTGTGTGGAGATAGGAGATAGCCTGCTTGGCCTGTTGGAGAGGAAGGAAAGTTAAGTAGACTGGCCTGGCCTCTGCCGGGCTGCACACTGCTGCAGTCACCATACAATAACTAAGTCGTAAACAACTCATAACTGAATTTCAGTAGCCTACCCAAATTGTTTCCACCTTCTCAGCGGAGGCTTACAGAAGCAGCATTCTCACGTGGTCAGGTCATAAATAAGTCGAATTAAATGGAAATGCTAAATCCCGCATTTTTACACCAATTAAGCACCGTTTCCTAATTCAAGCCTTGTTTTCTCCTGCTTCCAGTTTAAAAGTGAGGTCATTCATTCAAATTCCCCTTAAAAAAATATTCCACCAGACTCCAAAATTATTATGGACTTTTGACATTTCAATTATTCTGTTCTTGTTATATGTCAAAGTACAATTTCCCCCCTAATTTTTCCATTCTATTCATTAAAATGCTTTGGTTCGAGGCCACTTACAAAAGGAGCGTTGAAGCATTTTAGCTACACCTACAGCCATTAATATAGTTTTAATTGTAAATAAGACATCAATTAGTGCAAGCACATGTTTGTGAAATTGATGTAGGCCTGAGGTAGCATGTATTTAAACTTGGCCTAAAAGTAGTAAAATTTATGTTGAACTGTGCAATCTCACCTTACAAGGTTACAAAATGAAGAAAAAAGAAACAACAGAAAAGGTGCCCATATCAATTTAGGCTCCTCAACCTATATGATCTGAGCGTGAGGACAGACCAAATTAATGTTAGGTTATCTTGTGTATGGAATTCCTGACAGCAGCTTGAGACTCCATGAAGCACTTTAAAATCCCTGTCCCTATCGAGATTCCACTCTGGTGAGGTTTTAGGGGGCCACAGTTACTCAGTCAGATACAGACCAGAGTATGGAATAAAGATAAAGAGTATATGGCGTATGGAATGGAGAGTGTATGGGGAGGTGACAGTTGACTTCCTTAACACTGCTGAGTCGCCCTTGAGCAAGGCACCCTATCTGCCTGGACGCTCTTTCAAGTGCAGCCCCCTCACTCTGACATCTCTCCATTAGTGCACGTCCATAGGATCCTGTTTGTGCGTTCCTGATTTAAGTGTGTTCAATCACAGAGTTTTTGGCACATTTTCATGACAAAGGCTTTACTGTTTCCTTATTCTTGTAATGATTAAGCCACATTGCAGGATTACACTAGAATAAGAATCTGCTTTGTTTTGTTGAGGCATACTTACCGTGATAGAGAGATTTAATTGATCTTAATCTTCTTACCAGACAATGGGTTTGTGTAAAACAAGACATTTTTCTACAAAACGTCAGTGTTAAACTTGAATGCCCTTTCCTTTGGTTTTACTTGAACCTTAGTAGCATTTAAATCTGTTACATTTTAATAATTGTTCTATTGTAGTACTGGTTGCAAGTCTATGTTGATTTGCACTTAAAGCTTTGGCAATATTGTGAATTACAGGTTATTCAGAGAGCTGAATCTTGTCTCTGGCACATTGTATTTCACCTCCTCCATGGCGGCAGCTGCTTCTACCAGCTAGTCAGTCCCATAATAAAGCTATGACTTCATGTTACACAAAGGATTTTCAAACAGTAATGTGTTAAATTTATCTCCCATTACATCTTGGCAAAATGAAAACATGTTAAAAAAAACTTTAAGGTAGCAGGAGGTTTGTTTGCCACTTTCTATAATTTGTTTTCTTCAATTTGGAATGATCTTCTTTCTTTTATTGAATGCTTATGATGACTTAAAACAAAGGAACAAGGGATGGAAAGTCTTACCCCTGTATTTCCTATTCTTTGGCTTCCATGGCACTTCCTTTCAGAGTGGGCTTTCCCCTCAGTGCCAATGACTGACAGCAGCAGGCAGCCCGGACCCTGATTTAAACTCCTGGAAACTCTATCAGAGGGTACTCTGCTGTTGCTGCTTGCCCCTGTTTCATCCTGTTCTTTCTTCAGTAATTGGCGTCCACACTCCTAAAAACACACTGAAAACAAGAAAAAATACCTAAAAAACTTTTTTCAGACATCTATCTAAACTTTGTTATGTACAATATTTGTTTATGGTTTAAGGAACATGGAAGAATACCTCACCTCCTTTTGTCTCCCATATTCTGTTTGGCTTTCCCCATATACATTTCTTGATGCCAAACTTTTAAAAAGCTTCAGTTACCTCCTGGAAAACAATACAGCAGAGGGCAGTAGAAGGACATAGCACCTTGCTATGTTTTTAGCAAGCACAGGAGTTGAACAAAATCCAGTGCAGAACATTTGGTGCCAGTGTATACTCTCAAATATCTAACTAACATGGCCTTCCAACTGACCTCTGAGCCATCTTGAGAATAAGGTCATGGTTATATCATGTTCACAGCCAAAAGACACGAGTGTTACCTCAAAGCAACATTTACACATAGCAGATGACAAGTGAGACAAGGACAGATAGGCCAGAAGGAAAATGAGATGGTGTTTACGTCCTAATGCTCTAAGTGGATTGAACAATGATAACTATAAACTAGATGAGGGAAAAAAACATGGGACATAATAGTATCACACTAAACATAAAGATGTGAGGTTTAGTTTACATTTTAATCTATTATTATCTATTATATTATTATCCAATCTATTGGCCAAAGCCGACTGCACCTGCTGAGGCAACTGAGGTCCTTTGGAGTGTGCAGGACTCTGTCACGGACACACTGTGGTGGCGTCTGCACTTTTCTTTGCAGTGGTCTGCTGGGGAGGAGGGAGCACAGAGAGAGACAGGAAGAGACTGAACAGACTGGTCAGGAGGACTGTCCTCTGGACTCTGTAGAGGAGGTGGGTGAGAGGAGGATGTTAGCGAAGCTGACATCCATCATGGACAACCCCTCTCACCCCCTACATGACACTGTAGGCTCTGAGCAGCTCCTTCAGCAGCAGACTCAGACACCCACCCTGCAAGACAGAGCGCTACCGCAGGTCGTTCATCCCATCTGCAGTCAGACTGTTCAACAGTACTACCACCTGACTCTAATAATGTTCGTCAAAATCAGTAATTCTAAGAACTGTCCTCTGTCTTTCCACAAGTGAAAGTGTTTATAGTATATGCCTAGTATTATTTTATCTCTATTGTATTTTCTTGCTTTATTTAATTAATGTGAATATGTTTTTTTTTGTTTTTTTTCTATTTTTACTAATTATACTACTGTTTTTGAGCTGTTGTAACTTGAAATTTCCCCCAATGGGCGATCAATAAAGTTTATCTTTATCTTATCTTTATTATAGAGGATAGGTGGTGTAATCCAGGGCAGAATAAATGTTCCCAAAGAAAATAATGAATGAAAAAAATCACCTTAACTATTCCAACAAAGACAATGAAACTAAACAAAAGTAGGCATTTGTAAATTATGTTATTATCAGGGAAACCAACCATTAAGTCTAGAATATAAAGCAGAAAGTAGTTAGCGTTTGGTGTCTTTACTAGTACCAAAGACAAGAAAACCGATTTATTTTTGTAGAAAATGTAATAAGTGTTTATTGGTGTTTGCACATTAGAGGTGGATCCATAGTGTGAGTGGAAACAGCTGATAATCTGACCCGCCAAAAGAACAAGAAGTGGAAGAGAAAAAACAAACAGACCTAGAGATAGAAGAGCTAACATGTCTGATCAGCTCTGCATACAGCCTGTGTGCAACACTAGATAAAGCTGAAGATTTGTGCCAATGAGCTCATTTACAAAAAGAAACATCTGTATTAATGTACAGTTATTTCTAATCAGTGTTATTTCTAATATCGACACTAGGGGTCACCAAAGTCAAATGTGTTTGTATTTTAGGGCATCTTTAAATTAGAGGGGCTGGCTTTATAGGTCTCAGAAGCACCAGAGGACATTTCATTTTAGAAAGGTTAAATGAAAGGAGATGAATGAAGCATTCATACATGACAGACCCTGAATGTCTGGAGAAAACATTTATCAAGATTGTTCAGACCAAATGTTGGGCTGACAGAGTAATCAAACCAAATCCATGTAATGATATAAAACAAATTTACCTTAACAAATTAGAAAACGACTTTATCAATATATTAGTGTCAAGCGTGTCTGACACTCAGAGAAAACTATGGACATTGTGATCTGCCAGGCTGACACTGGGAAAGCTAACGACATTATGAAACAGAGAGAAAATTAAAATAGATTGTTTATTTCAAATAAACGTCACTTAATCAAGCACACATGAAATGATTAAATACACTCAAAATAAGATTTATTTGCCTCTCTACTCACTCACAGAAAACAACACATGTATTGTAAAGCTGTGCCGAAAACAAGTTCTTTTGGCATTTTTTTCATTGTTCAGCTAGTGTTTCTTAATTTACACAACTAAAAAAAAAAAACAGACTAAACTTTCGGAACAAAAAAAACCAAAAAAGTACAACATTTCAGGATGAAAACTTAGCACCTTTTTCCAGTCACTGTGATCCTCAGACTGGTGTTTAGTGGATAAGAAACCATAGTATGATGCAAAGGTTGTCCATGAGGAGCCACTGCCAAATCCAACTCATGCTTGTTTAGGATATTGAGGAAAGTGCAAATGTAGACACCATGATAAGAAGTGTGCTGACACAAGATCTGTTTTCAAGCAAAATCCACGGCTTCACTATATACTCGATGCTACACGATGACTTACAAAGTAGAAAAAAAAAAACACTGTACATGTATGTGCTGTGCTGTAAAAGATATCCCAATGGCTTCTAAAAAGAGCAAACACTAATCCTTAAAACTAAGGCACTGGTTGAAATAAAATGACAAATGAGACAGTGAAGTGTTAAGTGTGGGGACAGAACACTAACAACAAGGGACACAAAGCGGAGCTCCAGTGTCTCTACAACATAAACTCACTGCACAAACAGACCACAACACCCATGTTAGCATGTTTCAACAATGTGACAGAGTGAACATGAACTGATCAGAGGTACAAAAAAAAAAGCAAAAAAAAGACCTTATGTGATTAGCCACAGTGTTTCCAGGTGGTCGGCTGTACTTCATGATGATACAATACGTGCTGATACTTTTCTTATATACAATGAGAAGAGGTCATTCAGGATGGAGACTGACTCAGTGTCCCTTTTCTGACGGTTGCATGTACTGTACATATGCACACTTTTAAAAAAATGTTTTGTTTTTTTTTCATCAGTGCAAAATGTTCTGAGTTTATGTCTGCATAACAACGCAGGTGTCTTAACGCATTCCTTCGAGAGAAAAAAAAAAACAGTAACAAAAGAAAGTCTGAAAACACACCAGGTCAAAAACAAGTGTACCCTGTGGAAGAGGATTAGATCTGTTAATGGGATTTTTAACGATTGCAATAAAAATGGGATGAATGTTTTCTTTTTTTGCACACAGGTTCCACGAGCAGGTTGAGTTTAGTATTCTGTTTTTAACACATTCAACATCATGCTGGCCATGTTATCTGTGCATTATGAAAAACATTTTTATCAGGACTTTCTTCATCAAGTCTTCTTAAACTACTTTGAGTGGGGCATTGTCGGGACGCATGCCATGACTTTCATAAAAAGAATATAAGCTTTTGTGAAGGTAAAAAAATGTATCTTTTGTTTTAAACAAATAAATAATACTTACATATCAATAAAATATCTTCGGGGGGGAGACGAGTAATAAATTAACTTAAAGCTACTTATGCTAACTGTGAACAGGCTGAGTTACTCCTAATCCTTCAAACCTAAAGCTTCAGAAGCAACAGCACACACTCAAATAAGCCCTTGTGATTAAGTTAAATCTTTTATGTGAACATTTTGGATTAAAAACTGACACACGCGCACACACGCGCACGCACGCACGCACACACACACACACACACACACACACACACACACACACACACACACACACACACACACACAAATTGTACGTGAACAACAAAGATTTGTAAAAGCAAAAACACCCTGGTTTGTTCAGAAAACAGAAAACCTACCCATGCACTTTTGGACATCAATGTTTGATTCAAGAGTTCCGCTGGGCAAGAAATGAAACCGAGTCCATTTACACCGGTCATTAAAAATCTGAATGCAGGTAAAAGATGCACCTGTACACTTAAAAGAAACATTTATGTTCTGTATACATATTTACATAAGAGTCAATATATTGGAGAGGTAATGATGGGAGTATTAGGTTTTCTTCTCCACTGTAGAGGTAATACAGAAAACGAGGATATAAATATGTGTTTTTATTACTGTTATATGGGTGTTAAGGCATAAAGCTGACTTTGATCCAGCTTAATTAAAAGACATCTTACATCTGCATTCGATTTTTACGCCATGTGCATTTGGGCCCCGTCATTTGAGTTTTTCAGAAGTAGTAATGTCTTGATACCTCAGCTGTGAATATATTAATACTGAGTAAAATCTGTATTTAGCACTACTAAACACAGGCAGCAGCATCCAAACATGCGGATGTCTGGTTTCAAAAACAAGTTTTGTTGAACCCAATAGGGCTTTAGCCAGGTACACATGGTGTTTTAGAAGTACTTCTACTTTACAGTCAGTGCTTTAGTATATCAATACTTGGTATCTTTCTAAAGGATTAGATCTGATAGTAAAAATTTGAACTTTTTAAATTATTAGTCATAAAAAAAAAAGTGTATTTCCAAAGCACCAGGGTAAAACAGCTTCACTTTAAATATTGAATTCTTTTTTTTTTTTTTTCAGGTGATCAAAATTGTTCAGGCAGCTAAATTACATTTGTAGTCTGTGCAGCACAGATCAAGACACCACACTTTGCAATATTCAACAAGACTCACACTGTCAAACGTAAGTGATGCACAAACACATGAATTGTGCAAACACGCAGATGAGCCTTTTGCATTCTACAACAAAAGTTGGCCACACACGCCATCACACAGTGATCCTATGCACGCATTCTATAGTCTCTCTGTATCTGTATTGTCTGTACAAGTTTGTGACAAAATCAGGATGAAGTGGACGGAAGACTTATGGTTTCCCTGATGCCACAGTCTGCCTGGTGTGACAGGAGGAGGCATGGACGTGCATGGACGTGCAGTGACAGTGGTTATTCAATGAGCCTCTTCCCACAACAAACGCTGAATGGAGTTTTTAAAGGTCCATGCTAAGTTGTCCATGGAGATCATCTAAGGCCACAATGTTCGTCGAGTAAAATGTAAACACACACAACAACAAAAAAAACAGAGAAAGAAGAAGTTGTCATGGCCATGTATCCCTTGTAGGATAAAAGGCCGTTTGTTGTTAGATTCAACAAAAGAGTATGTCACAGGATACAGAACCAAAAAGCATAGATCAGAGACACGTCCTTTTATATATACACCTTATGACATAAGGCACTTCAACAACTACTCCCAGTGCCCTGCTTTGGAGTAGATCCACTGTTTATCTCCTGATCATCTCCATTCTCCTCCTCCTCTTCCTCTTTCCAGCCACCAAGGTGGACAGGGGTGGGCATGCAGATACTTGAATCAAGGCCGCTATGTGCCTGGAAACCTGGTAAGAGTGATGATGCAAACAGAACAACAGATTTAAAGATCACTGTGATTATTTGTAACACTTTTAAAAGCTAATATTTTCAAATGTCATACATATGGAAAATTTACAAACTAGTCCATGCTTGTGTGAAATAAAACATATACATCACTATGTGAAAAAAAAGGAACACAGCTGGAGGATTCAGTCAACGGTTTGGCTTTTTTTAAAGCTAATTTTGTACAAATACAATGCATATACTCTAAATTTTGTAAGCATTACATTTTTAAAATGTGCTCGTCATCTTTGTCACAGGAATACATTTTTCTATGGTTTGAAAATAAACCATGATGGAGTAGAAATGTGTAATTCATGGTAATACCCTTTGTACTTGCAGTCAGTGTGACGAGTTGTCAGAACAAATTTAGTTTCTCTTCTGCACAATTAGAATAGAAGTTTCAGTAATACTTAAGCAGGCATCATTGCTTTAAAAGATTTTTCAATTGTTTCTAAAGTCCTGTTCAATTTGTAGTGAGTGATCTGATGGAGTGTGTTTAATTAAAGTGGGTAGCCTCCTGATTACAACTTCATTCCTTCCACAAAAACAGGAACATATGATCTAATGTTAACGTCAGTAGTTTTTCAACCTTGGTACCCATCAGCAATCATCGCCAATCATCGTCTAGATGACATATGCCTCTAGGAACGGATGAGCCAGCAGTTAGCCTTCAATGACTTCCGGGCAAGACTTCCTTTTCCATGAAACATTTTACATTTGCAACCTAAACAGTGTAATTTCTTTAATATCCCAGAATAACGCCTGTTCATCTGTTGAGCCTCAGTTCAACAGCAGACAACAAGTTACATATTGGCTTCACTCTGGCTCACTTCAGCAGTATGAGCTCAAAATAGCAACTGATATAACTTGTTATTTACTCGCAATTCACAAGAATTACATCTGTTTATAGAGACGTAAGAATCATCGTTACAATACCACTGCAGTATAATAAAACGTGGATAAATGTTCCGCCTGTTTTTTGCCTTCCACCCACTTTTTCCCCTGCATACACCAAAGCTTGCTGATACGTAATTGGTCAATACATCTTGAAAAACAAATGTACTGCAATTGTACTGAAACAAGACAACTTTAGAAACTGAAAAATCCAGACCCCTGTATACAGATTCTACATTTCTATGCAGCATCTGTAAATACAGACATGTAGTTTTTTTACAGATCTGGTTTAAAAACTTCTATCAAATGTCACACAGGAAGCTGAATCTTTATGACTATTAGGATGCTGCGCAGTACTATTAAATCAATACATTCATTTACCTGTACTTGTATGCAGATCTCTCATCGGCACTGGGTTCTGCCACTGACCTGAAGGTCTTTGTGGATGGGAGCTCTGTTGATGGAGCTGTAGAGACAAGGGGTTGTTAGCGAAAGATAAGAGAACTTTCGGTTGACTACAGGGTTAAACCAATCAAAATCTTTTCAGTCGTAACACAGATATCCTGGAAAGAGGATGTCTTCAGTGGGTGCATGTCTAATATTCAAAAGATACATACAAGGGAATAACTCTTAAAACTCCACGCACTAATAAAAGAAAACAAGGACAGCAACGTGAACATCACATGAATAAGTGGTGACAGCAAATGTTTCCAACATTACCTCATGCATATAGATGGCATGGAGACTCATCTCTGCTGAGGCAAACTCTGAGTGCAGTGCATTGCTCTGAATGCGGCTGTCACTACGTGTCATACTGCAAAAGAAAAGTGTTAACCAAAGTTGATAACAATCCTTTGCATGTATTCAATGTCCTGTATTCTAATAGATACTTTATCTACATAATTATGTACAAAACATCATGAGTGATAAGTACCTGTCAATGATGGTACGATCGCTGCGGTACATGGTGCTCTCAGGGTGCAACGATGTGGGCAGTTGCCCGTGCGAGCGGCCACGGCTGGTGTGTGCAAGCTGGGACGTGGACAACGAGGCCAGAACACTGGCAGCAGCAGAAGCAGCGGTGCTCGGTGGGATGAAGCGATGGTCTCGCCCTTGCAGACCCGAGGCAGTGAGAATGGGGTGAGCCAAGACACTGGCCAACAAATTATCAGGCTGGAAAAACAAACATATGTATAAAAAACCACTAAGCAAAAAAGAACAGGAAGGAAACTATGACACTAGAATTCGTTTTAGGAGAAAAAAAAAGAAAAGAAGTGATTTGTTGATTTACAGAAAGTAAGTTTGTTCAGTCCGTCACGTTGTTGTCTTTAACATGCTTCTTAGTGTTTCTTACCCCAGGCCCTGACTCGTTGGACTGCAGCGAGGTGCAGAGAGGTGCCTCAGAGAGCAGCAGCTGGGTGGAGGGGCCGCCCTGTGCATCATGCTGCACCTTTTCCTTAAGATGACTGATAAACACTGAACTCTCCTGAGGTGGCTGCCAGCGTGGGTTCTTAATGGTGAAATGCATGAGAGACAACTCTGTCTTGCCATTTTCAGCCTGTTGGTAACAGAAGCCTCCGTCTGCCCCTCTGACATCCACTGCAAAAAAACAAACATTCAAAGATATAAATCAATTTAAGCTCAACATCACAAAGCTAAATCAAACAAACCTCTAAATATCTCCAGTTTGTTAAAGCTGATAAATAAAAGTAAAAACTATTCATACTGTTGGGTTTCCGTGTCGCCTGATGTCCATCTGAGCAAAGGAACAGATGTCTCCGACTCCAACCACCTCCACAGTGAAGTTCCTGAAGAAGTCAATGATCTCTAGAGATTTGTTCCTCAGCACAAATATGAGAATAAAGGGGGTGACGATAGGACTGAGCAACTCCTCCAAGATGAAAACCTGATTTGGTAAAAAGAAAAAGTTTTTACACAATATAAATTTTAAACGTATTCATCTCCTACAGAATACATAGCCCAATGGAGATGAGTTTGTGATTCAGTTTTCAAATATGCAGTTAATCCAGGACAGTCTAGTCATTGACCTACATTAAAATGTAATCACACCGTAAACTCATCCCTAACTTCACTCCGACTGTGACAAATGAGCTCCTGTCACAAAGTTTCTCCATTCCTCACCGCTTTGTACTGGAACAGCTGTGCCACCTCTTCACGGGTCTCACTTTTGTTAGCGGTTCCCCGCCAGTGGTCTGGCATGTAGTGAATGTGTGCCAGCATGCACTGCAGCAGCTGCTCTGGACACCACACCATATGCTCATCTGGGATGAAGGATCTGGCATTGAGCAGGTACAAAATATGTTAATTTTTCAACAGTGCAACTACCGGAAACATCATAATTTTGCGCAGTCCATTTTTGATAGAAAGTTGATGATTGATTAGGGGAGAAGAACACTTTTGCTCATTCACAAGTGAACAATTTGTGATTAACTACCAAGCACGTTGCAAAAGCTTAAATAAAAGTGAAATGAACAAATTACTCAAATTGAATGTGCAGAAAAACAATCACAGTTCATTATCAATTGTATAAACAGTTATATTTTCTGTTAATCATTACATAAAATCAGGAGTCGAATTAAACATCACACACAAGTTCCTGCCTTTTTACAGTGACTGATAACAATATTTGAATGGATCCATGTAAAGCCTGGCCCAAAACAAACTCACCTGGTGATAGTGATGACCACCCCCAGCACAGTGATACCAGTCAGGATGTGCTGCACTGTCAGAACATCCTCATCATAGACTGTCAGAGCAATGAGCACGGCCAACACTGATCCTGAGAAGAATGCAATGTTCTTAGCGAGCACAGTCAGCAGCGGTGATGTAAAGGAGTTCATGTATTTAGATGTGGGTTTGTAGCCGCGGCCCAGTCGTCCATGCAGCTCATGGTCCAGCTCGTTGAAGTGTCGCAGGTATAAACGACCATACAGGGACCAGCGTCGTGCACCCAGGCTCCCGGGTTCTCTGCGTATGATTTCTGTATAGCTGAAGAAAGCATAGAGCACCTGCCATACGAGGATGAAGGGGCACAGCAGCAGGTTGGCCAAACCCATCAGCAGGATGATTCTACTAAGCTGCTGTGCCAGCTCGAGGCGGTTTCCATTCCGCTTGTACTTTGGATGCAGGTTCCACTTGTTCTGAAAGAGAGAGCCAGGGCCCCAGAAGAGGATCAGCTCAAAGTTGTACTTGAGGCCCTGGGTGAGGAACACCACATTGCCCAGCAGGGGGAGCTGAAGCTGCACAGGCAGCAGTGATTTGTTTATCATGGCCACCATGTAATTCTTGAATCGAAGGATGCGATGATAGATGTCGAGTTCAGTCAGCTCTTTCTTGTGTATGCACATTTGCTGCTCTCGTTGCAGGCTGATGAGCCGGTCCTGAACTTCCTGCCATGTGAAGTTGCATAATTCATCCTGGGAAAAGAAGGCAAGGAAAATAATCTGATGTGTACTACAAAGATAAATGACTCATCATTTTAGGAGAATATATATACATTGCATAAGGAAACGCATCAGGCATTTATAACATAATAATAATATTTTATCCTTTATTAATCCCACGAGGGGAAATTCAATTTTACACTCTGTCTAATGAACATGAACACACACACAAACAGGATCCTATGGACATGCACTAATGGAGAGGTCTCAGAGTGAGGGGGCTGCTGACAGCGAGCGCTCCAGAGCAGTTTGGGGTTTGGTGTCTTGCTCAAGGGCACCTCGGCAGTGCTCAGGAAGTGCACTGGCACCTCTCCAGCTACCAGACGAACTTCCGGACTTGGTCCGTGCCGGGACTTGAACTCCGATTCCCAACCCAGACTGAGCTACTGCCGCCCCAATAACCAGACTGATTCAGAGATTTAGAGGACCTTTTGCTGTATGCTATGACAAAGCTTTCAGGTTTTACACTCACCATTCTGATCTTCAGTGCTTTGATGTAGAACTGCCTAATCTCCCAGTAGCTCAAAACATTGCAAATGACTTTAACAAGTCGATAGATCCAGAAGATGGCTGCCATGATAAGAAGGAAAATAATCCAGCTGTCCTCTAGAATCCTGCATAAAAACAAGGATCATTTCACACATGGTTAACGATAGCATCTGTTAAAGTAACAGCTTTGTGTCATTCACAGATGGGCAACTGCATAAATGTCGGTCAAATCCATATTCAAAAGTACAAGGACATTGACAGCGACAGCCACAATGTAATGTTATCTCGGGGGGGATATAGAGATAGCAAACAAAAAAGCTTTTAAAACCTGACAAAATCATTAAGGAATAATCTTAAGGGAAATCTAGGACTCACACTACATCTCCTTTTATATGCTTGTGAATTGCCTCTCAGTTCAGTAGTTCACTATTAAGATTATAAACGCATTGGGAAAACCAGCTTGTTGCTTTCAGCATATGTTGCAATGTATTAAACTGACACCTCTTTACAGGTGTCGTGTGAGCCGAGGCAGCTTTCTAAAGTTAAGGAATCATCTGGGTACAACGTGTGAAAACACTGTACATATTGTCCTTCTTACAAAGCCACATTAGCCAGTATTAGCGCTATTGTTGTTGCTCTCAGATTAAGTTGTCATTTCTATATCATTTTATAAAAGGTCACTTTAGATGTAATAAACAAAAAACAAGCATGTCTTAAGACAAACATGTGGCTTACAAAAATGAAATTAGAGTGGGGGTATGAGGAAGGCAGCAGGCTCCAAACTGTGGAACAAGCTGTCCCCCAATTAGAATTCCAGGCATTTATACGTCATTGACTTTGATATCAATGACTATGGAGCCACCGTTAAAATCAGGAACAAATTAATGACAGCCCTTTTAGACTAGCTGTGGAAAACAAGCTCAGCTACATCTTGGAAAAAATATGACAACATGTAGCTGGAGGAGGAGGGGGGGGGTTGTACCCTGCAGCCACCTAGAGAGGTGTCATGTGGTTGCAGCCGAGTTGTCAGAATCTCAGCTGGGCAGTTTCACCTCAGAGAAGCTATCAATTACACTGTGCTGTTCCCTAAAGCTGGTCTAAACACGGCCCACAAATACCTTTTCTCAGAGTAACCATCAGTTAGAGGAATGTTGCAACTCAAAGCTTCCAATCTCCAGTAAAAATAAACAACAAAACAAAGTAAGAAATGTATTTCCTAGAGAGAGACATCACTTGTCCTACATATGTCATTTAATTTCTGGAAGCACACCTTCAATCAGAGCCATCTCCTTGTTACCAAGACTGATTTAAAAAACAAATCCAACTTTTACTGTTAGTTCATGATCTACTACTACAGCCACAGGAATTAAGACTTGCTTGTGATATAAAGCAAAGTGATAATGAAGAATATGAAATACATAGCAGGGTGTCATTCTACTGTTTATAAAGCATGTAATTTTTTGGGGACAACGTTGAGAAATTGTTTGAGAGAATGTGTGGCTCAAAATTGCTGCTTAAAATGTTGTCAGTTTTCATTTTTGTCAGCTAAATTTAAAAAAAAAAAAAACAGCTAAAAGCTATGATCAGATCTGTTCGATATTACTTCCAAATGAATGTAACTCTGTTTGCACTTTGAATATGATGTAGTCCAATCAGAAATTAGTTTTGAAAATCTGATTGCAAATGAAGAAAGAGACATTTAATCCCTCTGAAGGCCTGGCTCTTAAAGGGCTCTAATAATATCAAAGACCATGTCTGCCGGAGAACAAAGACTTTAATCTGACTGGCTGGAATGAGGGAACAGGCACATCCGTTAATGTAGTGATCCCCCATGAAAAATGACACTATCACGGACTGACGCTCTGTATTATGAGTTGTGTTGATTACCTCTGAGTACACTGCTGGCTCGGTAGGATGGCGTCTGGAAGTGTGACCTTGTTCCTATCCAAGGGGTTGTGGCCTGGCCCTGTGTGGTTGACCGCTCGATTTGCAAACAGGACATCGTACTCCACGCAGTTGACAAGGAAGGTTGTGAATGTGACAACGAACAAAAACTGACTGTGGGATGAGAGGAAAAAAGAAAAAGATAAAGCATCACACTATGTGACAGGTAAAAGACAAAGAGAATCAAAAAAAATATAAAAAATAGCAAAACACAGATTGATACTTCTTTACAGATTATTGGGGAAAGTGATTCCTACTTTATTTCTAACTATCAAGCCAAAGAAAGTGACCTCATTAACCTGAATAAAGTCGTGGTTAAGATAGATCAATTGCAGTTCCTTCATCAAATATGCCACAAGGCTGATTGCTATATTGATCTGTACATTATTTTAAACATAAAACAACATGTGACATTACTAGGGCTAAACAATTGTGTTTCATTTGGAGAATTGCTGTAAAACTCAATAAGTAATGACGCCAGTAATACAGTGTATAAAGCGTTAGAAAACTGTGTGTAGTGGTGAAGATTCTCTGAGATTCAGATTCAGCTGAAACATTCTGGCTGAACATGTTCATGATGAAGCCTGAGGCACTCTAAGCTGTCATAACAACATGAAAAGTTAACAGTGACATAAGGAAGCCTTTCAGAAAACAAGCATCCTGTTGGAACTGAACATTCAACCTCATATAAAAAAAATCTTATCATGAGTTCTAGTATTCTGTATACTGTTGAATACTTACACAAGTTCAAAGAACTCAGTCAGCATCATACAAGCAAAGCCATTCTTCTGATGAAAATGATAGATGTGGACATGCTTGTTAAGGAGACTGACATCAAATATTAAGCAAGACTTTGACAGCACAACAACAGATATAACAAATGGTCAATCTTTACATTTGGGGGCGCTGGTGGCACAGTGGTTAGTGCGCGCGCCCCATGTATGGAGGCTATAGTCTTCCAAGCCAGCGGTCCGGGTTCAAATCCAGTGTCATTCCCCATTCTCTCTCTTCCTGATTTCCGACTCTATCCACTGTCCTATCTCTCAATTAAAGGCACAAAAGCCCAAAAAAAAAATCTTTAAAAAAAAAAAAAAAAAAAAAAATGCTTTACTCATCCACCCGTTTCTTTAAAAAAAATATGTATCAGTCAAGAAGTAAACATTGTGAAATACAACATATTCTAAATATAACTGACATTAAACATCGTTATGGCAACATGCCTGGGACATAATGCAATAACAGATCACTGTTGGAGACCTGTTATCAAACCACACATATTAAAAAAAAAAGGATATCCTTGTGAAGAAGTTATCCAGGTTCTTGATATGATGCCATGAGTCTGCAATATTTACAAAAGCATTAGTGAGTTTTCTGTCACCAAGGCGAATCATTTTACAGGCACTTCATTACAAAAATAGCAATGTTCAGTGAGTCTATTTGTATTAAAGAACATTTATATTTAAGCTGTAGTTACATGTTTACCTTTCAGGCCTTCAGGCACATGCACCAGTAAATCCTCCTCCCCTGGTGGCGAGTCCTCCTCAAAGTCCTCGATTCTCTGATACTCCTGGTAAGCTTCAAAGTTCGCCATTATGCTTCACATTATTGATGTTTCTCCAAACCGACGAGCTACGTGCACTGAACACTTTTGAGAGACGAAGAAAACTCTTGACAACCTCAGTAATTTCTGCTGCTAGCTAACTACACCGCAGTTCAACCAAGGGTAATGTTAGCATCGGCTACCATTAGCTTGCTAACTCGCTAGTCTGACGGACTCGTGTAACCCTACACTACCATGGTAACATGTTATTACTGTTAAGACTTAAATCACCGCGTTGCTCGTATGTTAACAAAATAAATTGTAGTCCTCTTTGTGTAAGATTACTGTAAAGTCAGCTGCCTGGTGGTTGTTTAGCCTGTGAATGATTCAGCCTCTCGTGTAGTCTGGGTGACACGGTTTGTTTTGTTCCCGACTTGCTCCGTCCATCTGCTGGTCTTGATCTTCTTTCTTCACTCTGCTTAAGAGTCCAGTCTAGACCCGAGTCCGGCAAAATACCCACAGGTGTGTTTCAATCACGACACGGTGGTCTTTAGTGTCCACAGGTATCCAAAAGGTCCGTTAGTCGGTTTCCATAAATACACCACCCTGCGAGGCTCCACTGTTTTTGTCTTCCAAAAAATAAATGTCAACAAACGTTATTGACGTCATTTCCGCTTTGTGCAAACGTCACTTCCCTGTTTGGTTTGTAGTTTTTTTATGGTTTCTCACGAAATGTTATTATTTTTATTTTTTTTACCCGGTCGTTGCCATGCAGTGTTTTTTTTTTCCTCCACTCTGTTACCGATTATGAGTTAAACCAATGTTTTGTATATATAAATATATAAACCAATACACGAGGTTTAAAACGACCTCCCTTTGGATACAGAAATGCACTCTGGGTCATAGTTAAAAATGGCAGCTTGCATGTTGCTTGTGGATTACTGTAAAGCTTAAAGACTAATTTCACCTAACGCGCTTTTTAACAGTGGGGGAAAAACATGTTTCACTTGCTGTGTTGTAGAACAAGCATTACTGCGCCGGGGCGGTCATTGTACTCCAGGTGCAACAAAACAGCAGACACATGGAAACTGTCACGGTAGGGTTATGTGACCGGGGTTACCTTGTTTAGATTATGACAGCCGTCAACTATTTTCTACACAGGGCATATTAATCAACACTGTTAGAATTGGCCTACCTCAGTTATCTGTACAGTATTTATATCTTTATGGCTGGCTTAATTTTATTTAGCGATGTTGAAGTAGGTGGGTGGACTTTAATATTTGTGAATGTGATCAGAATGTAAAGACCAATCATTCAAGTCAGTTATAGTGGGGGTAAAGCCTTTGTTACATAGCCTTTAAATATTTTCATGATGGGTTGCTCTATGCCTAATTGTATTCATATTCTTTCTTCAGTGGGTATAAATCTCCAGTATCTAAAACGTACAGCTCCACACAGCCGCCTGGAAATGGAGTCAGTCGTATTTGGAGCCTCACTTATCGAGCCGTCCGCCAGTCCGCAACCCGAACATCCAAACCCCCGGGGGTGGCTCTCAGATTCATCCTGGGACCAGCAGTGCTCACTGTCTCTGCACGTCTATTTTGCCATGTCGCCTACTGCCAGGCAGATGAGAATAACAACATTCCTGTGGATGTTGTCGCCCAAAACCCTGTGCCTGACTTCAAATGGCATATCTTGTGGGAATTTGTCAAACCTCAAATTTTTGCTCTCATCAGTGCTGTGGTGGTATGTCTGAATCCGTTCACTTGTGCATTATCAGCTTTTCTTCTTAAAGTCAACATGCTGTGACATTATGATCATCTATTATATTCACATTTTCTCTCATCAGCTTGCTTTTGGCGCTGCTATCTTGAATATTCAAATCCCGTTGCTACTTGGGGACCTGGTGAATGTTGTGGCACGTTTCCTGAGAGACCAAACTAGGAGTTATGTCCAGGAGATAAAGGGTCCTGCACTGAAACTACTTGGGCTTTATGCAATCCAAGTAAGTTAACATGACAATCTATATGTTCACAGCTGCACAACAAACTATCTTAAAGCCTTGACAAATTGTTTGTAGAAACTTTCAATAATAGATTAGTGATCATATGCAGTATAACTCTAAATTCTGAGAGTTATGAGGCTCCAATTATTATGAGAGAACCAGGATTTAACCTCCAGGAGACAGTCAGAGAGGGATGAAGGTGGGAGGGCAAAGTTGGGCTTGGAAGACAGATAGAGCTGGTTGTCATCCGCGTAGCAGTGAAAGTGAATACCACATTTCCTGAAAATGTGACTGAGAGGTAGGAGGTCGATGATGAAAAGGAGAGGACCCAAGACAGAAACCTGAGGAACACCGGTAGTGACTGGGGAGAGCTGTCATAGGAAGTTTTTGAGCTGATAGCTTGCAGGTCTGATTTTGAGAATTTGATGTCCTTCAAGTTTTAATAGCTTATCATGTCTTCATGTTATGTTCACATAATTTTCAATGAGAAAACATTTGCGCATAAAAAAACGTGAAAACGTTACAGCTGTTTTGAAAAATGGTTATTAATAACCTTCTTATGCAGGGACTGCTGACGAGCGGCTACATCATCCTGCTTTCAAGGGTGGGGGAGAGAGTGGCAGCAGACATGAGGAAGACCCTTTTTGCGTCCTTACTGAGGTACATTTTCCCTAATGTTGGAGCAAATCTTTTTGATGCTAATGGACATCTTTTACACTTATAGCTGGACCACATCCAAGTCCTATTGATAACATTATCAGCATTCTTTTCTGTCACAGGCAAGATGTTGCTTTCTTTGATGCCAATAAAACTGGGCAGCTGGTGAATCGTTTGACTGCTGATATTCAGGAGTTCAAGTCGTCCTTTAAATTGGTCATTTCTCAGGTATAAAGTGCTACATTTGAGTTGTTAGATATTACTGGTTATAGTTAAAGCCTTCTTATTCCTTTTTTCTTACTCTTTTTTTTGGCAGGGTCTGAGGAGTATCACCCAGACAGTTGGATGTTTCGTCTCTCTCTATGTCATCTCCCCAAAACTGACAGGTTTGACTGTTGTGGTCCTTCCCTGTCTGGTCGGAGCAGGGGCTCTCCTCGGCTCATTCCTTCGCAAACTATCCCGTTTGGCTCAAGAACAGGTGATACAGATAATATAACTCATGTTTAGGATCTAGGACAATACTACTGTATGTAATGATTATAGTTTTATGATTCACTGCTTTGCCTTTGGAGAGATACAATTAGAGTAAAACTTTTTTTTAAAGGCCATAGAAAGTAGCAGATGATTTGAGACAGATGTACTGTATCTCCTCCCCAAACCGTAATAGATCAGTTCTAAAGTCTGGTCTAAAATACTAGGATCTAAAGTTCCTCTAAAACTTGTCAGTGATTAGTTTATTTCTTAATTGCTGTCAGAAACTTTGATCCCTAAGTATGTATTAAGTATTCAGTATTACTTAAGTGTCTAAACCAACAGCATTTACAATTTGAGACACATTTAAATGAATATATTTAGATATCGAAAAGATATGTAAATGTATTTTTCAATCTCTGTCTGTGTTTAATTTAAGGTCGCAAAAGCGACAGGAGTGGCAGATGAGGCGCTTGGCAATGTGCGGACAGTGAAAGCCTTTGCAATGGAGGAAAGAGAGCTCCAGTAAGTTAGACTGTACTTGTGTTCTAATATTCTTAGTGGCATAGTGTTTGTAGAGACAAAGTAACCTGTTTGTCAGTAATTCTATGGTTTCATTCTCAAAACCTTTTTTTGCAGGTTATACGCATACGAAGTTGACAAATCGTGTGAAATGAATGAAAATCTTGGTGCTGGAATAGCTGTTTTCCAAGGAATGTCAAACATTGCGTTAAACTGTGAGTATATTTGAATGTGTAAACTGATAAACAACACATTGTTGAGAAGATTGGTGCTGTGTCTGAGGACTTCCTGAACTTTCTTCGTGTGTTGTGTGTTTTAAACCCAGGCATCGTACTCGGAACTATTTTTGCTGGAGGGACTTTGATTTCGAGCAATGAATTGTCCCCTGGAGACCTGATGTCTTTTCTGGTTGCTTCCCAGACTGTTCAGAGGTAAAAAATAATACAACTTTTTCCATAATGATTGATTGTAATTTCCATTTGCATTTACATGAACCAGTTTTAATGTAGACAATGTAAGGGTATAACGCCAGCATTTTCTGTATGCTCAGGTCATTGGCCAGCATCTCAATCCTATTTGGGCAGGTAAAGAAATATACACATACACAGCCTTTCAATATGTGCACATGTATAGGGATCTGAAATATTATTAAGTGAGAAACTAAGCCGTCTATCTATGATGTGTGTAACAGATGGTGAGAGGACTAAGCTCTGGGGCTCGGGTTTTTGAATACCTGGCTCTCAAGCCGACCATCCCGCTCTCTGGTGGAGGACGCATCCCGTACGACTCTCTAACAGGAAGAGTAGACTTTATGAATATTTCATTCAGGTTGGAACCTCATCTTAACTCAATTAAAGAAAAAAAACGGAACCAAAATATAAGACAATACCAACTTGTTTCTTTTCTATTTTTCTACATTTTCAGTTATCCAACAAGACCTGGCCATCAGATCTTAGATAAGTTCAACTTAACACTTCCTCCGTGCAAAACTGTTGCCATTGTTGGAGAATCTGGAGGAGGTAAATTCAGAATAAAATAGATTGAATGAAATTGTGTGACTTTTCAAAACATGGTGGAGAAAGTGGTTTGAAGTGAATTAATATGATTTACTGCAGGAAAGTCAACTGTGGCATCATTACTGGAGCGTTTCTATGACCCAACCAACGGTGTCATCATGCTGGACGGACTTGACATCCGAACACTTGATCTCTCCTGGCTGAGGGGACAAGTTATTGGATTTATCAATCAGGTAGAGGTCGCTTATCATTAATGCTTCCTAGGTTTTAAATTAGGGATGTGAAAAAAACGCCAAATTAATTGTATTTATTATGAATAAATATTTAAATATGACCAGTTTTAACAGTATCTTCTCGGTTTGTTTGCAGGAGCCAGTTTTGTTTGGCTCATCCATCATAGAGAACATCCGCTTTGGGATGCCTGAGGCCACAGATGCTGAGGTCATCACTGCAGCCAAGCAAGCCAACGCTCACGGCTTCATTACAGCTTTCCCAGACGGATATAACACTGTAGTTGGTATGTTCTCTCATTTGGACTTTTACAAGTACGAAAATCTGTGAGACAGGTTAAGCTTTAGATTTCTTATCCCCAGGTGAGCGTGGTGTGACGTTATCCGGTGGTCAGAAGCAGCGCATTGCCATCGCCCGCGCCTTGATCAAGAACCCCAGCATCCTGGTGCTGGATGAAGCCACCAGCGCATTGGATGCGGAATCAGAGCGGGTGGTACAGGAGGCTTTGGATAGGGCCACAAGGGGTCGCACTGTGCTCATCATCGCCCACCGGTTGAGCACCATCCAGGGCGCTGACCTCATTTGTGTCATGAGTAATGGCCACATAGTGGAGGTGAGAAGGCAGGGTGCTCAGAGAGATGAAAGGGCTCTTATCTCTTGTTATAATTAAATTAATTTAACTTCCTTTTAAGTTCAAAGAAGTTCTGACATGAATTGACACTACACTGGTTAATGGTTTTCACCCACCTTCATGTAGTAATTGTGTATTTTTTTTTTTTTTTAAATATAATCTAACATCTTTTCTTCTTTAAAGGCTGGGACTCATCTTGAACTGCTGGGCAAAGGAGGACTTTATTCTGATCTGATCCGCAGACAAAGAACAGAGGGACAGAAATGAACGCACAAAAATGTGTTCACTTTAGATGTACAGCGACACTTAAGAGATTTATTTTAAATTAAATTAAATAGGAAAGACTTTGAACAGATCAATTATGATAAACATGTAGTGTTCATTTACAAACTCTACTTTTATGAGAGACTTTCAGATTGATGTATGTAAATGTTTAAGTGGACCAACAAGATCATCCTTTGATAAACAAACTTCACTACTGTACAGTATTTAAGTTAAATGGTAATTTCTCTTACTGTTTTCTCATTTCCTGTAAAGAAATAATAAATTCATTGTTGAACAATAAAGTATTAAACTTTGTTTCATTTCGTACGCTGTATTTTCCCTTAATTGGATTATAATTATTTCCATGTTTTGTCACAAAAACAGGGTTCCAAGGTCTTCCCTGGACCTCAGTAATGAGCTGTATGTTTTTTGTGGATAGTCTAATTTCTTGTAGTGGTCCAACAGTTTAAATTGTACTATACGCTGGGGGACACAAAACAAACCGAATTGTGATTTCCACTCTGGGTCTCAGTTTGTTCCTGCAATCATCCATTCTGTTGTGACACCTGAGGAGAAACTGCAGGTTGGCAGCACTATAAAACTCTATTTATTTTTGTGTATGAAAGTTTTTTTTTTCCTATACCTTAAAATTGATATTACTACATTTTCAAGTGATAACTCTAACCATCTTTTAAAACTGGCATGTCTAATTGGATACACGATTCTATAAACTTTCAGCTAAATCTTGAGTCTGGATTGTCAATATTGTCATCACTTTTCATTTAGCTTTTAATTGACTCATTGCCAAACGGGTAAGCAAAATGGTTACATTAAAATCAGTTTGAACAGTATCTACACTATTGAAAAAACACATACAGGTATGTGTTTTAGGCTGTTATTATTAGCCTGTTTGTACTTAATAGATAACCCTACACCAGGGATGGGCAACTGGTGGTCCGGGGGGCCGCATGCGCCCTCAAATATGGCCCTCAAGTCAATTTTTACATATCAATTAATTGGAAACATGAAGAAAACATGACAAAATGTGCCATGAAATCATGAAAACCAGAAAAATGTCCATAATTATATTTGATCACTGGTATATGTTGAGTTAAATTTGAGACATAATTGACTGTAATCATTTTTGTATACTACAATTTGGCCCCCTGGCAGTGAGAATGAAATGAATGTGGCCTAACACTACACTAACATGTAGACTGACAACTTCCAATAATTTTCCATTTGCTGTTTGATATTAGATTAGGTGTTATCAATTTCAGAATAGGACACCCATTTAAAAAAAGTTATTTTCCAGACACCTCATAAGTCAACATAAGTCATCAAGTAAACATGGACTCTCTTAGTTTCTAACATCTTTTTAAATCTTTGGTCCTCTTGGTCTCAGCTGTTGTTGTTGGGTTCTTGTGTTGCCTGGGTTCTTATAATGGTTCTTGTGATGGTCGGGTTATATATGTCTGTAGGGTATCGTGCAGTTTGGGTTCTTTTCTGTTGAATTGTATTTAATTATTTTTAGTATTTTGCATTTGTTATGTTCTTGCTGTTGTTTATGTTCTTCTGTGTTTGCTTTAGTTTGTTCTTGTTTTTGCTGTTTGTCAAAGCACTTTGTAAACCTGTGTTTTTAAAAGGTGCTATATAAATAAAGTTATTATTATTATTATTATTATTATTATTATTACTGTACATAAAATATATAGTGTATGAAACACACTGCTGCACACCTGTCATCAACATGTGGGTCGAGCCGGAGATAATTCATTACTAGTGCGAACCAGTTTACAAACTAAAAACATTAAATATGCGGATTTTTTTTTTTACAACCGAACTATCATTATATGTCTTCAAAGGACAGGAAAAATACTTGTTGCTATAAAATGTTGCGGCGTACAGGAATTTATGTTGGGCATCTTTGGAGTTGCAATACCACCTTTGACCTCTAGATGACCAACAAGCCAAGCTTTGTTACAGACCGACCAGAAGCAGAAACTGCAGATAGCTTCAAGCTAACGCTAGCTATAGATTATTATCCCCATTTTGGGGCTGTTTCTAAGTCGTTGGTTTGCTAGCTCCCGTAAGGCTGGCTTCACTGGCCAAAAATGCAGAAATATGAGAAGCTTGAAAAAATCGGAGAGGGTAAGTTTCACACACCTTATATAAAGTTATTATAGGCTAAGCTGGTTTGCTAATATAGCCTTCATGCAAGCTGGCGTTAGCTAGATTGAAATACTTTGCCTACCGTGATTGAAACCATAGATAATAATATACTGATCAGTGTGTACTATTTGTACATACTCTAATGTGTGTCATGAAGTGAGCTGTCAGATTTCTGTCAGTCGGCTTTTACGGTGTTAATGCTTGCTAACGTCTTGCAGCTTGCTAATGCCATTCATCAGTCATTCAACATCTCTCTTTAACACTCATTATCTCACCTCCAGGTACGTATGGGACCGTCTTTAAGGCTAAAAACAGAGAAACTCACGAAATTGTGGCTCTGAAACGGGTCAGGTTGGACGACGATGACGAGGTATGTTTTCAGAATAACAACATTCATTATAATGACATGCTGGCAGATTGTTAGGCAGCTTTTTACCAATCTAAGCTGGGTGTCTTTTTTTAATTATTATTATCAGGGGGTGCCAAGTTCTGCCCTGAGAGAAATCTGTCTCCTGAAGGAACTAAAGCATAAAAACATAGTCAGGTCAGTCTGTGCTCATGTTGAACTGACAGGTAGTGAATCACTGTTTTTGCAGTTTTCATTTAACCTACCTTGATGTGAACCAACACAGACTTCAATATGTTCTTCTCTTTTATAGGCTACATGACGTTTTGCACAGTGACAAGAAGTTAACTTTGGTTTTTGAATATTGTGATCAGGTGAGATAAAGTCGTCGTCGTCCCCCCCCTCACCCCCAGACCCTACATTTTATTTAAATATGTACCCTCCCAAGGCTGCTTCATGTCATCTCTTATTAACTGCAGGATTTGAAGAAGTATTTTGACAGCTGCAATGGGGATCTAGATCCTGAAACTGTGAAGGTGAGAGATTAACGTTCCAGATTAACCACAAGAAGAATCCCTGCTGAAATGTGTGTCGATATCCTTTTTAAAAAATGATTTTTAAATCAGTATATCAGGTACACCTTGTGCACCTTGAGCCTCCTAAAGATCACCATTTCTCTCTTTCTCTAATGCAGTCATTCATGTACCAGCTGTTGAAAGGTCTCGCTTTCTGCCACAGTCGAAATGTTCTTCACAGAGATCTGAAGCCGCAGAATCTCCTCATTAACAGGGTGAGTGTCCAAGTGGACTTTGATTTGACTGCTTGTAAATATTCTTACCTTTATGAGGAAAAATACGTTGGCTTCATTTTTGTCCATCATATTGTAAGCAAAAGGAAGGCGACCTAAAAATACACTATACAAGTCCAACATACTATGGCATGTGTTAAATGTATAGTTCAATGCAAGGCACTGTTGATGCTGTAGCTTATTTGTGTTAATGTCATGGAGATTTTTTGACCTGTGTCTCTGTCTGCAGAACGGGGAGTTAAAGCTGGCTGACTTTGGGCTGGCTCGAGCCTTTGGCATTCCTGTAAGGTGTTACTCAGCAGAGGTAGGTTCTACTTCATTAACACATTAACACATTATAAATGAAAATGTACAACTTATGTGTAATTGCATGTCTTTCTTTAATTGTGACTGTACAATTGTATTGCCAGTAATAATAGGAATTTAAAATGTTGCACTGACATTGACACACATTGTTATTTTGACTGATTAGTCAAAGTAAAGAACCCCTAGTATAATATTTTCATAATATAAAAACTGACAATATATTCATTGTTGTAAAAACTGACAAAACCAAGCTGAATGGTTTCAGGTTTTTTTTTTGGAAGTCATGACAAAAAAGAAATGTCAGTATAAAAATGTTCATAGGGCACAGTGGTCATGCATAAATCAAACTGCTTCTGCCATTCTCGTTGTCTCTTGTAGTTTGTCCCAATTTTTTAAGGCCGTTAAGCTGCACTTATTTTTGCTTTCAGTTTGTACTGAAAGTTGATGTCTGTATTTCTCTGAGGTCCTAAAGTTTCTGCACTGACATCCTGAAAGGGAGAGAAAGGAACACATAGCAGAATATGGTCTAAGTGGTTTGAGATGTATTTGTTGTTGCTGATGGCATCAGCGAGATGATAGGCACGTCTCAGATAGGTGTAGTGGTCTGAGTAGGCCTGACCTAAGGGCCCAGCAATGCAATCTCATGAGGGGGCACTTGACCAGGGGTGACTCTACTGATCTGAAAATGTATTAAACTGAAAACCTGGAGGGGAACACAGTTTGAAGCATTGAGAAGTTAAAGTAAGGTCATTTTAAAAGGTCCTTTTTATTTTAGAAGATGTATTACCCACTGACTTTTAGTGCTGTTTCAGAAAGTAGAAATGAATGAGCCAGTGGTTGTTTCACACTACACATATATACCCTATGGAGAATATGCAGCATACATTATATTAAGGGACAACTTACGATGACAGTATGGTATAGTCATATAAATTATCAGCATTATTGCCAGCAAAGAGAAGTCAAATCCCTCCAAATCAAAGATAAGTGTCGACATTGATGTTACTGCTTTGTGTTTTCTACTCTTGTTTTTCGAAATCCGGCTCCAGTAAAACATTCACACAGATGATTTAAAAGTCCTCAAACCCCCCCAGGTTAGGAGCGTCTCTGAAACAAGTGTTTAAAGCATCTCAAAAGGACAAACTCAATTGATGTCATCCATGTGCTTTTTTTTTTTTCCTACCTTGTAAATTTAAACGAAAACAGCCAATACTTGTGACTGAATAATAATATGTTTACAAATTACTAAGCAGCTTCAATTCAATTCAAACAGCTGTATTTATATGTTGTGTGAAAGTATCAGTGCGAAACAGTTAGAATACATGACAGCACAGCACAAGAACAAACCACACTCAAAACAACCCTAATGGTGAGTGAAGCTTGTAAGACAGAATACATAATGCATGACTGATCAGCAATTAAGAATGCTAATAGGGTGTTAAATAAGCATAATCATCAATAAGACAACTTGTCAAACTTCAAGTAGGAAACTGTTCAAATAAAATATTACAGCTGATCTTTGTCATTCTGGTTGTATTCGCCCTCATTTTACTCTAAAAGTGATCAACTGAAAAGTTTGTTGTGATTCTGCAGCAGGTGGTAATGGAGTTAACATCTACACTAGACTGAACTTTAAACTTTTCAAACTGAAGCATGAGCACTTTGGACTGTTTTCAGTCAGCCCACACATTTACTCTGGGGAATAAAACTTCAGTTTATTTGTATTTTCTTCTCTGTTCTGTTTGCACTTAAAAAAAAAAAAAGCATTTTCTCAAACCCTGGAAAACATTTTTGACACTTGACAAAGCAGCAGTTTGGCACGGTGTCACTTAGGTGTGCTGTAATGGAAGCAGATAGCTGATAAAAGATGAACATTTACTCTTCTGTTGTCAGTGATGCCACATCCTTGCCTTTGTGTGTAATCAGTACAAAAAACCACCACCCGCCCCCCCCAGGGAATGGTCATTATACTAAATTGCTGAACAGTGTCATTAACAGCAGTACACGGTGATTATTGGTCTAATTGGTCTAATTCTTTCACTTAACTGTGTGATTTGTTCGTAGGTAGTGACATTGTGGTACCGGCCTCCAGATGTGCTGTTTGGTGCTAAACTTTATTCTACCTCAATTGACATGTGGTCAGCTGGCTGCATATTTGCAGGTTTGTGATTGTTTGTGATGATCTAGTAATGTTTTTTGTTTTTTCATGCTTTGCTTTGTTACCTTCTGTGAGTAGGATACTGCTCAAAGTAAAAAAAAATCCTCCTCATTAGGTGAAGGGCATCTGAAGAACCCTGCTAACAGTGTTTAATGTATTGCAGTCAGGCTCTAGTCTATCTTCAGGTTTTAAGCACACTAGTGCACAGTGCAGGTTTAGAAGTACGCACAGACCAAATTAAAAGGAGTTAAGCAGATGAGGTGAGATATTCTGGATCAATTACACTTTTAAATGTGTGTAATACACTTTATTTAATGGTACAGAGCAAAGATGACTGAAGGTATTCAGTATTTCATTCAAAATGTACAATTATGTAATGCAGCAGGAGAGGAGACACTAATTAATTAGTCTGTTTTTATCTAGTTTGGGTTTTTTCATGTTTAATGTTAGATTGAATTATTTTGTTTGCTAGTTTTTTGGTGGTAAAAATATAGAAAAGTAATTTATGCTTGCGTCTCTTATCTCAGATTGAAACGTACCCTAACCAATGAATCCTTTTTTAATTTTGTTTTTCTGTCTTGTTCAGAGCTGGCTAATGCTGGGAGGCCTTTATTCCCCGGGAACGATGTGGACGACCAGTTGAAAAGAATCTTCAGATATCCTTTTTTTTTTTTTTTTTTTTTAAATCATTAAAAGTGGATATTGATTACATAGCACTTCTGTTCGTACAGACTCTGAGACCACATGGTTTTTCCTGGTAGAACTTTTCCTTTCATTTATTTTTGTTAATGTCTTTATTTGCCATAAAGGTGGATAGAGTAGGAAACCAGGGAGAGAGCGAGAGGGGAATGACATGCAGGAAAGGGTCACAGGTCAGACTTGAACCTGGTCTGCCTGCTTGGAGGACTACAGTCTCCTTACTCAGGGTGCGACTTAACCACAGCCGCCCTGAGGCCATGTAGAACTATTGATCTACCATACAAACAATGATTTACAAACAGTAAGATTGAACAGGTTTGACATGCATACCTCTCTGTTGCAAGAAGTTTTTCTTTAACCACTCTGTACATTGTTGGGTACACCAACTGAAGAACAGTGGCAGACTATGACAAAACTCCCCGACTACAAGGTAAATGATTGACATCATAAAGTTCTTAGACGGCAGATGGTGTGTAGGCTATCTCTCGTTTTCGATTTCTTAACTGCTTCTGTTTCCTCCTGCAGCCATATCCCATGTACCCAGCCACCACGTCTCTGGTGAACGTGGTCCCCAAACTAAGTAGCACAGGACGGGATCTACTCCAGGTACTCTCACTTCACTTTCAACCTGTCTAAAGTTTTTCTGGAGGAATTAGTCTGCACTTATGTTGCTCTTTCAGATAAACATTTCAATTCATGCACACCAACATTAAACTAATCATGAATTAGCATAGCACCTGCATAGCTGTGCAACAGTGTGGTTACTTAAGCTAAAATGAAACGATTGTTTCTATGAAGCAGTTTTTGTTCACCTATTAAAACGTTTCCTTTGCTCTCACCCAGAACCTGTTGAAATGTAATCCTGTCCAGAGGATCTCTGCAGAAGAGGCCTTGCAGCACCCTTACTTTGCAGATTTCTGTCCACCCTAAATGCTACAGTAAATTGCCTCTCCCTGAGCCTCAGCCACCAGAATCAATCATCCTTCCCTCTGTTGGGTCATTAGCACCAGTCTCAACAAGGCAAATCCCTCACCAGTTTTCAAAACACTCCCCTGCTTTAATTCTGCTGTGCCTCTGTGTGGAACAAAGTCCTAGTGGCTCGGAAAGGTTTAAGGTTCTTTTAAGTGGCCAGTCTGTTTAATTTGGTACATATAAGACCTTCCAGTCAATTAGCGCTAATGTGGGAGGGAGCTCTTGGTGTTGCATTGAATCTATTTTATACCTGTGGATATGGTCGTCGACAAAAAAGCCCCTCAGCTCCCAAAGAATCAAAGAGACATCAGCTTTTTCTTGTTGCTTTTAAATAAGTGTTTATGATGAAAATAAGCTCTTTGAATCTGTGGTGATCTCATTTGATCAATTCATTTTTGATTGACAGTGTTGCACACACACACACACACACACACACACACACACACACACACACACACACACACACACACACACACACACACACACACACACACACACACACACACACACACACACACACACACACACACTCACTCTGCATCTGACACACAAACTGCCTTTCTTTCAGTACGGCTTCTGTTCTCACTGTAATGAGTTACGTCAAGTAGTTTTTGCCAGTTAGATTTTAACATCAGTGTAGCATGATGATATGAGATTTTCGATGCCAATACCAATATTGATCTTTTCCCACACCACAAAGACAAGCCTGCTTAGCCTAGATTTCTATTAGAGACACCAAACGTTGGTTATATTAACATACAGTTTGGATATGTGAGGAAAGATTAAATAACGGCTACACTACTAGTCACTGACCTCAAACATATCTCTTGCACTTCTTTACAGCAGTTCTTGTTACACATCTTTAGCTGTACAATACACCGGTACTGGTCCATCTGTACTCGTTTTAATGGGGACCACAGATTCCTTAGAAAGAAAATGGCACAATGATGCTAAATAAAATAAAATTGATTTGTCAGTTTAAGAATAATAGATGGGTTGGTTTTATTTGTTGCATTATAAAGGTTAAGTCTTTTTTTTTTTTTTTTCTCGTTGTTTTTCAACACTGTATTGGACAAGTTTTTTGTTTTTGTTTTTAAATATAATTTCCATGGAATCCAGAGCTATATTATTTGAAGTTTCATACTAAATCCTGTTCATTATTATCCATTCACTCGATATTGAAAACATTACACCAGGCAGGGTTGGTCATTTTCGAAAACTAGCACGATTTTGAAAGTAGCATTCCCTCAGTGATCCATCTGCACCCACCCCCTCCCCTCTGTGCTCCCCTAAAAGCCACGCCCCTCACTTACATGCCCAAACACCATTGGTCCAGTGTGGGCTCGTGCATGCATGGGGTAGAGAACGAGCAGGGAGACAGGGAGGTGTGATTGGTTCATCAGATTGGCACCTCCTGGCAGGCATTGGTCAGGCAAGTTTTTACAGGCTTACAACTGCTACAGATGACGGATTTTCTTTGTTCCTTTTTTAGAGCACATGAATTATTAATGTCTATCAGGACCTACGGTAAATACAATTTCAACCAAAATCTTTAAAAAAGTGTATCTTGAGAAAATGACTAACCCTGCCTTTAATTGTGCTTTTTTTTTTTGGCGTTCTGTTTGCACTCCTGGCTATGAGGTTACACTTTATTTTGAAGGTGTGTTCAATGAACACAGCCTCTGTTTCCTCTGTAATAACTTTTAAACTACCAATGTTCAGACAGGAATGTTAATCAAATAGAGCTGTGAAATACACTGTTAAGGGTTTATGATGGTAAAGTGATTAGACCAAGGCTTTGTCCCACGACCTGTTACCAGATTGTATGATAGTATGAGAAGATGATTTATGATCCCCCCCTTAGGCTTTTTATTTTCCCTTTTATTTTATTTTATTTTTATCTTTTATTTTTTGCACACTTTATAACCAACAGATTAATTTAAAATAATTTACATGTCCATGTTTTTAATGATGTTGAACACTGACAGCCAGGATTCTAGACACTTATCAGTAAATGGGCCAATATATAAATATAAACCTTATGTTATTGACTAGTGGACCATTAGTGATTACTTTTTTTTGTATTCTTTTTTTTTTTTTTTAAATGATCTTTATCAGTTTAATAATGTGTTTGTACTTTTCTCAAATGCTTTTGTATTAGTTAAATTATAGGTTGAAGAGTCCACTGATAATCTGTATTTTTCTATGATTGTTTTGCACCATTAGCTGTTTTCATTTTGTGACTTCTTCTATTAACACGGTAAACAGCTTGCAACGTTTCTTTTTCTCCAGATTGTTACAGTGCTATTAATCCCATAAAAGCCTACATAATGAGTTGTTTGAAGTAGATGTGTTAGTAGAGAGAGGATTGGTTTTCATTTTGCTGATGTGAGACACGATAATGGATGCATGTATTTATTAATGATGGAATGTCTGCTCATTTGTTTGCATTCGTTGTAAATGTAGCACCACTGCATTTTGCAAAGGAACTCTCCTTTTGAATGATTTCATGATCGGTAGTATTTCGCAGGCTCTTTTTAGGGTTTTGAGTTTTTGAAGGTTGTTTTTGTGTGTGTGCGTGGATTAACTTATAATGAAAAAAACAAAACAAAATGAATTGCTCTCAGTATTTCATTCTCTCATGATAACCGAACATTTTTCAGCTTTAGAGTTCACAGTTGAAACTTTGATGTTGAATGAAGAGTGGATTTTGCACTTTGACAGTATCATTTAGTAGAACTTAGGACAGCTGTTTTCAGTGTTTCTTTTCGTGTATATTTCAGCCAATAAAACTTGGTATTCAGAAACGCGAACATAAATACATTAAGTTTGCTCCTCAGATTTGAAAGTTGATTTTATAACTTGAGACATGTTTGATCAAACTGATTCAACACAAGGTCTATAGCAACTGTTGGGACCTCTTGATCGTATCACCTGACCTTTCTTAAAGGATGACGTTTGTCTGCTACAAAGTTGAAGGATTGTTGTTGTTCACGTTGACTCAAAATATGTGAAAAGTTTCAAACTTTCTTAAAAACGGGTTAACTGAAGTCTTGAAGCGTATCAAGGACAAGGGGAAAATCTAAATTTGCAGCGATGTGATTGAAAAGCTCAGGAGCAGTTCATAAATAAACCTTTTGTTGAAATGTATTCTGGTCAACTTTTTACTTTTTACCTGAAAAGAAAAAAATAATGTCTTTCACATTCAAACTCACTTTGATTCTTCTAGCTTTTTTTTGGAGATTCTTTAATATGTTGTTGCACAAGAGCCATGTATACTGTGGATGTTGTAGACTTAGGTAAAGGATAAAGAACTAGGCGTGACTGAGACATCAACATTCTTAAACGCCCTTTAAAATCAGTTGCCTGATAGCGTAGCGGTTATGTTGCACGCCTCCCCCTCTCTCTTCAGCTGCCCCTCTCTAATAAAGACGAGCAGACCCAAAAAATAACCTTTAAAAAAGCTCTTTAAGATTTATGCCTCAAGCTTGAGAAAATTGTAAGCAACAACCAAGATAAAATATAAGAATAAATATGAGGCCTCATGAAAGATGCAATTCCTTTGGTTAACTTTGGTTAAAAAACTGGCCTTTTTTTTTTTCATAATAACTTGGATTATTCTAGAAAGCTGTCCGGACAAAAGTTTACATTATTGACACATTTTGGTCAGCAAGACAACATTTTCAAATAAACACTTTTTTTTTGTGTGAGTGATGAAGATTAGTGAATAGTTATAAAGCTGATAAACAAAACAATAAACAAAACTACATTCCCTGTCGATGACATCACCATCGATCTGCTTCCAGCTTTCTTTTAAAGTTCAAGACAGCGTTATTTCATTTTAAGTCCTAGAAAAAAACACCTAATAAAAACAGTCTCTTAAATCTGCATGATGCATTTTCCTGATTAGGCCACAAAGTTCATGTTTTATATTAAAAAGAAACCTCACCTTGTAACGTAGACTCTAGAAGGCTAATGTGCTCCACCAGGACTATAGTAAGAAACCTATCGTTTGTATTAAAAACCAAAAATTGGTGCATTGAAATCTATGACCTCGTCTTTTTTCAGCTGAGCGACGCTCACCTCACAGCCGTTAAGGTGGCATGCAGTGTTAGTCGTCTGGAAAGACATTTGAAATCACAACGTTTGACTGACTACACTACACATATTTGTTTGTATTAACTATTTAATGTACAGTTCATAGTTAAAATCACATATCTACAATAAAATGCACATAGAGCACGTGGAGCCAGATGAAGCAATCAGTTCCCCAGATGTTTTGTGCGCATAAAAATCTTGTTAACCTGTCACAACTTTACTTGAAGGCACATTTTCGTTCCGCTTCAAGCCTCATTGTTTCTTCAACCCAGAAATTTTGATAGAAAGATAATGATTTTTTTTTTTTTTACTTCTGTATTACTTTTGTTGAGTACTGCAGAATCCCAAGCCTGTTTTGAGGAGAATTGTTTTATAAGTAATAAAGAATCAAGATGTATCACATGAAGTGGAGAAGAGGATTTTGATTCATCTGGCTCCAAATATACATGTTTGACTTTCCAAAGTGAGTATCATGGCTAAGATTACATAAAGAGATCAGAGACAGTATACACAATGGTCATGCAGGAGTGACTAATGTGACATAAATTAAAGTCTGTAGGAGTTCATTAGTTCAAATCTAGGCATTAGGTAACAGAAATATATAGGTTACTGCTTTCTACTTGGCCATAGCTATGCGATTAATATCATGAGGACTACGTAATTAGCACAAACAGTTCAGTAATAGTTTTTGCCAGTTCACATACACTCTGCTGTTCTTCGACAGGTAGTAAGGCAGGGGGTGGAGAGAGAGAGGTAAAGACCCAGGACATTTTCACAGATCCTTCAGCCACATTAAAGTAAATGCTAGGTAATTTTTATGCTTTTAACCCGACATGACACACACACACACACACTCTCTCAAAGTCCTCATGGCAATGCAGCATCATCAGAATAGCATCATTGTGTCACATGAATTGGCATTAATGTCTGGTTATTTGGCTGATGATGGTAAATATACAATTGTCATATCATACATCTGTGTTGCAGGAAGCAGCAGCCCACTCTACATCCATTACCGCTGTTGAATACATTATGAACTGAAAAAATGGGGGATCCCAAATATATTTCTTTATGTTAATTTGATCACAGTTGAATCTGATTCAGTGCACTTATTGCTCTCGACACGCCACTGATTCACCTTTTTTTTTTTTTATCTCTTCCTGAAAAATAAAAATTTCCGTTTTGATTCGGTCTCTTTTCGAGGTGATCTTTTGCTCCACTTGAAGAGCACTCTTTTTTTCAATGTGTGTGTCAGTGCTGGAGCAGTGAACACACCATCGAGTAACAGTGTGTTTAGGTAAAACTAAAGCCATAAAAGGTAGTCACAACCATAGACGTCCGGTCATTGGCTTTCAAGTGATGGCTGATCTCCAAGGGTTTGTGCTTCACGTCAACAGTCGTCTAATACACACACACACACACACACAACAGAGTTATAAAGCTACAGTGTTAGGAACACCACTTTACTTGATTGGCATTATACTTGAAAGTTTCACATAGAAAAGAAAAATTTTCTGAATTTCCAGTGAAGTATTTATAGTGAGCATAATGTACCTACAAGTCCATAACTGTAGTGTCAAGGTTTTCAGTTAAAAAATAAAATAAAAAAAACATACAAGAAGTGGACTCACACAGAGATAAGAAGAACAGTTGTGTACATGAGTAAGATGGGTAAATATAGAGTTTATTATACTTTATCAATTATACATCACAAAGTGTTATTTGTGACTTATTACATGTTCTGGAATAATTATAATTATAGTAATAAAAAGACAATGGTGAAATTGTACAATGCATTTCTCTTATAAATCAACCAAGCTGAATGCTGCTGAGGCGATTTTCACGTTTTGAGGCGATCCTCTTCTATCTTATAAACTTGGTTAAGTTGTCACCAAAAACTGAAAGACATTCACAGTCCAATGAGATAAAAAAAAAAAGTCCAAATTCCTCTCTCTAAACAGAAAGATCAAAATACTTTTTATGTCGATATATTTAACCAATGTTACATGAGCAGCATAGAATTTCTTCACGGCATTTAATTGCAGATATTTACAACATTTCTGTCGATTTCAGGAATGTCCTCATCACACCTTTTTTGAAAGTTGACTTGCGTCTGTAGACAACTATCACAGGGGCTTGTGCTGATGAACACCTTTAAAGATACAGTATTCAATAAAAGCTGAGAATTATTTGAAAAGGCAAAAAAATGAAAGCCGGATTGTTTTCTCTTCTCGTGTATTCTATGGATATAAGGGCCCAACTTGTACAGTAAACTTCATGCTAGCATTTGATTTTTTTGTGACAGCACAGCAACGCCATCCCAAAAAAAAAGGGGGGGGGGGGCAATGAGAATTTGAATATCACTATATAAAGATAAAAACATACAATCAGTAGCCTTTCTTGGCCTCCTTCAACTTTTTTTTTTTTTTTTTAATCCTTACTGAGTGTAAAAAAGTGACTACAGTTCAAAAAAACATCCAATACAGTGGTTTCTGCTGTCCTGGTAGCCAACATGGAACAAAACTAGATACTTGCATATATACAAATAATCAAGTTCCTCTATAGTTTTTAAATAGAATATAAGCACAGTCATCGAATGAATGAGACAGAGCCTCATAGTAGCAAAAGGCAACATTAAACACTTGTCTGGTGTTTTGATTCAGGTATGTATGAGCAGCTCTCTTATCCAACAATCAGCTCGCGAAACAGAGCAGATTCTCCACACACACACAAAAAAGCTCTTCTGTTCAGAGTGGTGACAAGTTTAAGGTCACTGAATACAGCATTGGTTAGATGCTGGAGACATAACATTGATAAGAAACTTCAATGCTACACATGCCAATCCAGAGGCTTTCTTTTCTTTTTTGGGGGCACAACAGTACTGTGTAACTCATCAACACAGGTCAGAAACTAGGTTTTGGACATATTTACCTTCACTGATTGTTCACTCCAAAGTGACCGTTCGGACAAAATGAAACATGAATAAATCAACACTGACGCCTTGACATGGCAGTTAAACCTGAGTTCTGTTTTGGAAGTGGTCTCTTTTTCTTCTGATGATAGTGTTTCTATTTCTATTCAGGCAATAATAAACTCTACTATGCATTTTCTTGAGTTACACACTCAACTGTTTTTCTCTTAAATACATACATTATTTCACAGTTTGCTGTCAAGTTCCCCAGATGTGCCCCCCTCCCCTTCCCCCTCCCCCTCCCACTACCCCTCCCCTCCACTACCCCTCCCCCTCCCACTACCCCTCCTTGTTATGTTGTCAACAGGCAAACTCCTCAAAGTTGCCTAGAGTCGGGTGACGAGGTAACATGTTCGGCGTGAATCCGAGACTGTCCGAGTGACTCCGGAGGGTGTCACAGGTGCTCTGCAAAACAGAGGGAGGGGGGGGGGAGGAGGGAAGACGAGTTCAAACGGGTTAAGGGAGGGGGGAGGGGGGAGGGGTGGGCGATGAAGGGAGAGATGATGGTGATGTGCCAATTGGAAAAGCAACAGGTAAAATGAGAGCGAGCAGGACAATAAAGGGACGTGGAGGAAACATAAATGATTTTTTTTGCAAGAAATAAAAGAAAAAGTCGATGATTACGGCGACACATCCACAGGTAGGATGATAAAAGGGCGATGAATGACAGAAACAGATGTAAAAGATGAAAACAACAGATTTGGAAGTTTCCAACATCAGCCACATCGCATATGTTTTCACAGGGAGTGACGAGAGTTGAAAGAAAAACAGTAAAAGATGGGGAAAATATGAAGGAGGAGGAAGAGAAAGAAAACAGCATATTTTTAGTCCTGTTTTTTACACTAGCATGTTAAATTGTTAAAGCTACGGAAGTCGAAACATCCACATATTTCTGTATTAGCCCGTATGTGAAAAAGTGCTCGCTGAATAACTGCTGATATGTGGATAACAACCGTTGGTAGTCCCATTGGCAAAAAAACATAAAAAATGGCTATTTCAGCAGACAAAGGACCTTTTTGTGTTTAGTGCAAACTCACTGCATGCAGACCTGTGATAACATCACAAAGTAATGCATCTAGTGATGTTATCTGGCACCAGCCGTTGCCTCTAAACGGACCTCTCTGCTGCAGGGGGAACAAATAGATCTCTGGTGGTTTAGCCTTTTTTTTTTTTTGTACAACAATTCAATAAATAGGTAATCTGTTTTCACAGGAGTTCTGCTCTTTATCCTATGGGAAAGAAAGAATTATTATTCAGTGGAAAGAGCAAGTTTTGCAAAATGCAGAGAGTCAAATCTTTATGCACTGGGAGAATCCAACCAATGACTGTCTTCTTGCCGTGCAGATAGAGACACACAGCAAACTAACCTGTCCTGACACTGAGCTAGGATTAATAAAAATGCTCACTGCTGACGGATAATCACCCCCTCTTTTTGTTGACTGTCTACTAAAGCTAACTGAATCTTTTATAGCCACGGAGGAAATGATGTATGAGATGGTTTCAGGTATGTATGAAAGAGAGGGACAGCATGGGAGGGAGCATCTATTATCAATGGGGTGTGCTACCTGGGGGCATGATTAGGCGTGACACCAGGGCTGGTTGGGTTCTCTGGAAACTCCTGGAATAGACATGATGAAAAGAAAGATGGGTGAGGGTGACTGAAATGAAATAAAACACAATGCAAATGCTCATAGTTTAACTTACAAGGGGATACTGCAAGACAGCGTTTCCCACAGTCAGATCATTTTGATTCTGAAGGAAGATGGCTGTCCTTTTTATTTATTTTTTATTTTTTGATAAGCAGGGAAGAGACAAAAACTGTCATCCAGATGTGATCATTGAAGAGAGTTAAAGTTTCACTAAAAATAGCATCAGATGAACCACTAAATGTTTTACCGTACTTTATTTTCAGGTTGTTTGTGAGGAGATGTGACAATGGTCTAGTTGAAAAAATGATTATTGAACATGAGAGAAAAGGAAATACAAAAGGATGGATTTATTGTAAGCATATGACATGAATAGGGGAACAATTCAATAAATGTCAGACTATCAAAGACCACTAAATGAATGCATCCTCTACTGCCACTTTAAAGCAAAAAATATATTCTGAATGCTAGTCTGACCAAAAAAAAAAAAAACCTCCTTCAGAGCTTTATCCCCTCGCTCTGCTTCATACATGAAAATAAACAACTTCTTTTCAATCTTTTCTTTTGAATCAGCCGTCAAACAAACCACTGGACCCGAGGCAACAGAGCATGCAAGATCATAATCCACATGCAAAAACAACCCCACGGCTTCTTCAACAATTTGAAGAAAATAACAGACATTGAAAAGAGAATTGCTGAGGATGAAGAAGTCTTGGGGTTGTGTGACACAACGAAGAATTAGAGCTTGAACTATAGAACTGAATGCAAACAAAGTAGGCAGGGAGTACTCAGGGACGAGAGGAATTATCCGAATTTACAAAAATGTGACTTCATGCTTTTTATGAAAACAGCACCAGAAAAGAGGAAATGCTTTGTTGCTTTGCTTCAAACCCTACAGCGAGCTCGAAATAGGGATTAGTAGCTTTGTGCTTTGACTTGGACTTGAGACATGACCAGAGGTCCCAAAGTGTTGAAAGAACAGGATTAAGCAGCTTAGAATGTAGATCTTTTAAATGGTCGTTCAAATTGGAAGGAAAGCAATCCGAGATATTCAATGAATATGAAAATAGCAGTTAGGATGATACATTAAAGCTCCTTTGAGGAACTTTGGGTTTACGTTGACTTTGGTGACCCCCGTTGACCCTGTGTATTTCATGTATTTGGATGGAAAATGTCCTTCTGCTGTCATTTAACGTTCAATATGATCGCTAACCGAGAATGTTTGCGGCTAAAAACGTTTAAAAAAAAACTATAATAAAAAAGGCTGTTTCTGCCTCATCCTCTACCTCACTTAGCCACATAAACATTAGTATATAGAAATGATGACGCCCGTCACTGCGGAGCTATAGATTTCCTTTAGAAGCACCTTTATTGATATCAGCCCATTTCACAGAGAGGAGCTTTGAAATAATGAATTTAGGTCATAAACAGAAATTTTAGTCCAATAGTTTCGGACAAAAATTGACATTAAAAAACTGAACCAGTAAAAATCAAAATTACAATACAAACAAAACGTTAAATGAAGTACAAAAAAAGCCACTGAATAATTAAACCAAACTATATGCACAATTGATGAATCATCCCTTGTGGGAAATTCAGGAGTATCCCATATACAATGTTTGAACCTGTGAGCTATGGGATACTTCTGAATTTCCACCAGGGGATGATTAAAGTATCTATCTATCTATCTTTTAATAAAAGATTGTCAAACCTTGTAGTGAATTTTGTTTTTGTCTTACCGTTCTTACAACGTGCATTAAGTTAGCAATAATAGATCTCTGTCACACATCATGTGTCTATTTGACACATTTTGTCTTTCAAATACAAAAACTATTTTTTTCTCCACCAAAGTTAGCCATAAAAAGTTCTCCATCTACAGCGTGTGAAACACACCTCTCTATCTTATGCTCCAGGATTGATTCAGCACTGTGAGCTGCATTCTCTGATTACTGATATAAAGAAGGTATTCCAGTTATTAATAATTCCTTTACTGCTCAGTAGAAAGCTTACATAACAGTCTGCAGGGGAAGTGGAGGTGCCTCTGGAGCCAGTGTGTTAAACGGCTGGAGCTCAACAAAAGGCTGTGATGTAGGGCAGGACAGAAGCGCCTGGAACTACTCCTCACTTTTCATTTGGAACATTGAATGTGTTTTATTGCCTTGAAGGCTTAGAAAATGAGGTGATCATGAAATGTTAATCAAATCTCCAGACCTCTTTATCTTATTCTGCTTTCTGCTCGTTCTTCTTTCTTCTCTCGTATTAATGTGTTTCTGGGTTTCATCACATCATACTGCTGGACCTTTAGCCAAGCAGAATATGAGCTTTTCTTGCTCTGGGTAAACTGGAAATGCACGATGGAGGGAAGCATTGAGAAGCTTCTGTAGAGTGTGTAAATGCTAAAAAGTGTGTTGAGATAGCAACACACTTTTTAGCACACACACTCCCGGTGCAAGCCCTTGCCATCGTTCACGGTATATTAACTTATATTAAATACATATTTACATTTCAAAAAGGAATTTACATTTTGTATTTGCACCATGATGGACAAAAAAATTAAATAAAAATCAAGTTTAGAAGTCAAGAACTATATTTCCGGAGGTCAGACCCTCCCATCGTGCAGTTTATGATTCATAATAAAAAAGTTAATTGAGAGGAGGTCAGAAAATTCACTTTGACTTGGCCCTGTAGCTAAAGAGGAGGTCGAGAAGCGGAACACCACAAAGAAACATTTGTAAAGAAAGGTTACAAACTCAGTTAGCCACTTTTTAGCACTAATGTGCTTAAAGCTATTATTGATATGTGTCATAGAGAGTTCTGACTTTTTTCTGATTCACCATGTTAACAAAGTTTAACACATGTATAATAAATAATACACATATTTCAAATTCATTGTGTGCAATAAAAACAACGTTTCCTAATATTATTACAACTTTCCTGCATTAGAACTTGAAATTAAAGACGACATTATGTGTGGAGGTTTTGCTCTCTCTGGTGCTGTTTATTAAAAAAGCATTTTCCAGCATCAGCTGACCTTTTGTTGTTATGGTTTGCTCCTGAGCTCGTCTAATGTCACATCACATTCATCTCATTCAATCAAACCAACAGTGAGGATGAAATTACCAGATTGTCGCTCTGACAACGCTGTGGCCGTTTCTTGCGTATGAAGTAGCCCAAGACCTTGTCCTTAAACACCTAGATGCAAAAAAACGTCAGATCAGATTATCCACAGATGGAGTACAGCATGAAGCAACATAAAGACGAAACAACTGAAGCAGAGAATAGATACTTCATCTGAGTTTCAGGAAATACTCTTATTGATTTTGTTGCAGAGAGTCAGATGAGAAAGCGGATAGCACTTATATCTCTGTACCTTAAACATGATCCTACAGCCAGCAGCTAGTTTACTTCTTAATAATATAGAATATCTTGTATTTTTAATGTGTTCAGAAAAACAAAGTGAAAGCACTAAAAGCTGTTATTATTTGTGAACTTTATGTGCATATCATTTACCCCTGCACATAAGACCCCTTACAAACACAGCATGACATACTTTATTCAGAGCTTTATGTGTGCATTAAACAAACACGATCAGAAATGTTAAGTCATAAGCCTAAGAGGTGCTGCTGGCAGAAGCTGAACATTCATCAAACAGAATAAAATGAATAAGCAGAACTTCCAAAGCATTGAGTTATGTCTTAAAGATTCATTTACATTTTATCTTTGACTTATTTCAAAAGGTCTAAAACAAAAAACGAACTCAGCACTAGACTTCATTATTGGCCTTTATATACAGTAGATAAAGAATAAACCAAGCCATCATTTTACCTCATATAGGTAGTCAAATATTTCCAGTATTGTTAAAACACTTGCTCCGATAAACAGCCCCATCTGACCTCCAATGTCACCTGGAAACAGAGAGATTAATAGATATAGACAGGTGCAGTTATTGTACAATGGTGCATGAAAACATTCCCTGTGCTGTCACTTCTCATTCAGTATCTCTCTCAGATATCTGAGCAGAATTGTCAAAAGTGTCCATCCAGCCCGAACGTCTCATCAGACCCAGCTTCGCCTGCCCTTGCGAGAGCATCAGATTATGAAAATGTGTTCCGGCCGCTTTACGAGTTCAAAGAGGGGAAGAAAAAAAAACCTCAAAGCACCGGGCGCGAACACGCCATGTGTGGGTGGCCTGCTGAGAGTGCTGATACCAGGTCAACTACATCTTTCTGACACAATCAACCTGAAAAGTGGGAGAATCTTACCGAGGAGCCCTGCAATTTCATAGGCCTTCTTCTGCTCAATTTTCTCATAATTCAGAGCTTCAAAGAAGATGTCAAGGACCAATATGTTTTCTCTGGAGAGAGGACAGAGAAGAACACACCTAATTGAGTTCATGTCCGGGGATATCACATAACAGCAAATCACATCTCACATTTCCTGTGTAACTATCTTTCATTATTGTTACATTGAAGGTGAACGATGGAGACCCAGGTCATGCCATGCCACAGTACATCCATCCATCAACAGAGGAAAGAAAAAGAGGCTGAGATCTATTAACTGACTTCTACCACATCATACTTACCCAATGTACTGCTCAGTTTTGTTGAATTTCTTAGCCAGATATTTAGCAGATGCTTTACTGGGGATCTTAACCATGGACAGCTCCTTGCCATAGCGAGTCATGTTGCAGGGGGTCTGACAGACACAGTAATCGTTGTCTTTCTCTACCAAAAAGTCTGTGGATGATCAAAGCCGTTTTAAAAATAGAATAAAAAAATAAATCAAACAAACCTGCACAAAGACGCTCTCAGTTCCTGCTAAAAATATCTCTACGCACAACAGAACGCTGCCATCGTTCACTTTCCATGAAAGCAAATAATGACTGAAGCTATAATACAGAGGAAGGAAGAAGAAAAAAAAGCTGGATGGGATTTATTTGATATTAGTGAAGCACAGACACATCGCAAATCTCACTAATGGCACTTTTACACAATAATTCTGCTTTATTATTTGGCTTCAGTCCTGTCTGATATTGAAGTAGTTTGAAGTTAAAGCTACCGGGGTATTATTAAAATCGTCTCATGGCACAATAGTTTAACACTTGGTTGAGTTCAGATATGAATCCATCACGCTGTTATTTCATATGTAGGCAGTAAAGTGTGCGGGCTCACCTAGAGCTGGGTCAGCACAGTCTTTGTACTGCTCTGGTGTGCAAACTGTTGAGGTTCCTGTTTGAAATAATGTAAGAGTGGAAATAATAAACTCATATCATGTAAAAGAAGAACATACAAGGGAAGAAGTATTTGTCATATTTCTTAATAAGTCAGGGCTGACTGTCATACCGGGCATGTGAACCATCCTGCAGTTGCAGTTCTCCAGCAGGTAGCGGGTTTCACAGTCAATGCGGCAGGCGGTGATGCTGTACGTGGAGAAGAATTCAGAGTCTATGGGCGTAGACTTGCAATCTCCCCAAGGCGGAGGAAGGTACTGAAGCTGAAAGAGCAAACAGCACATGTTTTCCCTCAGCATATCCGCACACAAGATTATAACCAATAACAAAATGCAAGCCCGGTGCAGCGGGAAGTACAACGGAGGGCAACAAGCTGACAAAACCCAATATGGATGTCTCAAATGTAAAAAAGAAAAAGGAAAAACCACACACAAACAAAACAAAAAAAGAGTTAGAATTTGAATGACAGTGTGCACTGAGACAATATTGGCCAAAAAATAAATAAAAAAAGTCATGTCAAACCGACATTATTGATCATGTTTAGCAGCAAGCAGACATCATGCAGAACAGTATTGATGCAGGTCTAGTCCCCGGTGGAAGCAGAATACCATGGGAATCGAGACAAGCTTAATTGAAGTCTGTAAAATGTAGAGTTTCAGACAGGACACCACAATCAATGGACAAATTTTACAACCTTGAGAACAGAACAATAAACACTTTTACAGTTTCCTGATGAACAATTACATGAATTGTACTAATAAAATAGACATTTTTACAGAAGACCTGATCTGATTTTACTGTAACTATCTGATGAATGAATGAATACTCTTCTTACAGAAGCCCATTAAAGTGACTTCTTGTTGATTGACTTGCAGATTTTTCTAATTTAAGCCCGTGAGAGTTTGTAACAAAACGGTGGAGTGTAGAGTAGAGTCAGTCAGCGGGCTCATTAGAGGTGAAACTCTCATTAAAAGGTGAAGAGCAGGTCATTACATTTACGAACAACTCTGGGAATTCTAAATGAATCCGCTAATGAGGAAAGAAACGTGACGCATGAATTTTGAGGTTTGAGCTCATACTAAACATTGGAGCCGTGGAGCTTGTTGCATAACTGCAGCAATTTGCCCTCTACTCTATGTGAAAATATTTTTAGAGCTCTCTTTCACACTTTAAAGCAACTCTTTTTTCAATGTACCCAAAACACTGACATTTAACCACCATCATGATTTTCTATCTAGCTGTCTTCTTGTTTACAACACTTTATGGTAATGAATGCTGAGTTCTTATCTTCATGACAAAAACTAACCAATTATTCATGAAGGCAAATAAAACGCTCGCTCTGGCATTTTGAAGTTAAAAATAGCAGCAAGAACCGCCGATCAATGTTAAAGGTTTCCTTCGTGACAAACTTCTCAGGGAAGCGACTCTGATGTTGTTTTATTTCATTTCCAATCACCCCCACCAGCTCTAACCAGGCTAACTTGGGACAATCTAGCGCTAATTTAGTCGATAGAGAGCGACAGAGATGGAGAGAAATTTACTGAGGAAGTGGACCTAAACTGGCAAACATGATTAAGCCTTTATTGAGCTCGGTTTCTAGCCCACAGACTTTCATATCAAGAGTTACAATCAGGATAAAACCCTGGTGCAATAAATGCAGGACTTCTAACTGATGCCAGAGTCCTCATGGGTAATAAAATCTAATGAATCACATTGTCCGCTCCCCTCCAGATGACATTAAGCAGCGGTCCAGTGGATTGCCCCGAGAACACATAAAAGCAAAACGAACAAAAAGGGAGTGCTCATAGAAGTTAACTTGGCGGTGAAAGGGTCAAGCCAATCAGCAGCTTCGATGAAGATATAGACTCGGATGAATGGTTAAAAGCTGGAATGAAAGACGTTAGCTACTCTCTGCTATCTGTTAAACAGAGAAGACAATGTGGACAGGGACAGACTGCAGATGTTGTTGCATGTCGTTGCTTCAGCCACACAGAAGGGGGACGGATGAATCCATTCCTCTAGTAGTGGGGACCAGCAGATGAAAGAGTGCAACTCTATGATGGGAGTTGAGCTATTTAACAGAACAGCACTTGTGGCATGCAGCAAGCCCAGACAGTCATACGCTACCCTCTGCTCTTGGGTGGAAACGAACGTTTGGAAGCCGGGGGCGACCCCGAAGCCCAGCTCATGGAGGAAAGGAGGCTCTGACTGAGTGTGAAGCTGTACCTTTATGCCGGCCTCATAGGACGTCTCATCTAGGGCGAGGGGGTGGGGGGGTGGTGAGGGAACACAGCCCACATGATTATCAAAATAATAAGAGGAGAAACAATAAAGAAAGGGACAGAAAGTGGTCGATCCCATTGGACAGCACGTTGTCTGTATAACAACAACACAGCTACAACTCCCAGCTGGGTGTAAAAACGTTGCAGCATTGGTATACAACTGGATCCAGCCTTTATATTCTTACATGCACTTAGAGTCTTTAGTCCAAAATGATGTGATGTTGTTCTTCTTGGCTTTCTGAGTTCAGCTATAGCCTATTATTAACATTTCTCTTATAGCAGCTTTACAAATGAAAGTGTTGAGATGGGAACAGCTTCATCCAGCTGTCGATTATTTATGAAAAACTGTCACTGTTCTCGTCTGAGAATGATTAAAATGAATGCTCCCCAGGCTTTAATGACAGTCTAATTAATTCAGCACATATTTAACATCGTAAACATGTCTCTCAGCTGTCACCAGTGTGGGCGCACATGTCAGTAATATAAATGACAATCCACACACTTCAGCTTTCAGGAAAAAACTTTGCGATGATGATTTATAGATCAGATTCCAGTCTTGGAGTTGGCAGAATGATGATACACGTTGGAGCTTCATTTCAACACTTGTACAGAGCAGGAAGAAAGAGAGTGAGACATAGAGATATGTTTCAACACTGGATTCCCCCCCCCCCCCCCCCCAAAAAAAGATAAAATTTGTCATTTTTTGTGGTGTCCAAGTGTCTGCATTGGAAGACTCTGCCTCAACAATCCCATGTTATTCTGCATAAGCAAGGCAGGTGGTTTGAACATTTATCACATGCTCGCAAAGTGACCGAGACCATTAACTTTAGGAGCAAAATCATTTAAATTAGGAGTCATTTCGTTGCTGAAATAATGAAGTTAATTTACTGCTGGAGTCTCCATTACTTCAAGACTTCACAAGGAGTGATGATGTGGTTAAAATTTAAAAGAGCCTGCAGCACAATACACAAATTCACTTGATTTCAAAAGTAATCACTGCAAAAAAAGTAAAATCCATTTTCTCGTAACTTACAATGAGGATAGAAGTCTTTTTGGATCATATTGCTCTACTCTGTCACTGTTTCCATTTGAAAACCATAAGACTGCTGTTTGGATTGTGTGCTTTTCTAGAGGAGGTAAAAAAAAAAAAGACATAATTTGTTGTCTTGGCAACCTCACATTACTGCCGTACAGTATGATTAGATTTGGATAGGAAATCCATGTGAGCTCAGTGTTATGACCCTGCACACAATTCTTCCGATCAATTCCAGCTCCGCTACAGTTACTACTTTTCATCCTTCACTGATGGCAGTTAACCGACAGTTAGGAGCACTGGACACGCACAACAAACCTGCCACAGGCATTTCTATGCGCTTAAAACACTCATCTTTACTGCATATTTCAACATATTTTTAGCAGTGGGCCTTGTGACCTACTGGGTCTTTCTGGCCTAATAAAGTGTTAATGGAAATGAGAATAAAACTAGTATGATGAAATCTAGAGCAAGCTTCTTTAAATAGTTTAATTTAACATCAAAAACATGATAATGAGTCTTCAGAAGTCTGAAGTCTTTTTGTGAGTCTTTAAAGTGATCTATTTATGGGGAAATGCTGCAACCAATCGACTCTTTTAGCTAAACTCTCAGCAGGAAAAATGCTTCACAATATTCAATATTAGATGAATAATTTCTGTTAAGGGTGTTAGCCTGAAGGATATCCCTTCAAACACCTGAGTTAGGTTTATATGAAATAATCAGGGTACATTTTGGGATGGCTGTGTGAGTTCTGTGAGACTCCCTTGTCTCTGCCTTCTCTTTGATTGTGCCACCAGAGACAATTTTCACAGCATTCAAATAAGCAGCGTTCATATTTCTTCCCTCAGTAAGAGAAGTAAAACAAACAGTGTAGGCTGCCAGATATTTCTGAATGCTGTGTAGTCGGGAGGTTGCTTTGGCTCAGCTCAGCACAGTATGCTTTCAGTCATCAATTGGCTCTGCTCTATCGATAATCCTCTTCCACTTTAATTTTTCTCAGTTTCATCTAGAAATAACTATTGGGTGTTTATTTAACAACTAACTGCACATTTTCCATCAAGAGGTTAACCATAGATTTGATTTTGCTCCAGGCTCCGAGACACAGAGGTAATGGGCAGCGGCGTGGGGCAGGATTTGAGGACAAACACAAAGAAGATGCCGGTTGGAGGGGAGGAGGCTGAATATTAGGTACCAGTTGCTGCTGACATGACACAAAAGTTTGAAAACCAGGGGCCACACCAAATCCCAGTTGGTCAATGAAGGGCGGCTCGTCCTGGCTGTGGATCTGAACCTTGATGCCTGCTTCGTAGGAGGTCTCATCTGTGGATACAGCACGCCAAAAGAAATGTAACAACAAGCACACTCGCCTATGGAAACCTGCTTTGGCTCTGGCTTTTATATTAAGGGATATCCCCATGTTAAGAGTTAACATAAGGGGGATACTCATATGTTAACGTGCAGGCCTGGTCATTAAACAGATTTACAGCCACAGATTTATTCCACTCTGTATACTTTATGATTGTTGTTGTCTGCCATAAAACTGAAGACAATATGTCAATGACTCTATTAGACATGTTGTCAGATGCAGAGCTAGGGAAACATATCAAGATAATGTGCTATTAAACAAGCTAGTAAATCACTCCTTTCTAACTCCTCAGACATTTATCAGTGAAGTGAGGGAGAAGAGTTTGGAATATCCTGGGCTCTTGAACCTGTATGAAGCGATGCACTCACATGTTAAAGATGTAACAAAGGACTAGAAGAGGGATGTTCACACAGGATTGAGGAGTATACAAGTTAAAACATTACCATACAGAGAAAACAGTACTGACCTGTCTCTCCCCAAACAGGCAAGTATTCATCCTGCTGAATATCCAACATGATCTCCAAGCCGTTCCCCGTGCCCCCTTTTAAAGTGGTCAACAAAGGGTTTCCGTCTAACCCAGAGTTGAATGTGTAGCATTTTCCGTAGCGTGTGTAAATCTGTAGAAAAAAAGAAAAAGAAAAGAGAACAGAGAGAACAGGAGTGTTAATGAAAGTCAAACCCTTTCCACTGTGCTGCGCCTGTGTTCAATTTTGCACCTGCTGGAGGTGTATTACATGTCAGCTAGTAATTGTGCAGGACAGCTAATCATTGCAGAGGTTTTGTGATTATCAGAGAGAGAGAGCATACCAGCTTTAAACAGGCACCTGGCTCAGATTTGAGGAATTAATGAGCTTCTGTAGCAGCAGCACCAGTAACAGCAGTAGCTATCAATCTTTACCCAATTTCCCTCCAAATTTCCCCTGAGTAACTTGGAGTGAGTGTACTATTTTGCCGCCATTAAATAAGAAACATCTGAGGTGGACGCTCTCTGGACGCACAAACAAAGTCTAAATGGGGTTTAGTGAAAGACGTGTGTGTGTCTTGATTTAGAAAGTCTTCGATGGACTGAACCGTTGCCAGAAAAGCTCAGCAGTGCTTACCATCCGATTTGCAACTGCTACATTAGATTTGCTCGCACCAAAAATCTTTCTGGTTTCATAAATCCCGAAGGCTTGAGTCATTTATTTTCAGTATTTTGTTCAGTTTACCAAATTACATTTCATCTCAAGATGATGGAATTTATTTGTGACTGGAAAAGTTTGAACCCCCTGAAAACAAGTAAAAATAAATCCTTATCAAAATGTGAAATATAATTTTAATTTGAACAAAGTCTACAGCTTTGATTAAGACTAAGAAAGCCTAAAACTGTGAATACAGCTGAAGGGCTTCTGTAAATTCAAGATAAGCCCTATCAATTTGAGATAAGCTTATGACACTGTAAAACTGATTGGTTATGCAAGGCTTTGAAGAGCTACAATATCGGTACTTAATGAATTTCAGCACAATGTAAAAAACCTGCAAAAACTCAAAAACAGCGGCCATCTTAGTTTTATATCATTTGTGACCCCTATTTATGAATTACAGTTCGTGACACCTTTAATAAATGTATACATGCATTAATACAGGTGTGTTGGTGTTCCATGTAAACATTGAAATAAGGGAATAAGATATGACTGTATGAGCACATTTAAAACTAGTCTAGTACTCAGTTTCTTATCTACACCACTGATACAACTGAACATTTAACTTTGAAAAATAACCTATAAATGTATACTTCTTTTAACTTTTAATACATTTTTTTGGAGCTGATTTTTTAATGTTAAACATTCAAGTGTCCACTAAAACTTTGAAACTGAAGGGCAGCAGTTAAAAGTCAATGGATTATCTTTTTGATAATAAAACATTAATAGAGACACAAAACAGGTTTCTAATACTGTGTTATTCAAATCCAGACATCACATTTAAATTAACGGTTTAAACTTTAACATCTCAGAAGCCCAGTGGAACTGAGGTTAACTCATAACATAAATTTAGATTTACTCATTTGAAGTAAGCCCAGTGGTGGAATTCATCATTTATTATTAATGTGTAAGTTTAAGAATTCGTATAGAGTCAAACTATTTGAACCTTTTAGAAAAGAGTAAGTTCCTATTTTGAGCAATAATTTCCTTCTTACATGATCATGGTTGTACATGATAGGCAAACAGAAATAGATGTAGTACTCCGACAGGAAATTATAGCTCCTAAAATGATGGTCTATCTATCTTTCCACATCTGTCTGTCTACATATATATATAACAACAAGTCACAGCAGAAAGAAAGGGGGATGTCATCTGTCAATGGTTCCTTTTCACTACCCAGTCCTGGTAAGAGGGCTGCTGGCAAAAACCCAACCAGCATGGCAAAGCTGATCTCAAGAGATCAGAGCCAGCGGTCCATGTCCAGACTGAGAGAGACGAGCATGCAGCTCAGACAGATAAGACAAAGCTTTGGTCCGTTCCCCCTGCTGGCTGTATAATGAGGTCTACAAAGAGTCAAGAAACTGCTTTTTTTAAAGATTCAGATTTAAGTTGAGATAAAAATGTGAACCTCATTCAGTCACATCATGTGTTGCTTATTAAGATGCACACACCAAGCACATTTAAAACCCCCGTTATGAGCGTGAGCTGGCCAAGGATACTGGATGGAGAGGCTTTTTCTGGTTTCTGCAAAACAGACAAGCCACAGTGGACAGATGACATTTTGTAGTGTGCGAGACTTTGCATTTCAACCAGCTCGGAACGAGTTGACAGTGTCACAGCTATAGGATATTTCAGACTAGAATAAAGAACCTCTGCAGAGGCAAGTTCTTAAATGTGATGCTAGAGACAAGTCGATGTATTTTACATTCAGATTACAATTTTTCCCAGAGCTGCAGAAAACAAATTACTACTCACAGCAGAGTTTTCTCCATTCAGCATTTTAAATATTTTCTGATGATGTCATAAGCTACCAGTTTTTGATTGAAGTGTTTGATTAAAATGTTACCATTCATAACAGTGTGACTTTGGTTTCTACTTCCTCCATGGGGCATTCAATGCTTACCCATAAATGAATTGGTATTATAGATGTATTTTTTTTTGGTGTTGGTATCAGCAAATCAGCTCCCTTATTTTTTGAAACAAGACTTTACCTGCCCTCTAGATCATGAATTAAAAGAGCTAAAATACTGATTTACAACATCTCAATAACTTTTTTTCCTTGCTTTAATTTTCAGAGGTTATACAGCAAATTTACAACTTGCTAGGGTTCGAAGAAACACAATTAATTGTGATACTTAAGATACTCATGATTATATGACATTAATTATCCACCACACGATGTACTGTATTTGTTTCCTCAAGTGACTTTTTGAAGACATCAAATTTGATAAGGAAAGAGCTATCATGTCTGAGAGAGAGAGAAAAATAAAATAAAAACAGGACAGGCTTTTCAGCAGCTTTGAAACAACACCATAAAACACTCTTAGAGAATGCCTGCTGAAGGACGCCTAGTCAAATGCTTCCATTAATTATTAACACACCTTGTAAACAACAGCCACACGTGAAAAACAAAATCTCTCTCTCCCTCTGTACATACAGTGCTGAAGTTTTTGTGGGTGCAGATATCCCCGCGGAACCTGCACTCCAGCAGCATTTCCTCCAACTGGTGACCGAGGCGTCCCATCATCTCAGTGGTGTTGATGCGGTAATCGGGGTGGGGGTTGTAGTTGTTAAAGTCCAGCAGGCTGAGGAGACCCTGCTTGTGGCTGTCTCTGAGGATTGACAGGCTCTTTTCCATGACGGTGTGATTGGGGTACATGAGGTCCATCCAGTAGCCGCTGTGGTACAGGTCCTCCCTGGTCAGAGTGGAAACCCTGAACACGTTTTTGTTGCAGATAGTCACAGCTGGGAAAGACATGTTGTGAGCCCAAACCATGTAGATCTTGGTGACAGCCGGGAAGGACATCAGGTAGTGGATTCGATTCAAAGACCAGGTGCCGAGGAGACTTATGCAAAGAAAGAAGGCCATGATCCAAATGACTCGCTGTGGTTTCGACTTGTCTGGAGAGAAGATAAACTTCAAACCATGGACCTTGGTCCTCATAATGAAGGAAACGGTGAGCTCTCTCCATGATGGTTTCAATGATTTGGACTTAGTGTTTTTAAGAGGGGTCTCTTGAGCATTACTTTTTTTATTTGGCCCCAGGGCAACTGATTCTGTTGAGGGTGCTTCAGCCATAATAACTTTAGTCAAGACAGGCGCGTCTTTCCCAAATTCTGTTTCTTAGTAGTCCACTCTCAACATTCTCAATTTACACACAGTGTCTTTCTCCATCTCCAGGTTTATAAATCACAAATCCAGGTAGCATCGACAGGAGACCTAACATGCAGCTGTCCCACTGTTCAGGCTTGAGAAATCTTTTCCGTAAAGACATAAACAAAGGAGGTAAAATTGATTTACATAATGACTCCTTTATGAAGAAAAAACAGCTGAATCACTCCATTAACAGAAAGCATCAAGCGTAACCATCACCAACCCTTCATCAATGGATAAATGGACGTGATAATTGCAGATGTAAGCGGCGACTTCTCTCCCACAGGCAATCACTTTGAAAATCCGGAGAGGCTTACCCCTGTTGCTCAGATCTTTCACTCCTCCATCTCCCTCTCCAGTGCCAGACAATACTTGCAGATTTCGATGGTTTTCTCTCTTTGTGCAGTAGCTTGCCCAGAACCCAACTCCTCCCTTTTTTTCAGAGATTGAAGAGATGCTTTTTAGTGTGTTGACTTGCAGCCTGCAGAAGGGAATATAAAGCTTGTTGCCCCCCCTACACATACTCTCTCTACAGTCGAATGGAGAATGAGGTGGAGCTAGTGGATGAAATTGTTTTCCGCCGGTGATGAAGTAGACCTCCAATGGCATAGAGAAGGGAGGGGTGGGGGGTGGGGGGGTATCAATCAAATTACGAATAATTGTAATAAAGAAATTCTGGCATAGAAAAAAATGATGAGGTAGGTTTAATGTAAGAAGAATTGACAGCCTGCTTGTGGATCAATATACTTCTATATTTGATAACTGAAAGGAGGCATCAAGTTGGAGAAAAACACAGCCAAATCCCCCTTTAAAAAGGTGCAAGAAATATCCATAATACCGCATTTTGTAGCTCTTCTATTCTGCCATTTTAAATATGATTTTCCCAAATGCAGCATAATGAGTGCTGACATCCTGCTGCATGCAGATGTGGCTCTGGGTGATATTTAAGGTACTTTGCTCCAATTATGTGAGAATATCAGAGGAATCTGTTCAGCGGAAAGCTCGGCTCGTACTGAGACTGTTTTTTTTTTTTTTTTATCAAGTTAGCTGGAATCTTTTCAGTCTGTAATGTGAGCATTGGCTGAGAACACTGATCACAGCTGTGGTAACATATGGTTGCAAATAATGATTCTAAAGGGTGGGGAAAACAAGCAAAAAAATTTTTTTGGATTACTGTGGTAACTTGAAGAAGAGAGTGTCATTTGTAAACTCAGATTGAATTAAATTGTAATAAAACCATTAGATTTGACCTTGTTAATGGGATCAACTCAACTCGACTCGGTGCATCACAGGGTCCCTGTGTTGCACCGAGTTGTGTGCCAGGATTGATCTACCTCTTCTAAATGCATCAATGATTATGTCCTGATGTCCACAATTTAATCACAAACGCTAATTAACATTAATACAATTTTAAAGAAAACAAAGTTTCTTCCACAGAAAATAATCTGCATTTAGGGCGATGAACTCCTTGCTGAGTGGACATCCCAAATTTCTCATATGTTCACTCTAAAGACGTAGTAGATGGTGTGTTTCATGTGATCTTGGAAGTCGGAAATTCTTAGTTGCCTGTCGGATACATCATTCAGGAAAGTAGCCTGAAGTCAGAACTTAAAACAGAACTTCAGTTACCCAAGCTCAAAATCCAACATGGCTGCTACGAGGATCAACAGTAAAGTTTCAGCTGTCCTTCATAGTGTTTATAGCAACTTAGTCTTGCTTTTGTGTAATTAAACCAATCACTCAGACAATATTGTGTAAATTCTGTCTGCGGACATGTCTTGATGCTTTTTCATGCAAACTATCAGGTAGTGTGTTGTCGCTTGGTATTAACGTACAAAACAGAGCTATTTCAGGAGGCGTCCATGCTGCTTCTCTAACGTGATGCGTTGAGTACTCGTTCAACTGTGAACTGTGTGACGTCATTCCCGGCTTCGACAACCGACTTCCGAGGTAAATGAAACGCACCATAAGGCTAGCAAGCCTTGTGCAATTTTTCATATACTCAATTACTGTCGAGTAAATGTCAAGTCTTTATTACACTGTCACTGGCTTCATATGAGTCCCTTCAAACCAAACCAATAAGAGGTTGTCTTCAACAAATGTTAAAAGTATGATTAGAACAAATAGTTTTATGATTGTATGACACATTTTCTCATTTTCAAACTGTCAAAAGGGATATGTCATCACATATCATGTTTGTCAGGACCAAACTAAGAATCTAAACTACTCCCAAAATTAATTACACATTTTTCAAGTAGAAAATATCAAAAGGTCAAACTGTAAATGAGAAATAATTATGCGCTTGGAGTCCTCTGTTCCTTTAAGCGAATATCTTTCCTTTTATATTTATGAAAATTAATGACAAGATTTGTTAAATCATTTCAGGTTGTCTCTAGCCACTTTATTTAAAGCAAAACAATAAGAATCAGGGAGGGTTTCACTATATAGATAGGTTTCCTATGTGTGCAAAAGTTGTGGTTTAAACCACCTGATAACATTAATAAATGTCTCACTACTGAATAGTAAGAGAAGAGAGAGCCTGTGTAATAGCTTTGATGCTGTGGTAATAGTTATATTCCCCATGTGTGCTTTCTGGGCTTTGGGGCAACAAAACAACTAAATTAATTGCCTGCATCAAGCTCCCCCAACAGCTACTGTATGTCACGTCAACACCACGCCTGGATTTTTTTTGCCTTCCAGACAAGACGGATGCCAGCCGCTACTTCCTTTGTAGGTTTAGTCTCAACCGTTTTTGTTCTAAGAAACAACTGGGTAAGCTTTTTCTTTTTAATTGGTAAATTAAACATTCTCTTTTTGTGAGGGAAAGATCCAATCAAAGAGAAAAACAGGCTCTATTTTGATAACTCCCTCGGTTTGCAGGCCTGATAACGAAGCGTAACAAAGAGGAGAAAATGACTAACGTGGCATGAGGGATAAGCAAGTATTTAAGTCCAGCGACAGCCCTTATTAGAGTTATAGCTGGCTCCCTGCTTTCTCCACATATTGACCAGCTGCATTGATTTCCTTTACTTCTGGTTTCTTTGGAAACTTGTCAATAGATATCAGGCACATTTAACTGGTGAGTTAAATGCTGGAGCTCATTTGTGCTATACAAGCCCAGTGGAGGCGTGAGGGGGGCGGCTCTCCTGCTCACTGAATTGTCAGCAGTTTGGCTGAAGCTCAATTTCATTAATCCCAGCTCCAGAGGCTCCACACAGGCAACGCATGACAATCACCATTACTCTTTAAACATGTGCTATCTGCCTCTGACTGCAGATCTCCCACAATCAACTCTAATTTCAGCCTTTTACTCTGTGCAACATTTAGAAGAAGAATTTATTCAAGGAGCGTCTGATGGACTAGAGGTTGTAGCAGATGCCCAATCTACAGTACAGAGGTTATAGTCCTTAAAGCAGATGGCTCAGGTCCCACTCTAACCCTCCTCGCGTTGCTGCATGTCATTCCCTACTCTCTCATCTTAGTGTCCTACTCTATCTAATGTTCTCCTCTAAGATAAAGGTCCAAAATCCCCCAAAATAATTGAATTGAATAATTGAATTGAATAACAGAAGTATTTTTTCAAGCACCAAGTAGTCAACGTTTGATTATTTGATCTTACTCAAACTTAATATCTTTAATTCTTAATCACTGAACTTGAGATATTTGTATATGCTGATGACTGCTCAGGGTATTGTTTGTGTTTCAGTGAGACTGGCTACATAACTCTATCTATATATCCATGTTTGGTCTTCTCTCTGTGATTACATATTTTGCTGCATTCATGTTTTCTTGCTAAATAAATCATAACTCTTTCCAATTACTTCATAACAAGGTTACTTTTTCAAGAGTGAAGAGAAGATATAAGACAAAATCTTACCTCTTTAAGTCTCTAACCTGCTTTGATTTATTTTCTGGCCATTTGAGGGTAGAGAAAAAAAGTTGTAAACACAATATTGACATTTAGTCTCCCTTAAGGTTGATATTGATAGTTTTAGCGAACAGTTGTTTATTTACACATCCAGTAGATGTAGAATACTTTTGGAGGGCTAAAATAGAGATAGTGACTAATCAGAGGGACTGATGTAAAAGGTATCGAAAATAGATTCTGAATCTTGAACCCAAGAATCAAAATTGAATCGAATCGTGAGACACCCAAAGATTCCCAGCCCTAGTGCTTCAGTTTGGCCTCTGATTTAACCGTTCACTCACACACCCACACACTGATGATGGCAGAGATGCCATGCAAGGTGCTGCCAGGAAGTCGGTGGAAGAACAAACCGCCAACCTTGAGGTAACCTCTTCTTCTATTATCACAAATAACAATAAAAACAGTCATTCTTTCCACAAGTAGCGCTAATGTGTGTAACAACATTGTGGGAGTACAAAAAGCTTCATTAAAAATATAAAGAGAAGACTTAAGCAAAACACCATTGGTGCCCCAGCAGAGATTTTACACCTCCTCCAAGCTTCTAAGATAAATATGCTGCTTTTTACTCCACATTTTTGTTGCCAACAACTGCCTATTGCTGCTGGTGATATTGTTGGAAGGGAAATTTAACAGTGAACAAATATAACATTGAGGGCATCAAAATCAAAACAATTAGCAGAAATATGTTAAGACACTTGGCAGAGATGCTGCATGATGATTTCTGTGTTCATCTCCAAAAGAAACTCCTCTCACATCACAAACAGTCTCTTCCTCCAATGGAAATATGGAAATATGGAAAGATGGCTGAGTGCAGATTTAAGTATGAATGTTTGTCTAAATGAATGAAGTCTTACCAGTGTGTGTTTTTTTGTTTTCAGGTAAATTTATGATGTGCTGAAAACAAATTAACTTAGTTAACTGTGTACAAACAGGGATTTGTTTCCACCTGTGCTATTTGAAATACAGCACCATATAAGGACATATTTAAAGAAAATACACACTATCCATTCATTCAACATGTATATCTCGAAAAATCATTAAGGGCAAGATTATACAACCAGGAGAATAAGCCGGTAGAGCAGGCAACTACAGTTAGAAACATTTACACTCATGAGCAAAGTGATATGTAATCATGTTTTTAAATTAACCCATGGTAACCATTGCATTCAGATTTCATGTGTTTTGTAATAGGTTCTAAGTGTGTGCAGCACAAAAGGTACAGTAAAGGGTGTTCCCCAATGTTTGTGTTCACTTGTGGAACCCTCAACATTAGCCAGTCACTTGATCTAGTCTGATACTGATTATCAGACCAAATTGATGTATGCTGGGATATATTACCAGTAAGTGCTTTATAAATAAAGCACAACAACAACAACAACAACAACAAACTTTTAAAATGTGGTGTAATGTTCTCACATTAACTTCTTTGGCACTGAACTGCAGTGTTGGAGAACTTTCTCTTTAATCTGTCTCATACTTTAGCATTGCTCTTCTTAAAAGTGTGTATTTGGTGAAGTCACAAAATCATTAATTTAATTAAAATACACTGCCCAACTCTAAGCTGTAATCACTCCAGACTACAAAGCGCTCCAGGCTAAAGTTAATGATTTTTCTTCTCTGTAGTGTTACCATCCTCCTTATTGAAATTAAAAAAAACACATT